TTTTTTTGCCAATTTGGCTGGAGATGTTTCAAATAATCCATGAAATAAGTTATATCATAACGAAGATGTTTATTTTTGATGCCGATAACTAATCTACTGACAGTAACGACATCCTTGATAAAAAGCACCAACACCACCCGCAGTAGTGACAGATGGGGTATGTAGGGAACTATAGCCATCGATGGTATTGAAAACAGGATTTTGGGGTAATTTGGATTCGCTTATTGCAAATATATGAGAAGGTAAGGACAAATTTGATAAAAGTGTGGTCAATTTGATCCAAATTTTTCTGAAGGGAGCTAATGTTTATATGATAAATGACTAAATCAGAGAATTTTGAATAGAATTCAAATTTATTACTTACGCACCTAACATTATCACAACTAGAAACTGGCAGTGATAAACTACAATGACTTGTCATTCAAGACTAGAAATATTCATACATAATTGGTGTCAAATAATTGACTATTCGCAAACAACATGTAGAGGCTTACCGCCGAATTCTGCCTGTGTCATGCCATTTTATTACATCTAATTTACACTTATTACGAGTCATTTATCTTATTTTAATTCATAGCATTTTTGGAGGTTCCATAAGCGCAATAACATTACCTTTCACGTCAACGAGCATAGCCTCATCCTAAAAAAATCTGGGATGATTTTCGAACTAATTAAAATGTGAAGTTAGTAATGATGCTTTGCGCATAACGTAAACTTGTGGACAGTTCACGGACAATGGCCAAACAATAGTTCATTCAAAACAGAATTTTTACCAGTGCATTCCCGGTGATAGGAGCGATCAGTCGTGGGGCATTATGACATTATAGATTGCAACCTGATGTACGTATTCAAATACCACGAGCGACTTTGTATGCATTGTTATGCAAACGTGTATTGAAATGGATGAAAATGAAATAGATTGGATGTATTTGTACACCACTAAATTACCTGTATGTATATTAGGGCTGTATATGCATATTTGTGGCTGTATATCACATGTATGGCAGTTCTGTGTGCTGTCCTCATTTATTCAATAATAGACAGGGGAGTGTAGGGCTAGAAATATGTTTGTATTAACAAGATTAAGGCCTTTCCACGCAACGTAATTTGGAGCTGCCGGTTGTAAGCCAAGAAAAAATTGAATTTTAATTGTCGTGTTAGTTCATGGTATAGGAAAAGAATATTAAATACTTTTTACCAGCACTGTGGCTTTACATGTGGGTGATGGCTAGTCACTGTACAAAAAAAAACTTACAATTAGTGCATTTTCAGAAAATTTTAAATTTACTAAAGAGCATGGGAAACTTAACAATGAACTACCTGAGTGGTGTCGGGAGGATTTTAAATATTTTCAAGACATTTAAATTTACCCTGAAAGACAAAACACAAACTTGGGGAACACAAACTTCATTTCACAGATACTTCCTGAAACAGTAGCTTATGCTTTTGATCATCACGAACCAAAAGAAAACGAAGCGATGGTAGCGTCGTGTCCAAAAACAGGTTCTGATAGAAATATATGTGTATGAGAAGGAAACGTTTCCGTGCATTTCGTTCCTTTCATCTTCCTATCTTCTTTATCGTTTTTTCAATTTGAGGTGAATTTTTAGCATAAAAGGGAATTCATAATATAAAATTTTATCTGAGATTTTGCTTCAATGCACAAGTGGTATTTTCCTGAGCTGTTTTTTCATCACATCAATACTTCAAACAAGCAGCTACTGTTAAGTAAGGGCCTACTATGTTTGAGAGTAAGCTGGTCATGTGTTATTCATTACATTGTAGCATCAGTAAAATGACTTTGGTTAGTAGCATTAAAATTAAAGTTTTTGGTAAATTTTATCGATATTCTGAGGTAAAAATTACCCCAATTCCTATTTGGGCGCGGAACTTATGTTAAGACAATACACTCCAATCGTGTTTACAATAAAATGATATCAGATATAATAAAACTTGTTTTCTAAATACCATGTTGTTGCCTCAAGTTATGACACATTGTTCAGGCAAATCTTGTTTAATTTAAAACGGTCTTTTTATGTATTGTATATATATATATATATATATATATAAACATATGAATAGACATCGACAAACAAATGAAGTACTGATCTCCTTCTTATCGTACCAGAAGAATGTTATAAATACATAAATAGTATCTCTATAAAAGGTCGATAAACGTACATTGTATTTTTATAAAATTTTCGAAATGATAAACAATAGCTCATATATTACGTTTTTTATTCAATAAATAATTACTTTTCTGGGCATTATTACGTAGTATCTTTCAAGACCTGAATACTTATCATTAAGCCTGTATTCATAAGGCGCATCTAATTATGCTTTCGATATGTGCAACAACATCAGGATTTTTGTTATTTAGGCACACGTGGACTCGAGAAATTATTCGATAGATACTGTATGGAAAAAGAGAAGGGAAACTTGATAAAATGACAAGATATATTACAGTGCCGCATTTGTATCTCGACTCTTGCTCACGTAGGTTATTTTTTATAACTAATATTGACATATACGTAGTATTTCAACTTAACCGCGCTATATATTCTCTCATATTACAAAATAAATTTGTCGTTGCGGAAAATTATTATTGCATGAACGGATGCAGCTCATACGTTAGACTCAAAAGTTGTATGAGGAGGCAACGATATGATGTTTTTTTGTAAACCTATTACCAAATTATTCTTTGCCTAAAATAGCTAACCGCTAATAGGTTTCCACCCAAAGAATGTAAATGGAGATTTGAGACACGTCTATAATATTCTATTTCTCAGCTTCCAAGTTCAACATTATGCACAGCATTCCTATACCCAGACGATATTTTGTCACGCATCTACCAGCCGAACTGGTGAATCTCGAAAAATACAAAAGCAGAAACATCAAGGTCGGTGTCATATGATTATCAGGGTAAAAATTTACGCATATATAATTGATTATAATTAACGCCCTGCGACAAGGTTACTCACAATTTTGTAGAGTATTTTTTGGAGAATATAAACTATTGTTTCCCAGTTAAAATTGAAGCAACTCAACTTTTTCAAAAATTTACGCGTTTACGAGCTGAGTATATTTGCCTCAACAATAAATTTATATAAAGCTTTATAATGATAGAAATGTATACCCTTGTCACATAAATGCTTGGATAACCATATGACTTAATTGTTAATTCTTTTATTCCTATTTTATCATTTTGTTGTAGCATGCTAATTGAATCGTTTCTATAAATACAGGTATTACTTGCATGATATATAAATATTATACGTTGCATAATAATGCAATAAAAATTGAACTTGAAGAAAGAAGTTTAAGGTATATAAAGTATGCGTATTAACTTGCTAATATTTTGACGAAGATGGGTTTCGTAAGAAAATATCACGAATACACTACAAAATATATATATTTACAGTTGAAAATTAAAGCCTTGTTAATTACAAGGTGACCCCAAAACAGAACTCAGGACAAGATTACTGAAACTTTTTGGGTATGATAACATACAAACAAAGTTGACGTATTAAATAATTTGTTTTTTCTTTTTGTTTCCAGTTTTTGTAGTAAGTAATTAAAAAATGTATGGAATCTGTTTTGGACCATCCCTAGTCTAGTACGACTATTAGAAAAACGATTATATGGTTTTGAAGAATTCAAATACGAGACCATTCAATTGCCTTGTGCAATACTCGATAATTTGTCTGTTTTAGAAAGTCTTCCACTGAGGAGAAAATCTTTAGAGGTGGCACACTCCATTGATAGCGTAGCTTGGTAGATTAAATACCGTCCTCCCCTACATTTGCTAGTGGACATTCGCTTGTGGAGAAACAAGCAGAACATTCGGGCTTTCATTCTGATTTATATTCATTGTTCCGTCTCCGATGAGTACATTATTTCCTTGAATCACTGAAACATGAATTTGGGTTTAATATTTGGTCAAGTATGAAATTTGGTACAAATTGTTATATTTTTACATACTCCTGGAGTGAGTTTTCGTAACTCGGTTTTATTATCTGGGACATAATCAATTTTAAGTAATTTTTGTATTTTGTAAATATACCGATACACAAATTGTTCAGAAAAGTACATACAATTAAAAATATATAGCCTTCTAGTTTTTGATATTTCATTGATGAAATGAAGAAGTAAAAATACGCCTTAACGTTTCTAAAATGATACAAGCTAACATAAGATACCTGGAGCAGGTGGTGAAACTGCTGGCCACTGATTTCCAAACGTGTGTGGCTCCGGGGTCTCTGAGTTAACAGTAATAGAATATTTGACTTTCAAGCTCTTGCAAGAATTATCAGGTTTTGGTTGAAGGTTGAAATACTTTTGTTTCCACATGTTTGACATTACTTGATCCGCAAATATTTCGGTGAAAGATTCTTTTCGGCGTTTAGGAGGTTCAATGTCTATTCGAACAGCCTCTTCCGAATCGCCCAATACGAATTCACTGTTGAGCGGCTCTATACAGCTTATTGCAATACGGATTTGACTTCCAGGTAGAGAATGGAAATTTGATACGGGTGTCATAAACTCAATGCAATTATTCCCGCGTGACATATTTTCCCGAATTTCATTTAGAATTGTAGTATCGCGTTTGCATACAATCGAAGTAAAAGTTGCGTCGTTGTTATAATATAGCAAATTGGCCATATGATATTTGATAGGAATTCCAAGTAATTCTCTCAGAAACATGTATGCAGTTTTAACATAATATCCCAGTGCACATAGCGAGAACCCTTGAGTCTCAAACGCTACAGTTCCGGAAGTCCCCAATTTTGCAGTTTTCTCGACTTTCCATGTAGTATCATTATCCTTTTCTTTAAAACCCAATATTTCTGCTTCGCCGTGATAGGTTGTACACCATGTTTCCATTTCTACTCTAAACAGGTTTGTTTAATTTTTGATCCAGACAAGTCGCAGTTAAGAATCGTCGAGATTAACACAAACTGTGAAGGCCAATGCGAAGGATCGCTATTCTACAGATAACTTTATGTTGTTTTTTGATCCAAGGCACCATCGGGGAAGATAATTCTGTTTCCATTTAGCGATATTATTCCTCTTTCTTTATCAATATGTTTTTCTGTGAATAAAAAACATGTGTTTGGATTATATTATGCATGGAAATTGCGTTATATATTTTGGACGGTGTAGACTCATCAGAAAATAAATAAATCTGCATTTCACAACGCATCGACCTAATTAGGCTTTCAACGTTTAGTACAATAACTACTTGTTTAAATGGCAATAATCATAATTTCATATTGCATATACAAGACTGAACTTCATGATGTCTATCAAGATGTTATGCAATATATATCAATAAACCTGTTGATTTAGTGAAGTGGACTTCCTCTTCTGTTTCCATTGATGACTGGCTCGTAGATGAAGATTCTGGAAAATAAGATCTTTTGTAAGTATTGAGAAATTCATTGTTGGACATGGGGATTGAATCGTTGTGCTGAGGTGTTGTGTATAGACTTCGACGTACTTTCTTTGAAAACTAATAAACCAGACTGATCGCTTCCAAATTGTCAGTTAAATAAGGTGGAAGTGTCTCTTAATAATTTCCTATTTTATCATACTCCCTCTGATCTTTCTGAGGCCCGTTGTTTCACCCCAAATTAGCTGAATTGGAACAAACTCGATAACATGTATTTTTCCGTTTGGTTTTCTGTTTGTTCGGATTTCGCGAGCGAGTGCCACGGTCATCGGCGATGTCTGATGGGTACACGCATTTCGTGCGTGTGATATTCGACCGCTCATTTCTCCTTATACCGATGGACTAAACAGTAAACGGTGATCAGAAACAAGTGAAATAGCGAGTGATTTCCCTACATAGGGGGTGACCCCCCCCCCCCCCCCTAAAGTTTCAGATTTACAATATACTTTAATTAAATAAATATATTTGAATACTCAGAAAGTGGCTCACATGCCGGTGAAGAGGATCAGTCAAATGCATTACATATTTTTTACAAGTTACAAATAGTTATTACTAATAGCAGAATATCCACCACCCCCTAAATACCTAAATTTGACCCCCCCCCCTCCTCCTGAAATAAAAATTGGGAAACATGGGATACTAAAAATAGCTAATGCCAACGCGAAAAATCATTGCATTGTGCGTGTAATCAGCAGGAAAGTTCGATGAAACTTGTATCTAAAATATACTTACCTTCTCCCGACCACAACAAATCGGTAACCAATGATTCGCCGTCACTGAGAGTTGATGTTATTTTCAGGTACTGTCCAGGATTAGGAAGTGATTGTAATTTGAAGTCAACAGTGCTTCGTCGTGTGAGAGCAAAGTTTTCTCCTAGCAGGAAATATTCTTTGGATTCGGGTCCAAATGTCATAACCTCTTGACCAGGAAATTTGCATGCAAATGTAAGGCTAAGTTTGTTCGTTTATGGCAATTTTCTTAGTTTCAAAATCGGCGTCGACTTTATTGAAACCTTTTTTCCTCATTTCTGCGTCTACATCTGGTTTTCCTCCAGTATATAAGACAGCTTTGAACCTTCCACTTTTGAGCATAGTATACAGAAATATGCGCACTGTAAGTAACTTTGTTCAGTGAATTCTTATCGATGGAAACCCAAAAATACATGTGGTAAGCAGATTCGAATGTTATTTGTCGTCCACAGTCTTTCAAATTTTTTCGTTCCAGAATCTGGCAGGTAGCGTCCTGTCCTTTGTCTTTGTACATGACATAAGCAATGACATCATCAGATTCAGTTCTGCACCACGTTGGTAGCTTGACCGTCATAGGGACGTTAAAATTTATTGGTGGGTTACATGTGATGCGGGGTGTGATAGTAAAATACCCTTCCGGCTCGTTCCCTGGGTTAATTGTGGGAAGAACTTGAAAAAACGTCGGTTTTTCGACAGTATTTCTCTGGAATCGTACTCTACATGTTCCAATCTTCATTTGAAAACCTCTTGGGTCGATGTAACCTGTAGAACAAAGCATAATTGTAGATTACAGCATAATGAATTATGAATCATATGTACATTTCGTGTCCAGTAAGATGACGTCCACCGATTTTCCCATAGCACTCGAGCCCGTAGCACTCGAATGTATTGTATTGTTAGCGTAGTGTAAAACTTGAAACCCACCCAAGAGAAATGTTCTCATCGCCATTTCTTATTGTGGGAAGTTGGAAACATTTTGATTAATAAGTTTCAAATTACATACAACATAAAAAGCATATTTATTAATTGTAATAAATTTTAATAACATAGATTATAGAATACAAAAAGGCAATGCGACTCGAAATGAGGTGCGATCATATCACTAAGAAAATAGTCATTTGTCAACCACAACATCGCCGAAAACTTTCGGTACTCCCGAAGTATGTCAACCAAGATGGCGGACACCGGAACGTAGTATCTGTACAAGGTTAGGGTTAGGCCATAATTTTATTCCAATTTTCCTTATTGTAGTTCTATTACGAGTTCGGGGACTATAGCCACGTAGTATTCGTACTCGAAATTATGGCCTAACCCTAACCTGGTACACAGACTACAGCAACAGACAATAACAACGAACCTTCACTTTCCTCTACTCCGTCAGCATGAGATCCTTTCATATCAATCTTCAAACCCTGAAAAATTATTGAGTGAAATATGATAGTTAATACAAGCAAGTATGTATATATATATATATATATATATACATATAGAATATTGTGCTTTTACTATTGAATTTAATCTTCAACAAAACAACACTTAGTAAGGTCTCGTGTATTGAAGTGTATTTTTTTTTAAATAATAGCATTCTATAAATATGTACACATAATAGTAATTGAGCGGTGAAGATCTACCTTGGGACTATTTGTGCGAAAACAAGATTTTTAGGCCATTATGGGATAGAGCAGGTGTGGGTAAGATTTCTGGACTGGCGGCCCATGTAAGTGTGACGTAAAAAGTTACATTTTATGAACAATATTTAGTGCTACAAAAACAAATGCGGAAAACAATATTCCTCGTGTCAAATCTAAATTCAATCTCTACAAATTCCTTGAGCAATTTTTCAGCTAAAACATTCAAAATTTAGCTTCAGTTTGGTTGTGGCAGGGTCGGATTTGGCCATGTCAGGGATAGAGGTTAAAATACTTGGCATGTAATTCAGAGTCATAACTATTTTTAAGTTTTTATCGCGTGCATGGTTGATTTTTATAAACCACGCGTATTCAACCACGCTTCCGAACAAGCAACATCGATATCTGATGATACACAAGTTTTCGACAAGCCCAGCTTTTAATCAATAAAAATTCTTTGTTTTTGTCTGGTTTATCAGGCTAGAATTAGATACTAAATCGCCTGAACTGCAGTTGATTACATTTATGTGGGAAATTGTCACGTGCGAGCTGGGATGGTGACTGAAGTCCTCACTGTCAAAAGTTGTTCGATTGACCTCTTATTGCATAATATGGGTTACGGCTTTTCCCTCTATTGAAGTCCACACATCTAGTACAATGAATCAGTAGCGGGATGATAATTCGTACGAGAAACCGTACTTTGCCGCCTGATTGAGACGTTATATTGAGACTTCCTGGAAAAATATGTAAAAAAAATCATACGTTTACCTCTGGTTTCTTCGTCTCTAACATTAGGAAATCATCGTTCGAAATTTTCCATCCAAACAACGATAACGTATCTGTTACTCGAGGGAGAAGATCCACCAATGCCTGTACATCTTCCTTTGAAACGGCTCTTTTCTCATTAAGACGAAGTGTGTTAAACTGTGGAGAAAAATGAAAGTTAGCATTGGGCTTGTCAATATGAAATATCAAAGTTTATCACCTTTGTATTTGGTGGCATATTTGACAATTCCTGTAACTGCGCTGTTGTTAATCGACAATTTTGCATGTCGAGTTTTTTCAAGTCCACACTGAGCTGCCATCTTTTTATCGTTTTCATACCTCGAATTCCCATGTTTGTGTTGCCATGGAGAACAAGAAGAGAAATCTAAAATTGGGATCGGGTAAGAAATGAATGTGAGTACATGGTCGACTAAAGCATTTTTTACTTTATTACAAAAGCAATACGAGGTGCCAACGAGAATTTGAAAGAACTTATTCTAATTGATCTTCTCGGTATATTCCTATTTAGGCGTGGTTGCATCAAATATGACAATGTCGCCGCCAATTTTTTTCAGTATCTCGAGGTTACCTTTGAGACAAAATTAAAATCAAAATTATTCAAATTGGCCCCATTGTGTAAATCTTAAAATACCGATGTCGCGTCTACGGCTCATTGTATCCCCAACGATAGGATATTGATTAAAGTAACGCTATTGTACAACGCACAGCTGCAAATACAATATATGCCAACGGCAACCAGGAGATCGCGTTTGTTGTTATAGGGAATATATCGCATTCGTATTTATGTCTATTAAGATATGAAGTAACCAGAAAACGTCGGAACTGAAATATAGATAGTAATTAGGCACGACAAAGTGTCATTTCAACTGACAAAAAAACATATCATTGGACGGCATTAATATGCCCATCCTGAGGGAGAATGGTTGTTGACTAAAATTGTTTCAACCACGCTTGCATTACTACCTCAGGGGTCACATACGGGTCCGAATTGCAAAGTAGACAAAGGATAAACACCTTCAGTTTGAGGTACTCCCGAAGTATGTGAACCAGTATGGCGGACACCGTTACCGGGTATGTGTACCAAGTTAGGTTTTGGCCATAATTTTATTCCAATTTTCTCTATTTAGTTATATTACGGGTTCGGGGACGAGCCAAGTAACTCCCGTAGTATTTGTACCGGAAATTATGGCTTAACCCTAACCTGGTACACATACTTACGTCCCGGTGTCCGCCATCTTGGTTCACATACCACGGGAGTACCTAGTTTGATACACAATGCCCAAGTACTTCCATTATTGGCAAATTGAAAACCGTATTTATACTTTTGAATAAATAATATTTGTGTATTTGATTAGATCCTACTCCATTCAGCATGATGCGAAAAGGAGAGACTTATTTGGATCATATCTTGAGTTGGCTGCCGCATATTAAAAACAACAAAAACGCAACTATGATTGTGTATGAAGAGATGATTAAGGTAATTCAGTAGTAATCACAAATGGTTCTAGGAAATATTGCTAAAGAAAAGCTCGCCGCATGAAAAATCGCCTTCGTTTCGTTATTTAACTTAACCCCAACTCTATAAACCTACATGTTTTTATCACAAATACTTGTTTTACAGCAAAATGCTCTTGCGATTTTTTATATGCGGCGAAATTTCCTACAGCGAAATTTCCTGCGGCGAATTTTCCGGGCACGATCCCAAATATATCTAACAAGCGATGCAGAACAGAACAACAAACATATGACGCAAAAAATATTGCCGAAGTATATTCTATTATGTGCTTAAATTTGGCCATGACTAAAAAGTAGAAGATTGAGTCTAGGTTATATGCTTGGCTAGTTTACCGACTTGAAAAAAACCGGAAAAATAAACTTTCGTATTACATGGTAAACACATTTCAAATTTTGTATCAGGGTTTTTGTTTATCCAGAATCCTTTTGGAAACACAAAAAAGCTGTCGGAATTCTTGGAGGTAAAGCTATCGGATGAAGAAATCAATAAAATAGTGAAAAATTGCTCAATTGATAACATGAAGAAATCAGACATGGAATCGACATCACAAGAAGCCATGAATCGCAAAGCAATTAATCTCTGCGGGACAGGTACATCTCAGTTTTCGTCGGTTTGAAATTTACGACATTCGCCTTGCTGCCATGCCAAATGCACTAAAATTATATTTTACTAGAAGCATATAAATAAAACGAATCAATGCAATAATGCGATGTTGCATGTAGTTGATTGTCTATTTACAAGAGGGAACGTTATTTTAAACACAGACTGACCCGAAATTCCTAAATTACAGTTTCAACTTTTACATATGGCTGAATATTGTTATATTTCCACTCTTATTAATAATTTTCGTTGTTCAGTGAATTAATTACATTCCAGGAATTATTGGCAAATGGAAAGATTATTTTACTTCTGAACAATCTGCTGAAATAGAGAAACAAGTTGAGGAAAAATTGAAAGGAACGCGAATTAAGTTTATATACGAATAATTAGTTTAACCAACTAAGCTTTTCCGAAAATTGCCCGCTCTCGAGTATATATTTATAGACTTTTGATGTTAAAATAGTTTACTATCTGTTTAGTATGGAATATTTGCTTTAAGATTACATTTATGTATATAGAGATGTGCGTTAGTAATAGTGTATAAATCTTTTTATATAAATTCTCACGTATGAATTTGACTAATTATCAATTTCAAACTTTTATTTCAATTTCATCGTTATTTCATACTATAGTATACTAAATAAATTGCTTATATAAATATCAGTATCACTTGGATGATATAGAAATCACGGTAATAAGAAATATAAGTTTCATAATATTTTAATAAAAGATTGATTTTGAAAAAAACGAAATTATTTTATAAAGTATATATTACTTTTAGAGATCATATGCATATCATACGATTGATTATATGCGGAAATATTATGACGAGCCTACAAACATGCATGATACAAAAGATATATAGGCCAAATGTGAATTCTAAACAATTATGAAACGGAAAAATAGCTTGTGATGTGAAGAATGTAATGACTAGCCCGAATGCAAAGCCCGAAACTGCGCTGAGTAAATCTTCGAAGTGAATTGTTCAAAGCGAAGCAAGCAAACTTAAATACCCAACTATATATATATATATATATATATATATATATATACACAGTCAATGTCATATACATGCAACCGAACGTACATATACAGCAATTGGAGTGGTACTTCTAAACAGCCAATGTCATATGCATAAAGCCAACCTAATACACATATACAGCCATTCAAGTAATGTAAATATATACATTCATAGTCATATGTATATATAGTTAGCCCAACATATGAATAAATATTTTTTGATGGTTTCTAACAAACTGTTATAGAATAACACCCGCAAACTTTTTCGAGTAAACCAGAGTTTTGCTCAGATAAAGTTTTGCTTGATAAAAATCATCCTTCTGTACCGTGCAATTGTGACGTTATTAATACGCCACTAGCACGCGGCCGGGGCATTTCGCTAGCTCAAGGCTGTAGGAATGTATGTCAGGAATGTCAATTTAATTTTATACAGGCAGTTCACAAATAATTCAAAATTTGTGTGTTCATTCCACATTCCGGTGAAAGAGGAAGTGGAATACATACAACTTGAAACTCGGACCCAGGCAACTAAGATTTGAGATATTCGTTCTGGGGTGATTCTACAAAAATTACGTTGTTGATGACAAGTATTCTATTCTGTGGCAAATGACATTGCATGATGCGACGCCAAGAAGGACTTATTTTTGCGAGTCTTTCTGCTCAAAAGTCAAAATTGTCAAATGGTTTGCGACAAATTATTTAATTTGCAAACCGCGGCACAACTGAAATATAATTTGGGCCTCCAGGAAGCTTTTGTGTTGGACCTGACTGATTGAAATCGCACTTCAATAAACTAATGTTTGGCTATTGGAAGTGAGCTGTCTTATTGATTAAAGTTTGGTGCAAACTGTAATTACGCACATCATATTATGTTTAATAAAAAGTATCTTCAGCTCGTTGACAAAATATGTCGACATTTCGTGCTTATCGAATTCAAATTTCAAACCGGCTTAGAATGGCTTGTATCAAGTGTAAATTACATGTGATAATATTCCACGATGCATCATTCAGAGATAAGTCTCTTCGAAAATAATTTGCCGATGCTTTTTATATTTATCAAAATGTGAAGTGAGTAATGATAGTTGGCACTGAACTTTAAATTAATTAGTATGTCTATAGTTTACTGTCACTGCCAATGGCCAAGTAATGGAGCTAGAATTCCAATGTCGTTGTTACCACCGGGACATAATATTGTACGTATTCTTGTACCACGCGGGTCGGCAATTGTTATGTATCATTATGCGCAAACAACATGTAGAGCCGTATCGCTGAATGATGCCTATGTCATGGCATTTTGTTACATCTAATTTACATTTTTTCATCACAGTTCTCTTTATTTTAATCAATAGCATTTATGAAGGGTTCTATATGTGCAATAACACTACCTTTTACGTCAACGAGTATATAGACTCATCCTAAAAAAATACGGCGATGTTTTCTAAATTATTTAAAATTTGAAGTGAAATATGATAGATTGCACGGAACGTTGAATTGATTGATTTTTGGACAGTTCAATGTCAATGTTCATTTAATATTGCATTCAAGGGAGAATTTTAAATTTGTTGTTGCTATCAGTGCATCCCTGGTGTTATGGGCAATCATCGAGATGTTGTGGGGCATTAGTACATTATAGATTGCAACCTGACATTTGTATTCAAGTACCACGAGCGGACCAATTTGTAGGTTTCGTTATTTGCAGACAACGTGTATATATAGAAATGGAGGAAAATGAAATAGTTGGGCATTATTTGTACATCACTTAGATGACTGTATATGTATATAGAGTTGGCTGTACTGTATATGCATATGAGATGACATTGGTTGTATATGTTTATTTGGTTGGCGGTATATGTGTGGCACCTGTGTGTTCTGTCCTCATTTATTCAACAATAGACAGGGGAGTTCAGTGTTGAAGATATGGTTGTATTAAAAAGATTAAAACCTTTCCACGCACTGCAATTTTTTGCCGCCGGCTTTACAAAGACAAGCATAGATATTGTATTGCAATTGTAGTGTTAATGGTATAAGAATAAGGTATTAAATTACATTTCAAGTTTGGTGACTTTACATGTTTCTCGACGGTGGTAGATGTGAGAAGAAACCAAATTGCAGTGAGATAAACACTCCAATGCTAGTCATTGAACAAAAGAAACTTACAATTGTTGCATTTTCAGGAACTTTTAGACTTAGTAAACAGCATGGCAAACTTAAATAATGAACTACCTGAGTGGTGTCGAAAGGATTTTGTTCATTTCCATGACACTTTCGAGTTTACTCCAGAAGACAAAACACAAACTTGGAATGACCATATATTCACCGCACAGATACATCCTGAAACAGTAGCCTTCGCTTTTAGTCATCATGAACCAAAAAGAAAACGAAGTGATGTTAGCGTCGTGTCCAAACTAGATCAAATATTAACTGTTTTTCATCACGTCAAAGCTTTAAACCATCAGCTACTGATAGGCTGTCTATCATGTTTAAGAAAAAGCTGGTCATTTGTTATTCATTACAAGTATAGCATTATTAAAATGTCTCTGTTAGTGGCATTAAATTAGTTATCTAATTAATCTCAATGAATGAATGGTTTGAATTATAGAATAAGTAATACGTTAGGTTTTGGTATATTTTATCGATAGTCTGAGAAAAATTTGGGCACTAAAATTATGTAAAGACAATGCACTCCCATTTGTGCTTATACAGTGAGTTGATACAAGATATAAAACTTGTTCTCTGACATATCAAAACTCAATTCAATTTGCTCTTAACATTACAGTAGGCTAGATTTGCTAGTAAACCTACATTTGACATTACTGCAATGGTAAGATCGCGAAAGGAAAAAGTCAATTTCACTGTGGTATGGTAACCGAGCAGTACCGTACCTGCAGGCTTGATCACGCAACCGCTTGAAATAAGTTTATAAACAGTGTTCCCATGAGTAAATTTTAGAACAGCGAAATTTTGAATGAAATACCAGATCTCATAGGATTCATAGAAAATTCAGGAATAAATTAAAGTAATAGTCTTCTGGAAAAAAATCACACTTTAACCACCGAAAATTTCAAAGCAATTGGTCCAGTATTCGAAGAGAAAAGCGAAGAGAAAACGATTTATAATGATGGTGACGTGTAAGAAGAACAATAACAACAACATATCATTGAAACGATCGTTATGTCCACTAAAGTGTCCAATAAGAGATATCACATTGTCGCATTTGTATAGAATACTGCGGGCAACGATATGCTGTTTTGTAAACCTCTGTACTACCAAAATGGTCTTTGCCTGAATGACTAAGCGCTATCAGGTTTATTCATTATTAAGTTTATTTTGTAGAAATATAAGCAATTCTATTGATTTATGACGAAATAATCTACAACTATAATCAATATGGAGGTAACTAATTTTGTTCGCCTACTTTACATCAAGTTGTGTAAAGGGACTGAAGCCTATGGGCAGAGGGTATATTCACTTGGCTAACACAGACAGTACCCGAACTCGGAATAGAACTAAAATAAAGAAAAAAATTATGGCTTAACCCTAACCTGCTATACATACTACGGAAGTACCCGTTTCTCTCCATCGGAAGTCACGAATCAGGGTTTGGGGCTCACTGCAATATTTTCGTCAAACTCACATCGCCGAAGTTAACGTAATGGTGCGTTCTTTTCTAAGTGCAGTTTCAAGTATTTTGTGGTGTCTAGCGCTGCCGCAAAACCATGGCGGGATTTTCAAACCATGGCCTCTATGACCGAACCCACGGCGACTGACTTTTTAGCTGCCACAAACCAATAGCGAGCTGCCGCTGTTACGGCAGGAAATCGAATACCACCAAACGGAATGTCGGCTGTAATAGCAAGACTGCCCCCGATGGTGATAAATATGGGTAAGTTGGAACGCTTTCCTTATGAATACAGTTTTGATGTATTTGGGGTTAGGTTTAGGTTTAAGTAGATATAATACCGCATGATGAACTAAAATATTGTACATGACTTTGTAAATATCCTGGTAATAGCGCGATTAAACCATGGCAAGAGACGCAGCGGTACGTTCGTTGCAGGAGCTGCCATAAAGTGGTGTATGAGGTATGGTCCTGGTATACTATATACCAGGTCTACTCAACTATTTTTGCCAAAGATCCGCATACAAAACTTCAAAAATATTTGGGTCCGGTCTTTCCAGAAATTATATTTCGGCATCCTTACATGCACTTGATCCAAATGATCCAAAATAAAGAATTAGACGCGGTGCGAATCGAATACCCGAAAGGTCCGGATTAGGACCGCGGTCCGCCAGTTGAGTAGCCCTGCTATATACCATCGATAAAACCAAATATTAACTTGTTTCAAGTTTGTGCTGCATATCACCTACTTATATGTTACTTATTCTCCAATCGTTTGTCTCCAATTCATTTGATCAGTCACACTTTTAGAGTATTCTGGAATTCATATACCAAGGAGAGTTTTTTTTTTATCATAATATCAATTGGCCTAATGATTGAATGTAAGTCGGCTTCCCAGTTAAAATTAAGCAACTCAACTTTTCCAAAAATTATCATGCTTTCGGGTTTATCATTTACATAGTATAGTAAGCTGGATATATTTGCACCAACAAGAAATACATATAGAGCTATATATATTGATAGAAATGTACATCCTTGCTACACAAATGCTTGGATAAAACCATATGACCTAATTGTAAACTTTTATTTCATCTTTATTTTATAGTTAATTAAATTGCTTGTGTAAATACAGGTATTACTTGCATGAGATATAAATAATATATGTTGCAAATATTGTAATAAAAATTGAACTTAAAGAGAGAAGTTTAAGGTATATAAAGTGTGCGTATTAACTAGCTAATATTTTGACAAAGCTGGATTACATAAGAAAATATCATGAAGACAATACAAAAAAGTCTTGAGTGATGAAAATTCCTCTTAAACTACAAAAAGAAAAATGCATAATATATATTGTATACGATTAGAAATTAAAATTAATTAGAAGGTGAATCAAAAACAAAACGGGTCATTTGGAAAATATTTTAGACGGAACAAAAATTTTGTGCAAAGCGTAGTAGATTACTTAAATTTTTGTATATGATAATATACAAACAAAGGTTGGCGTATCAAATAATTTTATTTTATTTTCGTAGTGAGTAATTGAGAAATATGTGAGATCCGTTTTTTGGGTCATGCTCTACTAGCATTGGAGTATACGAGAAATCGATGTACGTTTTGAGAATTCAAATACGGGACCCTTTGATTGCCTTGTGCAATACTCGATATTCGTCTGTTTTAGAAAGTCTTCCACTGAGGAGAATTCTTTAGAGTTGGCACACTCCATTGATAGCTTAGCTTGTAAGCTTGAATACCGACCATCGCTGCATTTGTTATTGCACATTTGCTTGTGGAGAAACAAACAGAATATTTTGGCCTTCATTCTTATTTATATTTATCTGTCCGGATCCGTAGTTGACATAATTTCCTTGAATCACTGAAACATGAATTTGGGTTCAATATCTGGTCAAGTATGAAATTTGGTACTAATTGTTATTTTCCTCACACACGCCTAAACTGAGTTTTCGTAACTCGGTTTTACTCGTAACTATCTGTCGGTTTTACTACCTGAGATATAACCGATTTGTGTAATTTAATTAATTTTGTGTTTTGTGATTATAAAGATCAACAAATTTGTCAGAAGTACATGCAATTAAAATTCTATAGCAGTATGCTTTTTGATATTTCATTGATTTAAAACATAAGTTAAGTAAACGAAGCAAAAAGACGCCATAGCGTTTCTAAAATGATATTATAAACTAACAACATAAGATACCTGGAGCAGGTGGTGGTGTCGGTAAAACTGCTGGCCACCGATTTCTAATACTGTGTAGTTCTGGAGTCTCAGAGTTAACAATAACGGAGTATCCTATTTCCAAACTATTGCAAGAATCATCAGGTTTTGGTTGGAGGTTGAAATACTTTTGTTTCCACATGTTTGACATTACTTGATCCACAAATATTTCGGTGAAAGATTCCTTTCGGCGCTTAGGAGGTTCAATGTCTATTCGAACTTCGTCTCCTGAGTCGCCCTCTACAAATTCACATTGGAGTGGCTGGCTACAGCTTATTGCAATACGGATTTGACTTCCCGGTGGCGAAATGAAATTCAATGCGGGTGTCATAAATTCAATACCAATATTCCCGCGTGACATATTTTCCCGAATTTCATTTAGAATTGTAGTATCGCGTTTGCATACAATCGAAGTAAAAGTTGCGTCGTTGTTATAATATAGCAAATTGGTCATATGATATTTGATAGGAATTCCAAGTAATTCTCTCAGAAACATGTATGCAGTTTTAACATAATATCCCAGTGAACATAGCGAAAATCCCTTAGTCTCAAATCCCACAGTTCCGGAAGTCCCCAATTTTGCAGTTTTCTCGACTTTCCATGTAGTATCATTATCCTTTTTCTTTAAAACCAATATTTCTGCTTCGCCGTGATAGGTTGTACACCATGTTTCCATTTCTACTCTAACAGGTTTGTTTAATTTTGATCCAGACAAGTCGCAGTTAAGAATCGTCGAGATTAACACAAACTGTGAAGGCCAATGCGAAGGATCGCTATCTACAGATAACTTTATGTTTGTTTTTTGATCCAAGGCACCATCGGGGAAGATAATTCTGTTTCCATTTAGCGATATTATTTCTCCTTCTTTATCAATATGTTTTTCTGTGAATAAAAAACATGTGTTTGGATTATATTATGCATGGAAATTGCGTTATATATTTTGGACGGTGTAGACTCATCAGAAATAAATAAATCTGCATTTCACAACGCATCGACCTAATTAGGCTTTCAACGTTTAGTACAATAACTACTTGTTTAAATGGCAATAATCATAATTTTATATTGCATATACAAGACTGAACCTCATGATGTCTATCAAGATGTTATGCAATATATATCAATAAACCTGTTGATTTAGTGAAGTGGACTTCCTCTTCTGTTTCCAATGATGACTGGCTCGTAGATGAAGATTCTGGAAAATAAGATCTTTTGTAAGTATTTGAGAAATTCATTGTTGGACATGGGGATTTGAATCGTTGTGCTGAGGTGTTGTGTATAGACTTCGACGTACTTTCTTTGAAAACTAATAAACCAGACTGATCGCTTCCAAATTGTCAGTTAAATAAGGTGGAAGTGTCTCTTAATAATTTCCTATTTTATCATACTCCCTCTGATCTTTCTGAGGCCCGTTGTTTCACCCCAAATTAGCTGAATTGGAACAAACTCGATAACATGTATTTTTCCGTTTGGTTTTCTGTTTGTTCGGATTTCGCGAGCGAGTGCCACGGTCATCGGCGATGTCTGATGGGTACACGCATTTCGTGCGTGTGATATTCGACCGCTCATTTCTCCTTATACCGATGGACTAAACAGTAAACGGTGATCAGAAACAAGTGAAATAGCGAGTGATTTCCCTACATAGGGGGTGACCCCCCCCCCCCCTAAAGTTTCAGATTTACAATATACTTTAATTAAATAAATATATTTGAATACTCAGAAAGTGGCTCACATGCCGGTGAAGAGGATCAGTCAAATGCATTACATATTTTTACAAGTTACAAATAGTTATTACTAATAGCAGAATATCCACCACCCCCTAAATACCTAAATTTGACCCCCCCCTCCTCCTGAAATAAAAATTTGGAAACATGGGATACTAAAAATAGCTAATGCCAACGCGAAAAATCATTGCATTGTGCGTGTAATCAGCAGGAAAGTTCGATGAAACTTGTATCTAAAACATACTTACCTTCTCCCGACCACAACAAATCGGTAACCAATGATTCGCCGTCACTGAGAGTTGATGTTATTTTCAGGTACTGTCCAGGATTAGGAAGTGATTGTAATTTGAAGTCAACAGTGCTTCGTCGTGTGAGAGCAAAGTTTTCTCCTAGCAGGAAATATTCTTTGGATTCGGGTCCAAATGTCATAACCTCTTGACCAGGAAATTTGCATGCAAATGTAAGGCTAAGTTTGTTCGTTATGGCAATTTTCTTAGTTTCAAAATCGGCGTCGACTTTATTGAAACCTTTTTTCCTCATTTCTGCGTCTACATCTGGTTTTCCTCCAGTATATAAGACAGCTTTGAACCTTCCACTTTGGGCATAGTATACAGAAATATGCGCACTGTAAGTAACTTTGTTCAGTGAATTCTTATCGATGGAAACCCAAAAATACATGTGGTAAGCAGATTCGAATGTTATTTGTCGTCCACAGTCTTTCAAATTTTTTCGTTCCAGAATCTGGCAGGTAGCGTCCTGTCCTTTGTCTTTGTACATGACATAAGCAATGACATCATCAGATTCAGTTCTGCACCACGTTGGTAGCTTGACCGTCATAGGGACGTTAAAATTTATTGGTGGGTTACATGTGATGCGGGGTGTGATAGTAAAATACCCTTCCGGCTCGTTCCCTGGGTTAATTGTGGCAAGAACTTGAAAAAACGTCGGTTTTTCGACAGTATTTCTCTGGAATCGTACTCTACATGTTCCAATCTTCATTTGAAAACCTCTTGGGTCGATGTAACCTGTAGAACAAAGCATAATGGTAGATTACAGCATAATGAATCATATGTACATTTCGTGTCCAGTAAGATGACGTCCACCGATTTTCCCATAGCACTCGAGCCCGTAGCACTCGAATGTATTGTATTGTTAGCGTAGTGTAAAACTTGAAACCCACCCAAGAGAAATGTTCTCATCGCCATTTCTTATTGTGGGAAGTTGGAAACATTTTGATTAATAAGTTTCAAATTACATACAACATAAAAAGCATATTTATAAATTGTAATAAATTTTAATAACATAGATTATAGAATACAAAAAGGCAATGCGACTCGAAATGAGGTGCGATCATATCACTAAGAAAATAGTCATTTGTCAACCACAACATCGCCGAAAACTTTCGGTACTCCCGAAGTATGTCAACCAAGATGGCGGACACCGGAACGTAGTATCTGTACAAGGTTAGGGTTAGGCCATAATTTTATTCCAATTTTCCTTATTGTAGTTCTATTACGAGTTCGGGGACTATAGCCACGTAGTATTCGTACTCGAAATTATGGCCTAACCCTAACCTGGTACACAGACTACAGCAACAGACAATAACAACGAACCTTCACTTTCCTCTACTCCGTCAGCATGAGATCCTTTCATATCAATCTTCAAACCCTGAAAAATTATTGAGTGAAATATGATAGTTAATACAAGCAAGTATGTATATATATATATATATATATACATATAGAATATTGTGCTTTTACTATTGAATTTAATCTTCAACAAAACAACACTTAGTAAGGTCTCGTGTATTGAAGTGTATTTTTTTTAAAATAATAGCATTCTATAAATATGTACACATAATAGTAATTGAGCGGTGAAGATCTACCTTGGGACTATTTGTGCGAAAACAAGATTTTTAGGCCATTATGGGATAGAGCAGGTGTGGGTAAGATTTCTGGACTGGCGGGCCATGTAAGTGTGACGTAAAAAGTTACATTTTATGAACAATATTTAGTGCTACAAAAACAAATGCGGAAAACAATATTCCTCGTGTCAAATCTAAATTCAATCTCTACAAATTCCTTGAGCAATTTTTCAGCTAAAACATCAAAATTTAGCTTCAGTTTGGTTGTGGCAAGGTCGGATTTGGCCATGTCAGGGATAGAGGTTAAAATACTTGGCATGTAATTCAGAGTCATAACTATTTTTAAGTTTTTATCGAGTGCATGGTTGATTTTTATAAACCACGCGTATTCAACCACGCTCCGAACAAGCAACATCGATATCTGATGATACACAAGTTTTCGACAAGCCCAGCTTTTAATCAATAAAAATTCTTTGTTTTTGTCTGGTTTATCAGGCTAGAATTAGATACTAAATCGCCTGAACTGCAGTTGATTACATTTATGTGGGAAATTGTCACGTGCGAGCTGGGATGGTGACTGAAGTCCTCACTGTCAAAAGTTGTTCGATTGACCTCTTATTGCATAATATGGGTTACGGCTTTTCCCTCTATTGAAGTCCACACATCTAGTACAATGAATCAGTAGCGGGATGATAATCGTACGAGAAACCGTACTTTGCCGCCTGATTGAGACGTTATATTGAGACTTCCTGGGAAAAATATGTAAAAAAAATCATACGTTTACCTCTGGTTTCTTCGTCTCTAACATTAGGAAATCATCGTTCGAAATTTTCCATCCAAACAACGATAACGTATCTGTTACTCGAGGGAGAAGATCCACCAATGCCTGTACATCTTCCTTTGAAACGGCTCTTTTCTCATTAAGACGAAGTGTGTTAAACTGTGGAGAAAAATGAAAGTTAGCATTGGGCTTGTCAATATGAAATATCAAAGTTTATCACCTTTGTATTTGGTGGCATATTTGACAATTCCTGTAACTGCGCTGTTGTTAATCGACAATTTTGCATGTCGAGTTTTTCAAGTCCACACTGAGCTGCCATCTTTTTTATCGTTTTCATACCTCGAATTCCCATGTTTGTGTTGCCATGGAGAACAAGAAGAGAAATCTAAAATTGGGATCGGGTAAGAAATGAATGTGAGTACATGGTCGACTAAAGCATTTTTACTTTATTACAAAAGCAATACGAGGTGCCAACGAGAATTTGAAAGAACTTATTCTAATTGATGTTCTCGGTATATTCCTATTTAGGCGTGGTTGCATCAAATATGACAATGTCGCCGCCAATTTTTTTCAGTATCTCGAGGTTACCTTTGAGACAAAATTAAAATCAAAATTATTCAAATTGGCCCCATTGTGTAAATCTTAAAATACCGATGTCGCGTCTACGGCTCATTGTATCCCCAACGATAGGATATTGATTAAAGAAACGCTATTGTACAACGAACAGCTGCAAATACAATATATGCCAACGGCAACCAGGAGATCGCGTTTGTTGTTATAGGGAATATATCGCATTCGTATTTATGTCTATTAAGATATGAAGTAACCAGAAAACGTCGGAACTGAAATATAGATAGTAATTAGGCACGACAAAGTGTCATTTCAACTGACAAAAAAACATATCATTGGACGGCATTAATATGCCCATCCTGAGGGAGAATGGTTGTTGACTAAAATTGTTTCAACCACGCTTGCATTACTACCTCAGGGGTCAGACTTGGATGTAATACCCCCCCCCCCCCCCCTCCACCAAGAATAATACATCTCATTGATACAAACTTCTATATCTGTGCTTTTTCTCCTTTTTATCGGACCAACCCCCCCTCCCGTTTCAAGCTAATCCATCTTTCCACACTCACTAGTAAATACAAAAGGGCCTTTATCCGCTTTCCACGCACACTCGCTTTACTTACTTTGTTATTTTTCATTGTGTCGAGCAAGGCATCCAACTGATCCGGCTTCATATCTGATCTATAGAGATGAAGTTTATCGATGACACAATTTTTGCACCATCTTCCCATTGTTGAATATCCCTCTACGCCAAGATCTGTGTTGAGGCCAATCCATAACTCATAATTCTATGACAAAGTGCAAAAATAACATTTCAACATATGAGTCTAGGTCAGGAAAACAACGAGAAACAATATTGTGACGTAACAATCTATGTTACTGATATAATGGTGACCGAACAATGCCCGGGTACACAAGGAAAAACCTGTATATAGCTGTAAGCGCGTTAGTGGTCACTTGGAATCCGCTTTCCGTTCTCTTTCTACTTTTATTTGAGACTAGACATCGCTTTGAATGAACGGCAAAAATGACGGAGGGGATAATTCAATGAAAAATGTTGGGAACCACCTGTATAAGAAATTATAGTTTAAAATTGCGCGTTAGTAAATTTACCTTCAATCTTGATTTTTCCAACACAGATGAAAGAATATTGATTGATTCATCGTTAATGCTACAATTTTGTATATCCAGATCATCAAAAACATTGCAACGTGAGATAACAGAACCCAAAGCATGACAATCGCCAGGAGACAACGGAAAATTCTCCAAGTTTATTCGGTATAAATTCTCCTTGATGACGGCATCTATACCTTCTCTGCATTCGTGCAACGATAAAATAATTTCGAGTAAGTCTGCTCCTTCCAAGTTCGGTCGACGAAGCTCTTTTGTAAAAAAATCCCGAAGAATCTTTTTTTTTTCTTCGACATTTGTTATTTCTGTTGTTAGTTAGATAAAAGTAATTATATTTCTCGTTAGTATTATGATGCAATATTTGTAAATTCTTTTAAATCAACGTTTGTCTTGAAAAATTCAAAAAATGTAAATATTAAATATTTATAAGAAAAATTTCTACGGTTAAGAAAATGGTAAATGCTGTGTCATTTATGTATTCGCATGAAACACGAAATTAACTTGAAGAAAACACAAAATATAATGCTGTACCATGAATTAACATCTGCTCCGCCTGTTGAAAAAGATCATCGTCCATCAGCACGCCGCACAGAAATCTTCTTACCACTCGAAATCTTGGCTTGTCAAGATCCTGCGCAACAAATGTAGTGAAGTCGTCTATATTCATCTCACAAATAAAAAATGCAGAAAGCATTTCTTGGAGACTCTGATGACTGAAAAAAAGTAAATCGTTTCCTTGGAGTATGCTTCCTCTTCCGCCTCTTAAAGTTATAATAGAAATGCTGACTGCGTCACTACGATCCAAACCGACGTGTCGAAAATCTTCCTCCGCAAAATGAACTTTGCTCTCCGAACAGCCGTTATGAGCCAGAGCTTTTAACTTGTTAAAGATTTCCAAAACATCCTCAGAACTCTTTTCTTTTGTTACGTGATCAGATCTCATAATGCTCTGTAATACAGATACTGTAATACCAGATATTGTGGAAGGCTTGGATCTACCTTGTCTTTGTGATTGCGGATCTTTTTCTTCTTCGCTACCATCTTGCAGTGCAACTAGAGTGTAGACTAGTAACACAGGAGTGCTACAATATGCAAGTTGATCTGGACACTCACTTTTTAAATAATGCATTGTTTCATTTCCTTTCTTTTCTCCCAAGTAACCAACGATTATTTCCTTGATAGAATCTTTTGTAAGACCTGTGAGTGCGACTACTTTTTGAGGTCGAACTTCTCCTTTGTAATTACGGATCGAATGTTCACGGCTAGACGTGATGATGCGAGAACCAGGAAAGAGATTGCCAGCAAGAAAATTCCAAAGAATTGCTTCCGGATTTGCTTCCTCATTGACGTCATTAATGTACTCATAAACTCCATCAAGGTCATACTGAAGGGAATCTAATGAATCCAGCACAAAAACAAAACCATCTGGGTTTGATTTTATATCTTCGATAATTTGCGTGACTTCTTCATCAGATAAATCTTTCAAAGTACTTCCAAATATTAATTCACGTGCAGTTATTAGCTTGTTTGGTAGATAAGGTGCACATTGCATGAAGTGAATGGCATTAACATTTTTCATATATCGTCCATCAAGGGCTCCTCTCGATATAGCTTTGAGTAAGGTAGTTTTACCATATCCGGCGCCTCCCACAAATGTGATATGTCCTTTCTCAAATTGTTCCAACAAATCCTTCAACTCTATCAAAGATCCAACATTGACACCGCCATCACCATCATCTCTATCATTTGCGGATTCCGGTGTATAATCGTCTTGTGGCGCGGTATGTTTCCCAAAAAAATCGATTTCCTTCAATTGTGGATTGACCTCAACATTGAGTTGCTTTTCAAACGTGCCACGTGCTTCATCGTAAAATACCGTATGTTTCTTTGTAATGTCGTTCAGCTTTTCAATAGCTTTTGGCATGTTGTGCGTTCATCAATCGTAAAATAAAAAAATCTCGTAAATAAAATCTCTGAAACTGAAAATATACAACACTGAAGTATACCCGATAAATATTTCAATAGTGTATTGGCAAGTGCAATTTGACACCGTGGTAAACATTTGAAAAAATGATTGCCACAGCACCTCTGATTACCCTGCGTTGGTTCGCAGATGCGAATCCCATGAGGGATAATTATGCGCGAGAGGATTGCTGGAATCCTCGCCGCCGTAGGGTGGTTCAAGTGATCAAGGGTCGGATAAGGATCCCTCCCCCAAAAAGTCCATGCATCTCATATATATAATCAACTGGCTAACTAATACCATACCCGACATGGATTGGTAACCAAACGAGAGACCATGGTTCGTCATATGATTAAGCTTACTTATCAGATTTCCTCTCCCCCGAATAAATATGTAAATCCTATTCCCCATCATATGTACAGCAGCGATGTAACTGGCAGTCGCCTACAATTGAGGAAATTACCGAAGCATCGTTATGGTGTATTGTCGTGAATGAACCGCCGGTAAAATCGTTTTCCGCGGGAATTGAAGCAGTACAACTCTGACAACTCAAGTAAATCGGCGTAAGAAGAAAGGCGTAACCGACCAGTGATTATTATGAACATATGTTGAGGGCGACGAGCGATAGTTTCACATGCAATACACGGCGTAATTCAGATCAGCGAAGAAATGTTTGTTAACCAAAATTCAGATTCAGGGAAATGGCCCAATTATTTTTCAATTTGGGAAAGGAAACCAGGGATTTTTAGATAACTCAGTTTGCAGTTGAAGATTGCGATTTTGAATAAAGCGTCTGCTTCTTATATATATAGGAATGCATGGGACATCTCAATTTGATGATGGCTCATTTCGCGTTTTGTCATCAACACAAAAGACTGAATTTAATATCAGAAAAGCCGTCTAAAATCTCACATGGAAATTGACTTACAATTCACGAATCTAAAATGACGATATATTACATGAACTAATGTTTTATCATTCGTACAAGATATTGAAGGTTGGTAACTATTTCACAAGCAAATTTGTACGAAGTGTTTCCGTGTGTATTTTATGTTTGGAATTGCTGTATTTATTCGAGTATAACGCGCCGATTGTTGTCGTCAGCGTGACGTGTTATTTAAGCCGTGAACACCTTTACGTCGGCGTTTATAATTCCTAAATCACAAATTTAACTCGACATATGTATGTCCTGAGCCACGAAGACGATAATAATTACTTCGGCGGGATAAATAAAGGAATGAATCCGCAACCCAAATTTATCTGATTGAATAGCGCCATTCTAAAATACGAAAAATAAAACGAAAAATACCGTTTTGATTTAGAAGGCCCGCGACAGATGAAACACGCCATGTAGACATTGTAAAATGCAAAATTTCGTGTAACACATTATTATTGATGACTAAAAAGACCATACCGTCACTGAAATCGAAACAGAGTCAATTTTGCGCGAGATGTAATTTTTTTTATCTATTGTAAAACTACCGAAGGGACTGACGCGACTCTTTCCCGGATTATGATGATGTATACAGTGGTGGGATTCAAATTTTTTGTCAGCCGGTTCCATTACACGAATGCCATATTTTCAGCCGGTGCTGTTAAAAAAGTCATGTTTTTTTCAGTAATGCCAACCGGTTCGCTGATCTCATAAAATTCCGTGAGACGGTTCTATAGAACCGGTGCGAACCGGCTGAATCCCACTACTGGATTTATACTGTATTGTAGGCTATAGCAGGGGACGGCAACCTACGGCCTGTTTGAAAATTTGAACAAGTATCAGTTTCATAAAAGTTTAAACCGGTTTTATTCTGGAATAAGGCTTTCTATTTTAAATTACAACTTAAAAACGATTTGAATATGAGTAACAGTTCAAAATTGAATGTCGAGGGCCCTAGACATTCAGCCTACATTGCTCAATTGTCGGCATTGCAGATTACAGAGCCTTGCCGTCCTCAACCTTTCCTAGCGTACACCTGCCTATGCACCATTGCGATTGTCAGACTCATAACTCGACAATTTAAACGCTCTGTTCTACTTCGCGTGACACCATGGTGCAATGGCCCGCCCAATTTTTTTAAAATCCTACTCTGCAAAACAAAGTTACAACAAATGCGTTTGAATAGGCTCTCGGTCTGGGGTGTATACAAAGTCAATTCACCGAAAAGCTACGGACCTATATTTATAGTTACACTTTGGGACACCATTGAAATTGTAACAAGAGAATGAATTTGTAATAACACTATCGTTGTCTCCCTTTTTTGCAACGTCGCCGTCGATTACGTGGGTGGCCAACTTTTTTCATCCGCGGTCTCCGACATAATAATAATACACAGAACACACGGACATTTCAGATCAAGTCAATCGTGGATATGTTAATGTTTTTTAAATGCTTATCCAAGCGCGGGACACGCAAAATCTCCCCATAGTATATACGCCTGACGAAGAGGGGTCGGCTCCCACAATATTGTAGAAACCTTTTTTCCGGGATACACAGCCATGCAAACAGATATCAAGGCCATATATTTATATATAGGCCTATCATATATATGGAACAAAAAACCGGGGCAGGGCAGATTGGACAACATTTGGTTCGATTCCGAGGCATAGTAGCATTCAACACATATGAATAATAGTAATATTCATTGGGAATGTGCACTTTTTATGGCAATTCGAATAATTTTCCTGCAGTACAGCTAATGTTATATACTAAATTGACCTATACAACAGCATATATATATATAATATTTATGACATAACGATATAGTAGTTTCCTCTCTCTCTCGCCGAACTATTGAAGTGAGTCGCAAATCAGTTTTAAATGGAATGTCTCAATTAACAAAAAAATAAATTTGCATTAATATTAAATATATAAATTATTTATCACCGCCAAACTGCATGACTGTGATATTTGCGGGACAGCTTGCCAAAACCGGGAGTAAAGTATATATATATATTCACGTTACATGCCTACTATGGACAGGCATGTTTCCGATACCTTTTACGGGGCAATATGGTAGTTACAACTTACAAGGTTCAACTTTTCAGTCGGGATGCAATTATTTTTAACGATTTTCGGGGGTCATCCTCCTGTCCGATGGACACTAACATTTGCTGTACTGGCTGCGCCGCCGAGTTGACTATTTTCATCTATATTACCATGACCTCTTAGTTATGTATTGGATATGTGTTTTTCATTTTTTTAACACCTTGTGTACATGTAAGATGATATATAAATAAGATTTTCCAGATTTGCCCAGAAGCGAGAAAAATCTCGATAAGGTGATTCAACATAAAGGCATCTTGTACTTTTACACATTTCTGGCTCAGCCATTAAGTTGTTCCAAGTACAAGAATTGCAATGACAGCCAAACTTTAACGGTCCAGCGGCACGTGAATCATTATGCCTCGGCGAACAAATGAAATCTAACGCTACGCGAGAATTTAAAACGTGTTTGGCGTACCTGTCGAATATTTGGTACTCCCGAAGTATGTGAACCAAGATGGACGACACTGGCCATAGTTTCATTCCAATTTTCATTATTTTAGTTCTATTACGAGTTCGGGGACTAGCCAAGTGACTCCCGTAGTATTTGTACCGGAAATTATGGCCTAACCCTAACCTGAGTACCGAATATTCTAGTTAATTTTACGGGTTTCAAGTATTTATATATTATGTACTTTAAAATCCAATTCGATCTAAACATTCCGTCATCCGCAAGCACATTATAGCTAGTTATATTTCTTTGTGTTCTCACAGCGATCTTCAAAAAGTATATACAGAAGAATTCTTGGCATGAAAAGTTATAATTTTTTGTACTACAATATTTAATCTGCATTTCTAAATAAAATCATTTTCTGGATAAAGAAATAAATATCTTTGAAAGAATAAAACTGATACACAGATTAGTAAAATTACCAAAAAAATTTAACATATGGACAGATTTCGATGATGCAAATAAGACAGAAAATACGAATGAAATTATTCAAATTACCGCTCGATGACCAGGAATAAATGAAAGTGTATTTGTATTGTCATTTCTCTGACTACTGAAAAGGAATCTGATTAAAAATTAACCAGTACCAGGAAACTGAGTGCAGTGCCTTCATAGCGCTTCAATAAGAGTAACAAGTTAAAACCTCTCAGCTGTGAAGCAAATGACTGCTGTTGGACTTTTCAAAGAAATCTCACCAGTTTCATCAAAAATCATAAAATTTTATCACCAATCAATGTTTAAATGGAGACCAGTTTATGTGCATATCATGCTTGGTTTCAACCAAACAGTCAAGTTATTGTTGATTAGGATTCACAATGAAATTTTTTATCTATGATCTATAAATTTATGACAATGAAATTGGTTTATAGAGAAACAAAATCCAGATGAGCAGAATTCAGATCCCGCTATTTGGCAAAATTAGGATTTGCATGCATGCATTATAGTCAAAATACAAAGGCTTAATTTTACACATAAAATTGCATTATAGCAAGAGTAAGTCAAATACTACTGCTACTATATCTAAGATATACGATAAAGTGAAACACATCTTTTTAATAGAGATACCAAAAAAAGAAAAATAGAAGTAGAAGTATTGAAAGATTTGCATTCAAGCATTGTCTAATATTTAAGACAGAATTGATTTGATTATTGCCATATGATGACATGACCATCTCACAAACAATGAGGAATAGATGACACCTGAACAGATAACTAAGGTTAAATTAGGACATTATTATGTGATAATTGCACACCCAACACATACTGGTAATGTATATTTACCACTTCATACCTTGCAAATATTGCACAAGTCAATACATCATTGGGTGATATATTTAGGCATCTTGACACTTCAAATTATCTAAAAGTGCCTTAAATACTGGAGCAAGCTTATTTAAATATTGATAATATATTTTTCAAACTATAGCATTACAAAAGCAAAATAGTATTCGATATTAACAATTCTTTTGTCAAACAAATACTTGACAACCATTACACACCAGCACATGACTTTTCCCAATGATTAATTGATCAGCAATAATTACTATTACCTTAGGGCAGTCAAATGGTTATGACGGAAAAGTGTGTTTGTAATGACATAGTACAATTGGTTTGTAAAGCTCTATTAGTCAGAATGTTCAGAACACCCAAAACAATATGGAATATAGATGATAAAGCACATAATTGAAGCACAAAGAGAACAAACCGGAATAAAAATTCCCAAAAACATTTGAAAAATACCAAATATCTTGTCATGTCGAATATCAGTTTTAGGCATACGGCATATAATAAGATATATGGTTAAATATATTTTTACGGTATTTGAAATTACAAATATATTCGAAGCTGACAGTTATTAATATTGTTAGAGATATTGAGTAAAAAGAAATGTTGCCTAACATTAAATTAATCTTGAAGTATGATAAAATCATTTAACAATAATGGCTTAACTGATTATTGTCCTGTGCACACATTAATTGAATTTTTATGTCGTTAAAATACAAATATAGAAAAGATCGAATTATTAGAACAAGCTGACATTGTGGACACACAACTTAATCATTAGCTTCACAAATATAATAAAACCCCAGGACAGTTCAAAATAAGTTCAATTAACCAATTCAAGTCAGATTTGAAGAAAATTATTTAAAAAAATCAAACATAACAAATATTTGCAAATACAGTAGATTAGTTTATTGTTCAAATAACAAAATAAAGAAAAATTCCATAATTAATATGAAGTTTAACATCTAGAGTGTCAGAGTAAAAAGTTCTTAAAGTTAAAATTACAAGATGTTGTTTCATAAATACATTAAATGCAGGAGGCTGTATATCCCAGGAACAACTTTTCGTACTCCCGAAGTATGTGAACCGAGATAGCGGACACCGAACGTAGTATGTGTACCAGGTTGGGTTAGGCCATAATTTTATCCCAATTTTCCTTATTTTAGTTCTATTACGAATTTTTCTTGGGGGCCCAGCTCAATCTGAATAAGTGCTTTTGCCACCCTTGGAATAAATTACCACATAAATATATCTCCACAAAAATCGATGGAAAAAATTTACTAAAAAACATAACTTTGCTACGTACAATTATTTAAAAAATATCATGAGAGTAGCTTGAGAATAAAAGTGCTTTTATTGAAATCTCAAAACAATCACCTAGATTAAATTTACAAATAACTTATAAAAATTTGAGGCGGATGACACTTATAATCAGAAAATGCTACAAAACCATTAAAAACTGTTTTGCCAATAATTGATAAAAGAGTAATAAAAATATGAATCTACCTGCAGATGAAAAAATATTCAGGTATTACTTGATTCCATAGTTATATTTTTTCTAAATTTTGCTTAAAAGTCGAGGCTATCAAAATAAAAAGGTAGCCACATCTATAATAAAATGGCAAACATAATGAATTTATTGAAAAGCAAATTATTTCAGAATATGGTATATATTGTAGACTAATTTGCATTTAAGAATAAACCCAAACAAAATTAAAACAACCAGATCTTTATGAAGTGATTGGTCGATTGCTATTAAAATTTTAAAAAGAAATTCCAAACATTGGATTCTAATATTAAATTGAATGTTTTTAAACTATGTATGCAAATATTGACAATTTATTCAACTTTCCTTTAATTCTAGGGAAACACAAAATCAAAATATTTCGATGAATATATTAACTGTCATTCCTCACTAAATATATTCAAATCAAAACGATAAAATTCAAGCAATAACATTAAAGATGTTTTTTCAGCCATTGTTTTTTTTTAAATAATAACAATTTGTAATCTATAAGATATTTTTAGTAGTTGCGAAAGTAAGTTTGACATAGATTGAACTATCGATCCTCAATCCACGCATCACATTGAAGTGTTTTTTCCACCTGGTTCCTCATCAGAATCTGAATCAGAAGAGTCGAGATATTTATTCATTCCTGGAGGTGTTTGCGAATCAACAATGTCATTTTCTCTTGTAGCACCATTACTTGAGGATGATCCACCATCCACTATTGGCCTTTGGGATGGTCTCGCAAACAGGGAACCTTTTTTGAGTGATGGTCTTTCAACAGCATTAGGATTTTGGCTGATCTCTTGAAAACAAACACCGCAAACGCGAATTGGTTTTGTTGACTGATATGGGATGATGGCTCTATGTGACGAACATGCGTTACACACAACAAAACCACATTTCCGACAATGATGTCGTCGATTTATAGCTGAAAATTTAGTTTTTTTGCATCTCATGCACTGATTTGCATCGTTGTCTGGCACCCATTGTGGAGCAACATCTGTGGTGTCGTCAGTAATTCCTGTAAACCAAATGATTTCTAATTGAATATAGAAACTCGTGTTATGTATAATCTCTACCTCTTTTATAGATTGAGAGATTTGTATTATTATGCAATCTAATATACGCATTCACTGAATTAAATTAAGCCCCTTTTGTTCACCTTTATGAAGCAGATATAAGTCTGAATGGTACAAACAGTATGCCATGATCCATCCCTCTTTACAAGAAAATCTCAACAATTGTGTTGTAGCCCTCGCTATGTGTCAATATTTCAGAATATTGTCTCATTGAAAGTCAGAACTCAGAACCATAATGAACGTCTACTATGACATAATAATAAAATCTACATTTATTCAAATCAACCAACGAATATTTAATTGATATTATAACAATTGAGTTTTGCAATACTAGTTATGCATAGATATTCAACGAAGGCCTTCGCTTCTGGCCCACAGATAACCACTCTATGCCACCCAGGTGGACCGACGGCCGAGTTTGAAAAGCCCTGGGTTACACCATTACACACAACACACAAGTTAAGGCATTTCAGTAAACAATACATGAAATCCCAACAAATTCACATTACATAATTTTTCTAACAAATACCTGCTTTCACTTTTTGCTCCTCGATTCCTCGCCTCATATGTGACATCCATTCTTGTTTTTCCATTGAAGTCTGAGCATAAACTGCAAAAGACTTAGTTGGTGAAATAATTAACCAGCCATTTCTAAGGCTTCCATTCTCATTGTCATCAGAAACTGGGATGATAACATCATTATCCGGTATTTCCTCAACTTTAATAAGCTTCAGGGGTATGATTGTCTGTTTATTGTATCTAGAATAAAAAAACGACAATAAAATCATCATTAATAACAGATTAATTAAAAAGTGAGCAATATAGTTCTAATTAACTTAGACCCCGAAGATCTGAACACAAACTTAATTGGTTATATAATTGCCAGAATTCAGCGTGTCCAAACTTAAATTTCTCTGTTAATTTGGTACTCGTGTAGTATGCGAACCGAGATGGCGGACACGAACGTAGTATGTGTACCAGGATATGGTTGGGCCATAATTTTATTCCAATTTTCCTTATTTTAGTTTTATTACGAGTTCAGGGACGAGCCAAGTGACTCTCGTAGTATTTGTACCTGAAATTATGGCTTAACCCTAACCTGGTACACATACTACGCTCCGGTGTCCGCCATCATGGTTTACATACTACGGGAGTACCGTTAATTTTATATGACAGGCAATTATCTCTTTAATGTTTTATTCAACTAATAAATGAAAAAGCTTTCATTCAGACTGATTGATACATTTTTTTATATTAATTGATTTTAACATCGTAGGAAGAGATATTGATGCTAATCTTTTATATGCCAAAAATTAATTAATGACTACACAAAACATTGATAAGACAAGTTTGAACTGGTTGCAAATTTTCAAGCAAACATACATCTGATGTCAAATATAAAGTACGGTACATATTAATAATGTGTTTAGCACGATGTTAATAATAAATCAACCAACAGAGATCAGCATCCTGAGATGATAGTTACTGTTTACTGTGTCTGAAACTGTGGTCAGCTCTGTGAATATTCGACTAAGTATGACACCTATCCAAGTTAATTAATAATTCTTGTTTAGCGTAAAAGATGCTTTCAATTTGTATATCGACCATCCTGTATATCATAATGGTTGAATAAAACTAATATTTTGTTGTCAGCAGAGATAAGGCTCTGTTTTTGCTGTCACAGATAATCTATTCAATTTTTGTGTCCTATACATAAGAAGTGCCAACCAAACAATTGGGAAACATGCTCGAACCAACAATTTTAAAATGTAATATCATCAGATCAACAGTCATATGTTACATAGATAATATTCCAAAGACATAATTAGTGTGCGTGTAAGCCTATTGGAGGCTATTGGATATAGCTTGGAAATTATAGTTCCAATCACCACTTCACCCATGATGTAATAAATTGGATTGGCAACGACAAATCTCAAGTTTACTTCCAAACTATAATAGCTCCTCACCTAGCAGTAGCTGATTGTACAGAACCTTATTCAGAATTAAATGCATATAAAAAAATGTATAAAAATAAAAACATGTTTCTAGGTAGGTAAATGCTTACAGATAAGTCCCTGTTACAGACTTTAGTCATTTGTGCTAAAAAATCTTGGTCTGCATTGAAACAAAAGATATCAAACTTACTTTTTCTTGCTGATCACAATATTTCCATATACAAGGATATCATTGAACAAGAAGAATTGTCTCAGTTTCGGCTTTTTTCTGCAAAGTTTCGTGAGGACTCCTTCTCCAACAAGCACTCTGCCTACTTCTTGCAACGATTGACCAGAATTTCCAAAGCATGCTTCAACATGTGCTATTCTTTGATTATTTATTTCCGAATTTGCAAGCCGATCTACCATCTTGTACTTTTGAGGAAACAGTCATCAGGTCATAATAATACAACACTTTATAATATTACCATAAAATTCTGATTTGAATGTTGAATCATATCGGTTATACCTAGTCAAAACATGACTAAATACCTGAATCACTAGATGTAGAGGTAGCCTATGTGTAATGGTAATATGTGACCGTAATATTTTAATACGAAAATACACCTTGGTTCCTATTACCGGTAAATGAATTTTCTTAGCACAAAAAAAGGATTGAATTTATGAAAGGCAAAAAAAATTTATACGTCATTGCATTCGAATTGTATTGTGTGTTGACTTGAATTTAATATCACTGACAAAACTTTGACATGAATACACAGTGTGATTAGCCTGTCAAAATGGTGAGATTTTCATGGATGTCTAAACATATCAAATATTACAATCTATATTTGATAAAGGGGATTTCCTGGTTTTAAGAATAATGCAGAATATTTGGTACTCCCGAAGTATGAGTAGCCTACCAATGTATATATAATATAACTAGTGTTAGAATAATCAGGACAAATAATTCGATACTCAGTTAAGAATACAAATATGCTGATCACCTAAATATGGCATTCATCTTAGGCATACAATCCTAGGCTGTTTGGAATCCGGAATTTTATGGGCAAGCTGGGATAAAGAATTACATTCTATCAAAATTCTCACTATCTTAACCTGACAAAAAAAATGAATGATAACTGAAATTAATGTGCTATAATAAAGGGATACAAGTGCTGTGGTGTACATCACACAACAATATTGATATCTCTGACTTACTAAGAGTACACCTGTGCTTAAAATTATTTACCCAATCAGACAAGTATTTCAAAATGTATAATTACTGAATTAACACATAGATGAAAATAAAAACCATGTGCATGAGATGTGTACTTGCATAATATTTCCAGTAGTCAGGCAGAAAACATTAAAAGCAATAACAGTAGGGCACACTATACAGATCGAGCGACATCGTCTCGCCCATTTTACTGATGATCAGACACCCCTCCTTTTTGAGAGACGCCTGGACATTGTCGTCCCTCAATATCTGTAGAAATACAGTATAATGTATTTGTGCGGAATACTACAAAACAACGCACTAATAACGTCATCAATGAATTTCTTGGGTAAAAACAATTCGATTTACCAAAGGAAAAAATTTACTGTCGTATTCGAGTTTTTAGCAAAAATTAATTAGATTACTTTAGATTATTATTGAGACAAGCATGGCATAATATGATGCATCTGACTAGGTGCCAACGCCCCTCGTTTGTGAGACACATGGAGTTATTGTACCAAATGGGAGGGAAATTCTTGGAATTTGGATAGTGTGCCGTACAGAATAATTTATACAATAATGACGCAAATAAAGGTACTGACAACTAGCTGCCACAATATGTGATGAAGTAAAACTGTAAATTGCTGACAAATGACTGAAAGTGTAACTAGGCTAACTAATATTAGTCCATTTGTATTTAAAGCATGACTGCATGAATGGATAATTGAATACAGGAATATGATATGGACTACCGGCAATACGGTACAGTAATAACATAAGAAGCGGTAATTCAATCACAAATAAATTGTTTCAGTGTTCCAGCATTCACATAATTTTGCCACCTGGGCATGGACACACATACACAGGGACAAGGCAAATTTACGGCATTTGCAAGACATCTAAAGGTCCGTTCCGGTATGTTTTCCACCCCGTTCCGGTACCGTAATTTAGGGTCCGTTCCGGTTATTCAGTAATTAAAGGAACCCGGCAAATTTACGGTAGACCTACCCGTCAATCATACGTTACTGTGACGTCGTAGTGACGTAATTTTTGACTGACGTACCGTAGTCAGGTGGGAGTTAGGAATGTCGATCGTCAATTATAAAGAATAAAGACATGGCGAGTTAGCCCTCTCTCTCTCTCGCGATGTCAATCGTCAATTATAAAGAATAAAGACATGGCGAGTTAGCCCTCTCTCTCTCTCGAACACGCGTTGTCAATCGTCAATTATAAAGAATAAAGACATGGCGAGTTAGCCCTCTCTCTCTCTCGCGATGTCGATCGTCAATTATAAAGAAAATAGACATGGCGAGGTAGCTCTTTCTCTCCCTCTCTGATCGCAATCAACGTCTGTTAGAATAAAATGAGACTGCCGGTAGCAAAATAGAACTTTTGATATATTTAGCGTTGTTGTTGATTCAGTGCTCATACAATCAATTAATATGATGATATATTTAGCATGCTTAGATGAAAATGATAAGTTGAGACATCCTTTGCGCGTCGAGTACCGTACGGTACGGTGCCTTCCGACATATAAGCACGTTTTCTTGTCAATTTGTTACAATTTGCACAGTAGATATTGTAACCAAACACATTTGATTTAATATATTTATCCTTACTATTGAAGTTGTTAGTATAAACAGCCACCTTTCCATCTCCCATTACAAGAAGAGCCTTCGCACAGTTGCAGGCTAACCCGTTGGGCGCGGCGGTGTGGCTCAACGGGCTAAGCGTTAGGAATACGCTCGCCACCGCACCTCTAATTACTCTGCGTGGGTTCGCAGGTTCGAATCCCATGCAGGGATGGTTATGTGCGAGAGGATTGCTGGACTCCTTGCTCGCCGTTTGGTGGTTCACGTAACCGCTGGTCGGTTACGGCTTCCTCCACCACCAAGTCCATGCTTCCGAAAACAAACAATATAACTAATCCCATACCCGACCTGGAATGGTAACCGGACGAGAGGCCGTGGTTCGCCATATGGATAAGCCGTCTTATCGACTTTCCTCTCCCCCGGGATAAATATGTAAATCCTATCTATCCTCGCATGGCGAGTGGTCCATGGCGAGTTAGCCCTCATGGCGAGTTAGCCTCCACCCGTTAGGAATACCATATGCATAAATGTTTGTACCACGCCAACTAGAAGTACGGTACCGGTACATCGTTTTGTGAACGTGGCCCCATAAATCAGTAAATACCTACCATACCGTACAGCCTGACAGCAAATACAAAGAAAAATTCCTCAAGAAAGGCAAGATTTCTTCCTAGCTGGCAGTGGTCGAATTCGCCCTGCCTGTCGGTACTCGGTTTGTAAACGTTGCTGTAGGCTAGGGCAGGGGTGTGCAAGCTGTGGCCCGCGGACCAAACGCGACTCACAAGGAAAATTGTGCGGCCCGCGGACAAGTGTCAATCTTGAATGGTGTGCGTTCCGCGAAACGAATTGTTAATTTGGTTTAATTTGGTGCCTGCAGGTACGGTAATTCCAATCACTTTGCGTTGCAAAGGCGGTGGTGTGGCGCATCGTGCTAAGCGTTAGGAATACGCTCGCCATCGCATCTCCAGGGTTGCCAGATCCCAGTGACAGAAAACCAAATCACGACGGAAAAAAAGCCAACAATATTACTTTAGCACAGTAATGTCTTTTCCCATTGAAAGTTGTATTTTCGGTTGCTATCATGGCGATTTCCACTTCAGCGGGATGAAGGGTTTAAAAGTATAAAGGATTAATTGAATGGCAGCACCAGAATCTACATTCAACATAATACAGTTAAGCGGACATCTATATGAAAAAGTTAAAAAAAAAATAAAAATCAAGCGAATAGCATTATTCAACAATTCAATATATACACAAGGTGCCGGTTCAGTATGTGATATACCTTCAAACAGCGGCTCCCAAACTATGGGTCGCGACCCACTGGTGGGTCGCAAAAAGAATTTTAGTGGGTCGTGGAAAGATGTAGAAAGCTTTGATTAATTATACCGGTTATTAGGATCGGTGTCGACTCGAATACGTAAATCTTCCAAAAATAAATTTAAATTCTAATCTGTGGAAGTTTCCTTTTTACGATCTTCTCAAAGGAACAAATTTTGCTACACAAGGAATGACCATGTGACTTTTTTACGCATAGCAGTTTTGTACACTGGACAGCACTTCTTATCGTGTTTCCCCGAAATTTAGATTAAATTTAGATCTATTTTCTTTTGAAGAATAACACTATGGTTTTTTTTTGGAAGAGGTCTTTTGTGTTCTTTTATCAAAAATAGAATTACATTGTAGAAAATTACAAGATTTTTTAATAAACATTATATAAAAACCGACATCCAATGTTTTTATTTGTATTTTCTATACAAAAATCCAGGGACGGTCGCTGCGCTACCCGCGAGGGGGAAATGTAAGGAAGAGATTTGAGTATAAACGAGCGTATGTTTCATTATGAGTTTGTTGGATGCATCAGGGTCGTTGCGCCGGACGAATGGCGGAAATTCGTCCGGCGCGTAGTCCCCAGCCACTTTGGTTCATTGAGTAGTTTAAACAACACGTCATAATCTGATCACTCTTGATGGATGTCGATTTTTATCAATTTTAAGGTTCGTGATCACTCAACCGTGACGAAATTTTATAGGCATAAACTTTACTCCAACTACCTAGTATAACCCAAATATGAGACCCCTGTCTATTACCGTTCTCGAGATATGGCCTAAAATCACTGGACCGTGACTGAAGGCTACTAGAAAAAAAAATTTTGCTGATACGTGATTGGAATAATTTTTCTGATCGTGCCCATGCCTTTAGATTCTCGATAAAACCCTTCATTAGCCGGCAAAAGGCCAAAATCAATAGACGGAGCGAAAAAATTCCTTGAAAAAAGTATTAAACTAAACTTTCTCAACCTACCTATGTATTTTTTTTTCTCAATATCTCAAATCTTAAGCGCAACATTCCGAACTCACTGGATCGTTACGGGGAAGGGGAATCCCCAAAGTTCGGGTGGTAATATATTCTATTAATTAGTCCCTTTGATATTTAGGCATCACTTTGCCCGAAAACCGATTCCAAGTGCTCCTAATCGCCCCAAAACCATATTACCTAAGTGGGCGTGGCTTTCCACACGTTTTCTCACCACTGAGGGGGCGGTGGCGGTGCCCCCACCCCCAATATTACTTGGATAAATTCCCAATACTCGGGCAAACGCTTTCTGGTCCCGGAAACAGAGCTAAATGACCTCTAAACCCCAAACTCACTCTTGCGTGACTTGATTGACAGCCGATTGACCAATAGGGAGCTCCGGGCCACAAAAATCCCGTTTTGGCCCACTTCCTTTGGCCCGATCGCTCTCAAAAATTTTCTGTGTCAGTTTGGTAACTACCCCCCGCTTCATGCCTAATTTCGTCAGGATCGGCCCGCCAGTTCTCTGGGAAATGGTAATTCAAGTGCTCTCACCTAAAATACTTCGTACCAATGACTTTCGTGCAACGAATTCTGACTTCAACTTTGCATTCGCACTTTTTGTGCTCTATCAAAACTAGAAATATACATTTTTGCAATTTGACCAATAGTGGGAGCTCGGGTGTGCTGGTGCCCTAAACTATGAAATAGTGCCACCAAATCTTTCCACTGACCGACTTTGAAGACTCTATCTATCGCAGAAGCTGAGATATAGATTTTTGCGATTTGACCACTAGTGGATGCTCGGGTTCGGTGGAGTCTTCGAACTAAGAAAGGGTACCAGCAAAGCTTTCGACTGAACGAGTTTGAAGACTCTATCTATCGCAGAACTCGAGATATAGATTTTTTGCGATTTGACCACTCTTACGTATCATCAGATATGGTGCTTGTATACGGGTGGCATAAAAAAAAGTCAACAATACACGTAGTAAAAACTTAAAAATACTGAGTTGCATGACGAGTATTCTAACCTCTACCCCAGTGTGGCCTAAAAAGTCTTCTGCTATCACAAATAGTTCCAAAAGTATATCTTCACTGCTTAATTATTTGTTATCATTTAAAGAAAGACACATTCCAATACTCAAAACCTTACTGAGTGTTCTGTTGTTGAAGAATAAATTCAAATATTGGTAAAAGCGCAATAATCTAAATGTATATATACATATACTTGCTTGTATTAACTAATTTCACTAAATCATTTTTCAGGATTTGAAGATTGATATGAAAGGACCTCATGCTGGCGGCGTAGAAGAAAGTGAAGGTTTGTTTTTATTGCTGTTGGATTGAAAAACATCGTTTTTAATTAACTAGACTAGTAGGCTACCAGACCAAGTGCTTCCAAAGGCAAAATACATTATCAATATCCCTAGACCAGGGATCACCAAACTGTTTTGATCGCGGGCGGGTATGACTCAAACTGTGATGTAAACGGGCCGGACAAATATTTTTATCAATGCAATACAATCACAAAAGTTGGGAAATCCATTCAATTTATTCAACTATAAATTCTTCATTGCTGAAGTAATGAATATTAAACTCTATATCGCAGAATATAGATCAAAAACATTATAGCAGAACGAATATACAAGATTTTTAGACAACTATCCCGAGGTTAGCTATAAGCAAAACAATTGCTGTCGTGAATATCCGCATGTAAACAGTAAAAAAGTTAATTTGTACTATTTGCACGTTTGACGAGAAGGGTACACAGCAACAGTTCCGTAGAAAGTAGGCGCCACATATTATGCATCCATCGAAGAAAACGTTGCGTACCGGTAGAGAATTTTAGACTGTTTCATCACAGCTATTTCTAGACCAATTTTTGATTACTGCAATTAAACTACAATTCCTAAGAAAGCAATGTGATGATTGACTCATTCGATGCCTACTTAAATTTCCGAAGCGACCGAAAACTAACGAATAGCATTCAAAATCACGAAAACGGGATATTGTTCACATTTTACACCTACAACTGAAATCTGTCCGACTCCGAGTGACAAAAGTATCTGAGCGGATGCGAAACGTCGTATTGTTACGTCACTTTTTGCATCTTGCTGATTGGCCAATGTTAAGAAATAAATAAGAAAGTTGATGCTCTGGGAAACATCCCTCAAATTTTGCCATTTTTCGTGTCATTGCGAGCAATATGGAAAGACACTACGGGCCTTATCTGGCCCGCGGGCCGTAGTTTGGTGACCCCTGCTCTGGACAATTTATATATTTTGTAATTTCTCAAATATTTTTTCTTCGGAAACACGGGACCATCCAGCTACAAAGTTCAAATGCGTTAGGACGTCATCTTTGCTGGAAGTTTCCGGCGATCTTGTGGATGACAAATGGCTCTATTTTTTCAGTTTGTAAATTATTAATCAAAATGTATTCATACCTCCCACAATAGGAAATGGCGATGACAGTATTTCCCTTGACTGGGTTCGAAATTTTGCCCTGTGCTAACAATACATTACAATGCTATGATGAAATCGTCGGACTTCATCTTATCAGAGGTGTAATTATGATTCATTATGCTGCAATCTATCATTAGGCTTTATTTTATAGGTTACATCAACCCATTAGGGTTTCAAATGAAGATTGGAACTTGTGGAGTACGATTCCCGAGAAATACTGTCGAAAAACCGACATTTTTCCAAGTTCTCGCCACAAATAATCCAGAAAACGAGCCCGAAGAATATTTTGCTATTACGCCTCGCATTGCTTGTAATCCTTCAACAGTATTCAATGCCCCTATGGCCGTCAAACTCCCAACATGGTGTGGCACAGATTCCGGTGACGTAATTGCCTCCATCATGTATAAAGATGAAGAATCGGGGGGCCCTTGTAATGTTTTGGAACATAAATTATTAAGAGATTACCGAAAGAAAATCGCTTTTCAATCTTTATACCACACCTATTTTTGGGTCGCTATTGACGAAGCATCTTTAGACAATGTCTATTTTAGTTCTCATGTGTCATTGTACCATAACAATTATGGAAATTTCAAAGCCGTTCTATATACCGGAGGAACGCCCGATGTCAATGCGGAATTGGAAAAAGAGGGGTTTTCGCTGATCGCAATCGATTTTGAAACCCAAAAAATCTTTTTGAACGACAAGCTGAAATTTCGCGTGTCGGGTGATTCCAAATTTGAGGGATTTTTTCCCCTCGGAAAAGATTTTGCGAAGAAGCGTAGAAGTGCTCTCGAATTCAAATTGTCGTCACCCTCACATTCAATCCGAAAGTTAAAAATTATTTTGCAATTGTCTGAAGATAACCCAATAAAGGCGAATCTCCTTTGGACAAAACAAGGTACTTACTGTTCGTACATTTAATACGATTATTTTTGAGCGAGCTCGACGTGCGACTCAACACTGAAAATTAGTAAAATTATTCTATCACAATCAAAAAAGTGATTGCTGTTTCTATAATACAGGACCGCAACTGCAGATTTCTCAGGAGATAGAAACATCTCAGCATGATGCCCCGGAGACCGGATACTCAGATGTCTCAGCCTTAGAAGGACTATCATTTAAAAATTCTATTGGTGTGTATTCCGTTTACTTTAACTGGTCATTTTAATGCCAGAGTTTGCCTTAGATGCATTAGAATTTACTCCTTTGAACAAAATTGGACACGAAATGTACATATAGATCGTTTTGTTATTATGTTGTTCTTGTTATCGGAATTTTATTTCCTTATATTTATGAAAAATTGCTTTTCTCTTCAACTACTGAAACAATTACTTTGAAATTTTGACTGGTTAAAGACTGTGCTTTTCCATGGAAGGCTATTGCACTAATTTCTTTCGCAAATTCTTGTGGCCTCTTTGAGATTCGTTTTTATATGTGATGACGTCATCAAAATTAAAAGCTATGCACCCTGCCCGTGATCACATTTTAGTGATCTGGTGGCCAGGCTAACGTAAACTGTAATCAGGTACTGTAAAAGATTTGATATTTGTTTTGGCCTTCCTGGGCATATATTTGAGCATCATTATCTTGCTATTCAAAAACAATTATTTCTTTTATAAAGGATTTTTACTCTATTTTAACTGATAAGCTGCTTAAGGTGATTTTCTATACTTGTACACTTATAACCATGGAAATTACGATTAATAATTCAGTGAACGAACTATATAGTAGTAAACATTTAATTAATACCAACCAACTTTCCAACTCATTCAAATGAAATATTTCAGAAATGCAACTTGGCCAACAAGGAGGCCAAATATCACTCGACGGAAACACAATTGTTTTTCCTCCCAGTGCATTGGAACAAGAAACTAAGGTTACATTATCTGTGGACATCGACTCTGAAAACTGGAACTCCGAATACATTTTCATTTCGACAATTCTCGGCTGTGATTTATCAGGTGCAGCGTTAAGCAAACCTGCTCTAGTCAAAATAGAAACATGGTGCACAGCAGAAGAAGAGGATGTATTAATTTTGAAAAAAGATGATGATAACTCGGAATGGAAAGTCGAGAAAACTGCCAAACTGGGACCATCTGGATTCATTACTTTTAAAACAAAGACGTTTTCTTTGTGGGGAATAGTGAAATCTGTTTCACGTAGAATCTTCAATATAGATTACAGGTTTATTAATTTGGTATATTGCAACGCCAGTGCTACTTTCAATTCGGTTGTTTGCAGACAGAATGAGACTATTATTAATGCTGTTCGAGAAAGGCTGGAATCTAATACTTTCGAAATGGTCAACGTCCTACCATTTCAACCAAACTTTAAGATACCCTCTTCGGCAGAAATTGTGTCAATTACTATCAAGTGTAGCGAACCGGGGGAATCAAAATTTGATAGCGGGGATTCAACTCGAAATCCTATAAGTCTGGATTACTCCGTTAACCAAGTACGTCAAAAATATTTTGAGAAAACTTTTGTTCTCACCCCAAAGCCCAAGGCTGATTGTTTGCATCTAAAATTGAGATACAAAGTAATCGGAGTACGAGGCGAGATCGACAACACTTTTAGATTTGATTGGACACGTGTGAAACAACATCAAAGTAAGTAACCCAGTTATGGCCTTTTTAATGCAATCTCGCTCAATTTAGTAACCGCAATGGTAATATCAAACATATTTTAAATTAATTTTAAGTCTGTCTGAAAGTATAATATGTTACTAAAGTTGAAGTTACCCTAAGTAAGTTTGTCTGCACTGGCACCCGGGATTCTACAAATTAAGATTGTTTTCTTCGGCAGAGTGAACTCAAATACATATTATTAAACAAAATGACTAAATTGATTTATCACTGAAAATTTGGCTATGTGATTTATATTGAAGTACGATAATGGCATTCGAAAGGGACCATGTCAGGCAGTTGTAAAATAGATCAGGCATATATATATTTACATATTGAATGTTATAACATGTGTTGAACCACCCTTTCTTGTCGCTTGTACTAAAGTTCGTTTCTTACAATTTCACTTATTATTTGTTAACTTAATTTTGGGTGATCTATCAAAAATCTAGTTTAATTTCATATTTTCCAATGAAATTATTATCTTCAGTTTTACGACGTTCAATCCCTTTATATGTGTGCTATAAAATTGATAATCTAATTCTAGATGTTGGTTAGAATATAATTATTCTGTTTTTATTTTATTTTTATGTTCTTTCAGATCCAGATTCGTCCAGAACCCAGAACCCAGGTCCGACAAATACTGGGAACCAATACAACTATTATACAGGCTGCGATATAGGTCAGCAACAAATAAATTTACAGCAAAATTGAACCGACTTGTGCCGAGATATATTGTAATCGAAATCTTTATACGAACTTGACCGTACTTGAAAAAAACAGATACTTTTGAAATTTCTTGAGGACATTTAAAATACTCTCGTGCACTGGATGTAAGACAAATAATATACCAAAAGTTCTACACAGTATGAATAATATGACATCACGAAAAATCAATTTAAAAAATTCTCCAAATGGAGGTTAGAGTTAGTCTTAAATTTTGCTAGCGTGGAATATTTCATTGAGGAAATTGTCCATGGGTGAAACTCTCGATGATAGAATTTTCTGAGTAGATTTTTTTCAATGGGATTTTCTCATTGCCGTTTGATGAAAGCCAAGCAATACAATTTCCATTCGATAAGAGGAACACCAGTTGAAGCAGACATGGGCAAGGTACGGCCCGCAGGCTAAATCCGGCCCGTTGGGTATTTGGGTAATTCAATCTGGCCTGCCTGATGCTGCCACAACCAACGTGATACCAAATTGTGATGTTTGAGTTAAAAAAAGCTCAAGGAATTTGTTGGGACTATGCTGTTAAATTTTGTTTTGGCGCGAGGCTTATTGTTTTCCACTGTTGCTGTTGTAACACTGTGAATATATATTGTTCAAAAATGTAATAATTTACGTTATACTTACATGGCCCGCCAGTCTAGGTGGGAAAATTATTTTTGCCCCTGGTACAAAAACCGTGCCCACCCCTGAGTTGAAGTATATCAAGTGTATTTTACCTATAACTTCTGATCGACGAAACAATTTGCTCTTTTCTGCCATTTTGTAGAGTTGGATACCAGACATGTACGAATTGTAATCTGCGTCATGCAGAATTAAATATCGTTTTCCTATTTTTCATACAATTTGATTAGAATGAGACCAGTCAACTAGATGTGCAGGGTACCTCAAAACAGAACCCAAAATTTTACTTTTACGATCACGAAGAAAATTTATTTAACACTTGAATATCTGTTTGTGTATAATTGTACTCTTCAGTATTCCATTTGCGCAAAAGTTAAGAATTTCTCTAAAATATGTTTAAAATGACCTCGGTTCTGTTTCTGGGGGCCATCCAGTAAAAGGGGAACGATAAAAGATTTGCAAGACCTACTTGCGCGATAAGAGCTATCGAAATGTATTATTGCCACGAAACTCGCCAAAATTTAAGTCAACTCTATTAAAGAAACTGCTAGGTAGAAAAGAATTTTCAGCAAAGCGGTAGTTGTTGAAAATAGCACGTAATATTATTGTAGCAAAAAAGCTGTTCATCCTGACTGGGAAAAGAAAGATTATTCGTCATTGGCATTGCACTGTACAACAGAACAAATTGCTCTTCTTATATTTCATTGTCTGTATTTCGATATGTTTTTACTGTTCTGTATTTATTGTACATACTTATCTTAATAAAATGTAAATTGTTAGTTTCGAAAATCCCCACATTGGAAAGAGCTTTCATTTCCCGTCCCAAGCTTTTATTTCTGTATTCAATGAAGAACGTCGGTATAATGTCTTTAAACCGTAAAAGTTGCCATTTGAAAGTGCTGACAGCTCAACTTTTGTCTATTGCAGAGTTTTCGGGATCCATTTTCGATTACTTTCAAATCTTAATTTTTCTACAAAAACAGAAGAGCCATTGAGTTATTTACTTTAAATTTTGGAACAAATATCGAGCAAAACAAGCTGATGTTTACTATCATGCTTGAAGATCTACCTGGACGAAAAAAGTGTGTGTTTTGCGCAAATATTTCAATTGTTAGGTCACCGTTAATATCCATCTCAATCAATGTTTGAAAGTTCGACTAACTAGCAAAATATCTTTTACACAAATGAAAGTTATGTAAAATAGTATAAAAGTTTTTAAATTTTGTCATGTTCAGCACAGCGAGAAATATGAAACATGACACCAAAGTCCGTCGTTGTTGAAAGGTTTATATAGACTATACGGAATAAGGTTTGGCAGTGTAATTGTGCATATGTGGTGACAATTTTATTAACTGCAATCTCGAATCGGAAATATATTTGCTTGTAACTAGAGTCGATAGCGATCACGGGAGTCAATTTTTTCTTTCAGTCAAAAATCAGATTTTTTTCGACGAGTCATTAGATACCAATGGGTAGCAGGAACATTATCTAATAAACATATCTGTGTGAACCTACTGGATTTACCAATGTTTAAAGGTAGGCTGAAGCCTATAGGGGCCTCAAGCTGTAGCGGCCCCGACAGTCAGTTTTAAACTTTATTCATTTACAACCGTTTCCTAATTGTAAAGGCTCGCTTTAGAATAAATACTGTCTCAAATATTTGCTTTTTAAGGGGAACAACATTACATACGGTCTAAAAAAACGAAATAAGCTAATTTATCGTAGACCCTTCATTTAAAAATGAATTGATAGCGACAAAAATGGGTATTATAACCACGGACATTCTGGTGCCATCTTGAGTTTCTTGAAGTTTTTTCGCATAAAATTTGTGATCGAATCTATTTAAGTGATTAGCATAGGATCTTACCGATAACTTAAATTTGATATTTCGAGTATATTTAGAAAGTTTTATGATATCATAATATATGTTTACAATGGACCTTTCCCCGACCTTTTACCCCCGAAAAGATTTTCCTATACTTAACCATTGCAAAATTTTCGGGGCTATTTTAAGAGTGCTTTTGCTAGTTGGCGCCTGTGAAATGGGGTATGTGTTTTAAACCATCATTATGATTCATCGCATACAACAATCTGTTTTTTAAATGTACCGTTAAAGAATTTTAGCCTAGTCCATCACAGCTATTCCTACACTAATTTTTATTACTGCAATTAAATTAAAACTCCTAGGAAGACAGGGTGACCATTGAATTATCTCATTTACATTTGAGTTTCCAAAACACAACTGAAAACTAACGAATAGGGTTCAAAAATGCGAAAACGAGGTAATGGTCACGACCACGCTTGAAAATCTGTCTGAGTGAGAAAAGTGTCTGAGCGGATGCGAAAAGAGAGCATTGTTACGTCACTTTTTGCAATTTGTTGATTGGCCAATGTCACGAAGTAAACAAGGAAGTCGATGCTCGGGGAAAGGTCCATACCGTGAAAAGCTTATTATGATATTGCTTAAGATTAAGAGGGAACTCACAAATAGCAATGCATATGGCATTTCATAACCTAAATCCGGCCCTGATGTAATTGTAAGAAATTTCACAGCTTTGGTCAAGAGCAAGGGGTCCCGACCGTAGCTTGTCTAACTCTGCGTTGGAGGATGACCGAAACAGAAAATGTTATTGTTACGTGTATTTGAGAAGTTTAAACACGTAAGAGGCTTATTTCTTGATACCCTATAAATTAATAGTGCGGGTAACAATGTGGTTTTTTAAACCATAAAAATATTTTGATGTCTCGTGGGACATAACGAACTGCTATCGTAATTTAACTATCCAATCCGGTCGAAGCGTCGGGTAAACATACATTTACTTGTCTTTTCTGCACTTGTCATGTATTGAATCACGTATTGAATCTATTAACTTCTAAAATGCAATATCATATATGTGCACGAAAGTCGCGAATTTATACCCGTACGATAGGACCTGTGAGCACCGAGTTTGATCGGTGGACAAATGCTGTCGACAAGTGTTGCACACCCCTGATATAGAGTAGGCCTATAGAGTTATGGACGATAAAATAAATAAAACTGATTACAGAATCAGGAGAACAAACAAAACCTTTTGTGAAGTTTGGAACCTAAAGTTTCTAGAATGAAAGACGTTGTCAAAAGAAGTGGTACAAGTTCGCTCACCCAAAAGTACTAAATTAATTAAAACACGCAGATACACAAACACACACACAATAAAATTGGAATAAAATGGAACCATAAGATATGTGGATGTTTCCCCGACCCACTTCATTTACATTTAATTTTAGGAAACACAAAGAAAATCTGACAAATAAACACTCAATTCTGGTCAAACCACACTAACCATCCACATGTTGGCCATTTTGTCTACTTTACAAGTAAAACCTTAGTCATAGGCAAAATTCCATTTCACGCAAAGCATAGAATACCAGAACAAATTAAAACCTAAAGATAAGAACCCAATATGGTTCGACTTATCTCCTAATTAAAATTATTAGTTATATTGCAGGAACTACCGTATATTAAACTGTCTTCAACCGTCATAAAGAATTACACCACCAAAATGGAGGAAGCCTTACTGCAACGATCTATGCTTACGGTGACTGATCAGCGGTAACGTAATCGTTAACCACCCACGGCGGAGATGAGCTCGGCATACTTTGCGAAACCACGCAGGATAATCAGAGGTGGCAACGTACATATTCCTAACGCTTAGCACGATGCGCGACATCGCTTTGGCGTTTGCATCGGCAAGGAACACCTCTCAAGTTTTTATGGAATACCATACCATTTAGCCGGGACAGTCCTGGTTTTGACAAGCTGCCCCGCCCGTCAGACTTAAATGGCATGACAGACAGAGCATAGCAGAGCATGACAGACATGGGTACAAATTTATATTCGATCTAATTACAAAATTGTCTTTCTTTAAACGGAGACAGCCCATTTACCACTGATTTGCGACTCACTTCGCTAGTTCAGAGAACGAAGGGCAACTGCTGTATTGTTATGTCACAATTGTTATTCGTTTTATCGCGTTACCTCATCACGTGACGTTAACTGCACTGTAGGGCTGCACTTTAAATGTTTTACGGCTAGATCCAGATGTTTTGTTCGAGATCTAGATGTAGAATTTCGAGTCTAGATGTTAGCTATGAAATCTAGATATTTATTTCCAACGTTCCAATATTATCCGGCGGGAAATAAAATAAAAACGATGTGTATAATTGTTAAACCAATACTATTTAGAATTAGATGTAAGATTGATAAAACTTATCAAAAGGCCCCAAACTATACGAACTGTCATCAAAGCAAGCCATTTCTCTCGTTTTCTCGTCGCAACGATCCCGATATGAGCAAGTGCAACTTCAAGTATTTTGTGGCGTCTAGATCTGCCGCAAAACCATGACGGGATTTCCAAACCATGGCCGCTATGACTAAAACACCTCAATGAACCAAACCCACGGCGACTGCCTTTTTAGCTGCCACAAAGCAATAGCGAGCTGCCGTGGTTACGGCAGCAAATCGAATACCACCAATTTTGCTGCCGTAACCACGGCAGGTCGGCTGTGATAGCAGGGCTTCCCCTGATCTGCTGATGGTGATAAATATTGGGTGAGTTGGAACGTTTTTCTGATAGATACAGTTCGGATGGATTTGGGGTTAGGGTTTAAGTAGATATAATTCCGCATGATAAACTAAAATCTGGTGCATGAATTTGTAAATATACCGGAAATAGCGCCATGAATCCATGGCAGGAGACGGCGTGGTACGTTCGGGGCAGGAGCTGCCATGAAGTGGTAAGAACTGCGCCTCGATATGAGAGAGATCGATGCCGATAGTGAGTTCGTGATGATCGGCGCAGATGCCATTTCGGCTTCGGGGGATCGTAGCTATCCATTTTTCGAGCTCTATGACGGATTGTGACGTCATAACGACGTGATTTTTGGGTGGTGTAGTGAGGTTGTGATTGGCATGTGCCAAAATCGTTATGTTACGACCACTAAAAGTACTTCCGGTACGAAACTACAGAACTACCATTACTAGAAACCCCAGTAAATACAGAAATATGGTAGCAATTCAGATGTGTTCGATTTCTTCTATTCTACTTGTATCAAAGTTAGACATTTATCACAGGTGTCGCTGCTAGATAACCAACATTGGTTTTTTCGCGTCACCCTTCACCATGAAATGCCTTTTTTATGTTTTTCTCTAATTTTTGTTCGCATTACGTGCCAGACTGGATTCCATGGCAGGTGCACGCCCGAGGGCGCTAGCGCTCCGCAAAAATGCACGCGAGCGAAATCAATTTTGCACGCCGAAAATTTGCAACTGCTCACCAATATAAATCGGTTTAAATGGTTTTAAAATCAATAATCCAGTAATATAAAGATGCCAAAATATTATAACTCCACAATTGTCGACAAATACGGTACCAGCCTGCAAGATTTGGTCTGATCGAAATATTGCGAAGCAAAAAGACCATGGACCTTTCCCCAACCTTTGACCCGCGAAAAATTCCTCTCATTGTCACGTCCTTTTTGCATCTTGCTGATTGGCCAATGTCACGAAGTAAACAAGGAAGTCGATGCTCGGGGAAAGGTCCATATCGTGTTGAATGATAGGAAATAGGAATCCCGTGAGAATAGTTATGGACGAAAAGATCGCCTCCGCACCAATGGCCAAGTACGGCTCTGATTCAGCGTATTTTTCATACAATAATTTTACACGAATGTACTGAACAGTACCGGTATCTAAAGTTGCTCAAATACTCCCAAAATTAGTGACAAAGTATGAAAATAATGTTTGGGGTCAAAGGTCAAACGTCCATTTTGCTCTAATTTGACGTATTTTTTATCCATTAATTCTACGTAAAAACACCACCAAAATTAATGAAAAAGTATGTCCATTTTGCTCTGGTTCAACGTATTTTTTGTCCAATAATTTTACGCGGATGTACTGAACGGTACCGGTATCCAAAGTCGCACAAACACTCTCAAAATTAGCGACAAACTGTAGAAATAATGTTTGGGGTCAAAGGTCAAACGTCCATTTTTTTCTCTGATTCAACGTATTTTTTATCCGATACCGGTAATTTTACGCGGATGTATTGAGAGGTATCTGATGTCAAAGTCGGTTGCACGCGAGTGCAGTTGTTTTGCACGTCGTGAGCTATAATTGCACGCCAGGAATTCTTATTTGCACGCGGGAATTTCTGATTGCACGCCCGATTTCTCGTTCAAAAAGGCCATGAAATCCAGACTGGATTACGTGTATGTTTCATTTTGGTGAAAAATAACCGACTGACTGGTAAAGCTAGCGAACACTTCCAGCGGACAGTTACCAATTTTTCCAAATTTGAAAGTGGACAGTTGTCGCGAATTCACTTAATTGCGGCTACATGGATGCAAAAAATGAGGCGATTCGACCTTTTAGAAACTAACGACAGACCTGAAATATAATAAAATAAAAATGATTGAAACAACATATTTTTTCTCGGTAAAACGAATTATTGCTCAGAAGCTCATTTATCGACAAAATCTAAAATTTAACTGAGTCGAAGCGTAAGTCATGCAAGAAATAATTTTTTCTCATCCAATTCATTAATGCAGTGTGTTTGGTGGACAAATATAATATACATATTAAAATTTTAAAAAAATCCACGGTGCGGAAAGTGGGGAAATTTCCCCCAGTTTGATGAAAATATTTAAGAAATCTTCTATTTAACTCAGTTAAAGCGTGATTTAGGTAAGAAGGAATTTTTTCTCATCCAATTCATTAATGCAGTGTGTTTGGTGGACAAATATAAAATACATATTGTACTAAATACAGAAATACCAGAATACAGAATTAGCCTAGGCTACTAGACAATATTTTTTTTTGTTTTTTGGTAGGCTACCTGCATTTTATACCACTTTATAGCTGTCTGTGTATAGAGAGAGAGAGGAGGTGAGTTCGTTATTTTGTTTGATGATTCAATTGAAAAATATACAAACATTCAATATTTACTTGACCTTTAATTTTATTATTCTCATTTCAGTATTTACAGTATAACAACATCTAACTGTTATAAATTGTTTAGACCTCAAATTAATTTTAAAGTTAGGTGAAACAGTGGAAGGGGCATCATTATCAGAAACTCACCCTAGGCAGCAGAAAAGTTTGACACTCCCCTGGGCACGCACGCAATACGCTCGGCATCCGATCACTGCACCTCTGATTAGGTACCCTGCGTGAGTTTGCAGATTTGAATCTTATCAGTCTTCTGGTCTTGTGGGGTTAAATATGTGCGAAAGGATTGCTGGATCTCTCGCTAACGTAGGGCAGCAATTCCATAAATGTCACGGAGTGACATTTCACACATTTAATCAATTTTACTATGTCAAGGTCTTGGTGGTTTGCTATTTTTAGAATGCCCATTGGTAGCAGTAACACTGATGTATTTACCATAATTCACTTTTCACTTTCAACCAAATATTTTTCAAATGACGAGACAAAACATGTGATGTCACGGAGTGACAAAAAGTTGACATATCAATTATAATAACTTGTCTCTGTATTCTAGAGATATTAATCTCTACATTTATGCAAAATTTATTGTACAACAAACTTTTTTCAGGAAGCAGCCCAATTATACGGCCCAACTACGTACGTCACGGAGTGACAAAAATTCTATATCATTAAAATGGAATTAAGAATGTCGAACAATTAGTTGTATTAGGTCAAAATTGGTTATTTGTTTAAAATTACAAAACATTTAAACAAAAAATTGGGAAACATGATATTTTTTTGTCTTTCTGCCTGTGTCTCCCTCATATTAATATGCTAAACGAGTGCACTAACTTTAATAATCTATGTAGTTGAGTAAAGAGCTATGTTGCACAGACAACATGAAACAGACATGACTATTCCACTCCTATATATCTGGAATCTTATTGCAGTGACTTGACAAAGAATGGGCAATTCAAAATACAGAATCTGGAGGATCCGTTAATGTAATTCAGTTTAAGAATCTTTGCACCATGCGACGATTTTTGTTATTTGGATATCTATTTGGATTCTATTACTTTGGTTGAACAAATACATTTTAAGGTAACATAAATAGCATGAAAGTTTATGTTATAAAACTGAAGAAAATTAGGCAGAAAATCATCAAATATTCTGATGAAAAAAAAACAACTATTTTAAGCCGTGAATGTACCTTCTCATGCGATTTTAAAAACTTCAAGATATGTCCTACACTTTCAGACTTTCTGCAGTTCAATATTTCAATTAGGCAAGATATAATTTTTAAACTAATTTATGGAATTGCTGAGGGTCGCTTACATAAACGCTGGTTGGTTACGGCTTCCTTCAATAATCATCAAACTAATCCCATACCCTACATCAGTACATGTTACAGTGTTACTTATCGCCTTTTGCCTTCCTTGCTAAAGAATATGTAAATCCTATTCCGAGGCAGGGTATTTGCGGTGCCCATGGTTTTTCTTAGCGCACTTCAGTACTTAATGTTGAGTAGGGGGGGGGGGGGGGGGGTATATTGAGCATATGGGGTTAATTGAGTACAAGGTATAAAAACCTCGCTAACTTTTTTGTATGTTGAGTGAATGGTTTGTACTTTGTAGCAACAATAGTTCATATCCTATGCTTTAATTTCATTGCGTATAACTCACTTGCCTACTAATGATAAAATTGTTTTAGATGTTTGTATGTGAAATTTTTTTTGTCCACGAAAAAAATTGTTTTGGAAACTTTCACGTGACACTTTTCTGATAGTATATTTTAAACTTTTTGTGATGCCTTTTAGTACCTTATCAAAGACTCTCTTTGCCCCAGTAGATAATTTTTGTGTAACTCATTGACTTTTTGTTTCATTGATGTTTGAAAAAATCGAGGTAAATTGAGTCTGTCAGAAGTTTACCGTGGGGTAAATTGGGTATATGCATAAATGGCCTCTCCCACTGCTATAACACAGGATTATGAGGTTCCGTGTGACTATTTTGAGCCCTAACACTTTTTTGTAGCCTTTATCATGTCCATCTTTTAATATAGGCTTCTATTTTGTATGAATATGAGTGTAAATCCACAATGGGCAATCGTAGGATTTTGAGAAAGCAGTTCTTTTCTTGTAACTAAAAAAAAATAGTAAAAAAGAAAGCTGTGGACAAGCCAAGCACAGAGTCCTACTCCACCAGTAAGCTTAGTGCATTTACAAAAGCTTTAGTTGACGTAATCGCACTCATTGTCATCTCCGAAAACATGTAGTAATAATAAAAAAACAGCCGCCCCAGAAAAAGAATTCAGGCGAAAACTATATAACGTCAGTTGAAGAAAGTATATACCATTATACTGATAGGATAGACTTAAACGGATATGATTGGTAGAAAAAAGAAAAGCAGCAAAGAGAAAGATCATAATATTAGTTCAGAAAAGCAGTAACAGAGTCAGAATTAGATTGGGCTTTATTGACGATGAGACAGAATATGAAACAGAATTCTCACATTGTACAGCTGATTATAACAGAGGACTAACTATAAGTAGCATATTCTGACATTAATGAAATCAAGACCTTGACTGGCTGGTTGAAATACGGGGAAAGGGAATTCCTTGGCCAAGTAGTCCTCACCAATGTATATAAAATGAACTTTGTATGATACCAGTGTATAAAGAGCTCAAAGATTTTGTGTTAGATTTAACCCAAAATAGGAACATGAAAAGTATCTCTATCAAGGAAGTTGTTGGCCAAGTCAAACCACCCATTTCTAGTCCATAGTGAACTCGTATTAAACTAAAAGCCTATTTGTGGTAAAAAGTTTATGGAAACCATAATTGCGATCTATCATACCAAGTTTAAAGTGATGTCAGATAATTATGTTCCAAGGTTTTTGTAATTACTATTTTTTTAAAATAAACTATTTCTACCCAAGTTTCTCATGAAGGTCTTTGATTTGGTTCTAGGGCTCTCTTAGATTTGATTTAACTGGTAGATGTCAGTATACTCAATTATCCTCGAAAAATGAGGTAAATTGAGTATACTGACTTCCAAAAAAAAATTGCATTTTAAGGTGACTTGAATACATTGAATAAGACTCAAACTGTTATGCAAGGAAGTACAGGGTCAGAATGTTACAATGAAACCATAATTTCACGGAGAATCTATTTCACTCAGATTTTACATCGGTTCAAATGTCAAAAACTACTCAAATAGCCCCCCCCACCCCCCCCTATCGTACTATTTTCAAAATAGCTGTACATCTCATTCATTTATTGTCATATCCCAACAGAATTTAAAAATTACTGGTTAACAGTATACCGATACTATAATAATGGATCACGTTTAAACAAATTCATTAATTAAAACAAATCATTCTACATGATGTCGGATCATACAAACCCATTTTCAGAAGAGTTTATTGAGGATGACTCACATGTTGAACAGGAGGATAGCAATCTCGAAGAATCGAGTAATCACAATGAGTCTCCTGAGAGATCCTCAAAAGTCAATGTGGACTCTATTGCTGAATATTTGCTTCGAAAGCAATATGTACTTACGGCTTTGGAGCTTCACATGGAACTAATGGAGTCTGGAAAAGAACTTTCAAGGCTGAGAAACTATTTCTCAAATCCGGGAAATTTCGAACAGCACGTAAACAATAGTCGAGACTATTCAAGTAATTCTCTTTATCGAACTGGAAGTATAAGCACTTTTGATTCTCTTGATTTAACTCATTATTCTGATGATGGGGCTCAACAAGATGATCGTGTAGCTGTACTTGAATTTGAGTTGCGGAAAGCCAAAGAAACCATCAACAGTTTGAGAATGAGTCTTACTGGGGCCTTGGATGAAGAGTCTTTTTTGAATTCAGATGGGAAGCATCAAAATGGTATTGATTCAGATTCAAAGCATCCCGATTGTAAGCAAGAAGATGAATCTGTCGACTGTAACCCTCTTTTTAAACGTGCTCTTAACTATTTAGTGAATGAATATCTTTTACAGAATGAATATAAATTGACGTCAATAACACTTGCAGATGAAAATGAAGATCAGGATTTTGAAGATTGGGATGATGTTGGTTTAAACATGGCAAAACCACCAAACTTATCAAAATTATTTCAAGAATATTCGTCACATCGTATGCCACGGAACAATCATAGAGATATGGCTGTTGGAACTGAGGGTGATATTTTTAGTAATGAAAATTGTTTGAAGTCTTTGCAATCTAAATGTGAACAATTAGAAAAAGAAAATTTTGAATTAACTTCTATTATAACACAACTGAGAAAGGATGCGTCTGTTTATCAAGACAGTGTCGATAGTTCGACACCGAAAAAAGTCAGTGATGTGTCAGGCTATGTTGAAGAAAACATGGAAGCTTCAAGTCCACCGTTAAGTAGAAAGCCGTCGAAGGATACATCCCTCAGTATTATATCAAAAACCGAATCTACGAATACTTTGAATATGCAACTAAATGAAGAATTTGACAATGAACAGATTGGTGTTTTTAAAAATCAAAATTCAGAAAATAGGATTGACCACATACCTCCGCCCGAACGAATGCCAGTGCAGCTTTGGGAAAAACTTTTTTGTTTCTGGAAAGATGACATCGCCAATGATTATTGGCTTTTTAATGAGGTGTCACAGATTGCTGCCAGCACAGATGAATTAGTGTCCACATTATCAAGTTGTTTGCCAAAAATTGTTCCAACTGTACTTTTACAAAAACGAGACCAACTTATCCCTCTTTTATTATCAACAGCATCTATGCACCCAAATGCAAATGAAAGAAATTCACTGTTGCATCATCTTTTTAATTTAATTAAAAAACCAGAAAAGTCTCAAAGGCAGATGATCTTGTGTGGATGTGTCGCATATGCAGAACTTGTTGGTCCGATGAGGACAGAAGAAGATCTGTTACCTCAATTTTGGGAGCAGATTGGGCACAAGTATACAGAACGTAGGCATTTAGTCGCAGAGGCTTGTGGGACAATTTCTCCTTATTTAACAAAGGAAATGCGAAGTTCACTCCTCTTGTCTATTTTGCTACAAATGGAACAAGAAGAAAGCGAAGTAGAAGTACGACAAGCAATTGTTCATTCTCTGTCGGTTCTCACTGCTCTTCTCAATGATGAAGATAAATATAATCAAGTTTTCAAGTTACTCTGCTCTTTATTGAAAGATTCCAATACATCTGTGCAATTGACAACAAGAACATATTTTCTACCTTCATTTGCATGCTGGGCAAGACAAAACAGGAAATTGTGCACTCATTTGATTGATCATATGTTGTCTAATGTTGAGTTAACCGTGAGTGGTCACCAAGATGATAAGAGAGTAGATTTTGACTCATCTGCTTTTACTTTTCATATGGAGAATTTGTACACACTTTTACCACATTTATTTGCGGATATTTTACTTTCAATGCCTGAGCAATATCGGAATCAAACGAAAACAACGATTGAAAATGGTTTTGCGGAGAATGGTGAAAAAGAACTGAAAGTATTGCTTAGTCATTCTGATGAAAATCAATCGCTGGTAAACGATTTTAGTACGTGTGTATCCAGTGCCGACTTAAATAATTGGGATTCTCTATCTTGGTGTCTGTACCAGTTTTTACCACGTTTAGTTGAGATAGTCCGGCGTGTTGGTCCAGAAAGCCAGGACTCTGTTTCTACATTGTCAACCTTCGTATTAAGTATTGTTAACTTGTTTGGAACTGAATTCACGAACTCAAAAGTGAAAGATAAATTTTCAGATTTATTTATTGTTAAAGCAGACGATATAGGTCGGGAAATTTTATCTGGAAACACAGCACTCACATCAGCTGCAGTTCCCGTTTATGCAAGTAGTATTTTATTACCATGTGACGAATCATCAAAGTTTGAGAAGCTATCTACCTTTCTTAATGATACTTTAACTACCTTGGCAACCTGTCATGCACCTTTAACAAGTATTGAGATTGCTTTTGTTGAGATTAGAAAGAAAGATACAAAATTCCATGACATTTTATTGGATGTTCTATGGAAAGGTATCACTCACCCTTCAAATTATATCAGAGCAGCTTCTGGCGGTCTTCTTGCAACAATGGCTACAGAAAATGTCAGCACGAAACTTCTTATGACAAGGGTTCTACCCGCTTTATTGACACTTTCAAAAGACAATAGTGAAAATGTGAGAATTGCAACTGTTCCTGCTTTTGGAGCACTTCTCGAATGTTCTCACATTGAAAATGAGATTATTGATAGAGTTATATCACAATTTACATTATTTATTGCACCTTCTCATCAAGAGGGGAGTGAATCTCCAACATCGAATCATGCAATGAATGTACAAATGGTAAAAACAATGGCTGCAGTAACTCCGAAAGCTGATCTCAGATTTCGAGATGAATTTGTACTTCCACACTTAGCTGCTATGGCGGCTAAAAACAATCAAGAATCAAATGCGACTAAACGTTCCGATATTTCTTTAGCATTAATGGAGGCTTTTACCAATATTTCATGCTGCTTCATATCAGATGGTTTACTACAAAGCGCGTTTCTTCCTGGCCTTCGTTGTTTATCTCACGATATAGATAAACTTCATCCAGAACATTCATCCCATGTTAATAAACTTATTATCAACATGGAGGTAAAATTAGAACATCGAACCCCAATCACCCCCTCTCCATCCTCAGATAGCCTCACATCACACACATCTGTAACTTCAAATTCCGATACCAATAATAAATCAAAGTTCAAATTGTTTTATTCTTTATCTTCTAATAAATAAAATAGTGAATTTTGTACCAAAGAAAAAAAAACAATAGATATGGCATTGTAATGCACTTCAACACTGCAATTGATCATCGACTAGTTGAGATAGAAAATACAACTCAGACCCGAGCTCCGAATTCTTGAGGAAATGAAATTTTGGTGATAAAAACTTTAGCATATGTAAGCCTTCTTCAATAGACTGTCAAGAAAGCTTATTTTTTTGAATTCTTTTAGAAAATTTCACTACGAAACATCTGAAATTTTGGCTCGGGAGAATTGAAAATTTTGTCATATACTCCCAATACCGGAGAATTTAAAAATATGGCTCCGACTCCCAATGACAACATTCCAAATTCTGGACTCAACAGCTCTGCTAATATGATATCAACAAATTTTAGTCTACATGTTTTAGTATAGAATTCTATTCTTATTTTCTTTCGTCAACATATAACCAAGATTAGGAAAAGGATTTTGTTTATTTTCATCTCTTCAAATTCACAATTCTAATGTACTATGTTTTGCTTATTTGTTTAATTGATTTTCACTCCTGCTGTCAGGACTCAGGAACACACTATTTTGTTTTATTATGAATTAAAATATGTTCTTGATTCTCTGTTGACTTGACTTTTCCATAATCAGAAACAATTTGATTTGACTAATATACAGTTGCACTTTTTTATTTAAATGTTAACGATAATAAATAACACTTCTAAGTTCTAACCCCCAATAGAGTTCATTTCAGCATAGTCTATTTACTGTTAAACTAATTTTTTTATCAACTATACAAATTGATAACCGAAATGCTTAGTTCGAGCCTATTATGTAGATTAATCGTGATTTGCCTTCTTACTATATTTTATTTTCTACTTCAAATTTACCACTTCATTCATTTCTAATGTTACTCTTACAGTTTTATTAATTAATCGTACTTGTCATTGTAGCAAATTTATATTTTTTTATCTTGTACTATGTCACAGATGCAGTTTTTGAATTTCATATTTTATTAGTTTATCAAGCAATGGATAAATCATAAGCAGTGTTCACAGTAAAGAAAAACACAATGAATAAGATACAAATTACTTATTATACAGAAAATCAATGCTTTTTATTATAAGTAATAACTATGCTTTGTTGCAACCATTTGTTATATTTTGGAATCTGAAACTTGTCTATAAGTTTGAAAATTTCCAATCAACTTTATCAGTTCTTAGGTAAAGGTAGTTCAAGCTGAGTCCTTCATACCTGTAAGTTTGTGGTGTCTACTAATGCGGATTAATATTTTACCATCTCACTCAAAAACACTCTTAGTGCTTGTTTGCTGAACTTTTAGGACACATTTGTAACTAGGTATTAAATAAGTATGGGAGTATCCATGGGAATAAAATGTTAATATTTAACAATATAACTGTTACTGGCTTTACTAATAGAGATGATAGGCTTTTGTTTCTCCGACGATTTTGTCGAGCGTATTCGAGCTATCATGATAATATTTGGGAATTAAGTCTACCGTATATATCACCTTTATGTATTAAATGCTATAATTAGGCAACATTGATAAACAAAACCTAGCTCCAGTAATTTTAGTCAATGCATTGTGGTCATTGTACTGTATTTTAAACCATTTTTGGCAGTTTGTTTATTATTACGCATTATACTAAATGAACTAGTTAATTAATGTTTTCTAAAAATTGGTTGGCTATATAGTTTAATAAATTGAGAAAAAAATTGAATTAAATTCAGGCATTGGATATATGCTTTTGAAAGTTGTCGCTAATGCATTTTTTCTGTATTTGCCCTTTGAAGTGCAACTGTATTTTGCTTTAGATGCTGAGGGCTCTTTGTCCTTATTGCTTTACAAGCAGTAGGTTGAACAATGGTCTTTATCTACTTAAAATTCTTATGAACTTTGATACTTCCTGTATGAGTCAGATCCTCCAGTTGACGCCCAATTCAAAAACATGTTTCATTGTACCATTCAATTATGCCCCGTTAATGTATTGCAACATTGAGGCTCACTCTTTCTAAAGGATGGTTTATAAAGGAGTGGCGTTGAATAGTAATTGTCAATCGATGCCTTATTGCTATGCTTTTAAATTGGAACCTCGCCCTATCTATTATTCGTTTCATTTCATCCATGACATACTTTTGTTTGTATTACTGTCCCAGTCAATTTGTATCAACACTCGTCAATAATCTTGACGATTGATGTCCTATGCGGTATTCATGTCTTTTAATTTGTTGAAATTTTTTTTAAATTGTTCAATTGAATTAAATTAGACTTAGAAGTAATTTGTCATTTTGGGCATGTGATAACCATAGTTGATATTGAATAAGATTCGGGCAAATTTTTGTTCTAAACATGGCCTCGATTACATTTTAAATGAACCATTAAAGAATTTCATTCTGAATATATTAGGTGTAAAGAATTGTTCGGTTCTGGACATCCCTCCTTCCTGTCTTTCATGTATTGTTGCTGCAATTGTCCCACATGATTCTGCAGCAGTAAGACTGGAGAATAAGAGATCAATTTATATCCAGGATTTGCACAATTATAGTGCTATGAAATCCAGATTATGTGACTTTAATGACAAAGACTAGCAACTTTATATCATCAAGAGATGACTTATGTGTGGTCTAATTTGATAAAACCGCACTGGTATTTTTGCTTATTTATTTAAAATATTTGCACTGAAAGATATTATGTTATTATTTCATAAATTATGCATCAAGTATAAATTATATATATTCAGGGCAGGAGCAGTTAATTATATTTTAATAATTTAGATGTTTATACACAAAGCAAAAATGTATTTTTCACAATTGTGAGCAAACTATACAGTAAAAACATTCAACTATCTTTTGTTTGTATTGCATGCCATGGAAAAGATACATCAAGGATTTGGCGCTGCCAGAACTCCAGTCTTCCACTGAAAGATATTTTTTCATCATACACACGTGGACTTCATTGCGAGACTATGTCTCAATGAAATTCAGGAAGAATTGCGGTCGTCTTGTATAAGCTAATGTACCGCATTTCAAATTGCAGCGTTAAAGTGTCGTGGTGTTGGCGGTGTGGAGCAATCTGCTAAGCGTTAGTTCGCCACCGCGCCTCTGATTAGCCTACCCTGCATGGGTTAGAATCCCGCGGAGAGAATTATGTGCGAGATGATTGCTGGAATACTCGCCACCGTAGGGTGATTCACGTAACCACTAGTCGGTTACGGATTCCTCAACCATCAAGGCCATGAATCTCGAGCAGTGGTTCTTAAACTTTTTGAGCCACGCCCCTCTTTGAAAAAATTGGTCTTATAGCGTCATTGCTCAGATTATTTAGGCATAAAACGCATCGGAGTACAACATCGCCATTCACTGTCGTATGTATAAAGCCATACTCAAATACTGGTCATCATACATTCTCCTTTTCCGCTCAGTTTGCAATCCCTGGTAAAGTCAAACTAAGTTTTAAGTTAAACTAACACGCAATAAACGTATGCTTTTTGCGATTTAATGTATTTTCTGCCTAAACATTTACATAAGACACGTAAAATTTCAATCAATTGTTTACTTCATCACTATTGAGTAATACAAAAATTATTTACTGTGTGTTAAATGTACACAATAATTACAGACATCTTAGCTTGCCTAACGTCTCCAAAATTCACCACCAATACATCTGGACAACAACCTGGTTCGAAAATACAGTTCACAAAATGGAGAAGTGCAAATGAATTTATATATATACATTTTAGCATAAAGAAAAGCAGTTCATTTTTTATTAGTTAATATGCATGTGGACGTTGACCGCCGAAAAATGAAGCCGCTAATTACGTTTGCGATTGCATTTTTGTTTAAATCTCGATTGCTTTCGTCAGCGTGACGTGTTATTCAAGCCGTAAAAATCTTAAATTTCGGTATTTATTCTCCCTAAATCAGAAATTTCTCTCGACATATGATGTTTTGTGCCGCGAAGATGATAATAATTTTTTTCTCGCGTGGAACCATTACACCTGTGAGGAAAACGAATTAGTTTTTATTATCATCAGCGACGGATATGCTAAAGATAGAGTAAAGAAGTGAATTCGCAACCAAAAATTTCCTAATTGAAAAAGCGGTAATATAAAATACTAAAAGGGAAAACACCATGAGTTTAGTTTTGGGGTGGGCCGCGGCAGATTAAAAACACTTTCTTCTTATTGCAAATTCCGTAAAATCATTGTGCCTGTGGCACACCTGTAGTGTTCTAAAGCTACCGACTTGAAAGTGGTGCTTTTATTTTATCGACGCAATCGCAGATTTGATTTATCGCAATTAAATGAATAAAGCAACCATTTTGAATATGTTTATCGGTAATGGATTGAATATTTTATTCCACAGAAAAACCATTACATATATATCTGTTGAAAAAATCGGCTCTTTTAACGAGTTGTGTAATCTCTCTAACGACCATAACGAATTCGCATGAGCGCAATATATATATATATCAAAACTAACTATAATCGGGCAGTTGATCACACATCATGTCCACGGCTACATGTAAATTTCCAATCCCATCTTGTGATCTCTCGGAAAATATGGGTCGAAAGGTATAGGTGATTTGAATACAAATATACTTAGTGCCCAATTCTATTACGACATTTCTGCTTGAGGATACGATACTCGCGACCCAATCCTTGCCATGCTGCAAGTCAATTTTTAACAAATGGGATTTGTCTTTGGGGAAATGAAACAGCTTAGGCGAATGATCAACTAATACACATTTTTGTATTTAGATACACAATCTATTATTTGAAAGCCATGACTAAATCCCACAAATGAAAAAACAATTTTGGGAAACTATTATTCGAGAAAAGGAATTAGCCTTACAACAGGAAAAAAGGTTGGCAGATGGATGACTGTAACCTATATATATATATATATAAATACCAGTTTATAAACTAGTATATGAAGCAGCAACCCCGAATACAAAACAATTTTGGTTAACATAGGTGTAAATTGAAAAAATTGGACCAGCTGAATGATTCGGCTCCCTCCTCCCAAATCCCATGTTTGGGTCGCGACCCATATATATATATATATATATATACTTTAAGAAACACTGGTTCAGAGTAACCAACGGTTTTTTAAAAGCAAATGGTTGGGGTTCATCCTCAATCGAAATAACTGCATTCACGCTTGCGCCATCATCAACGGTGAGCGAAGGTGTGAGTGTGTTGCTTGGGTAACCGTCAAAATTCAGGCATTCAAATAAAGCTTCGATTCACACGTATTGAAGTCTTGATGATTAAAGTTGTTAAGAATGTGTCAGATGCGACGAAGGACTGAATCCACATTGTCAACGTCTTCAATTAAAGGAGAATACCTGGAATTGAGGAACTATTCTGCCAAGAAATGTTTATGAAGCAGTATAGCGCCAATAATATTCGCTGCGATTGAAATGTAAGAAATGAGGTTGCCTAATGCGCTGTTTAAAAAAAGGTTTGCCATTCATCCCCTTTCCTATGTGTTCCACTGTAACCCCTGTTGTCATGAGACCACCGACCGCCATGGCAGTTGAAATGCTGTATTGTGCAAAGCTCCATAGCACATTGGATAATGATAAATTATTCCAAATTGTTGGATAATCTCGTGATGATACGTGTATATCTTACATGACAATATCGTTGTCGGATACGGAAAGCATATGCACAAGAACATGCAACCCTGAAACACCATTATGGTGCGACATGCGCCGCTGTGGGTAGTTATATACATATAAACAGGATAGTAGTATGTTATTTGCAGTGGTGGGATTCAGCCGGTTCGCACCGGTTCTATAGAACCGTCTCACGGAATTTTATGAGATCAGCGAACCGGTTGGCATTACTGGTTACTGTCAATCTTCTGTTTGTAACAGAACCGGCTGAAAAATATGACTTTTGTGAAGGAACCGGCTGACAAAAAATTTGAATCCCACCACTGGGTATTTGTACAGGTGGACCGGGGTTGTTGGATTAGTATGAGCGAGCAAATGTGTAGAGGTAAGCCGTAAAGTGTTTGTTATAGTTTCATATGGTGTTAAAACATGATCAGTCGCATGTACTAATGCTCTTCGATTATGTAGAACATTTATATATATACACACGGAATCGCAACTTTTCAAGTTTTATAGAATGCTTTTATGACTTTAAGAAGGCCAAGGTGGATGAAGATTAATCAGATGTATATATATAGAATGTGTAAGAATCATTTCATCAAAACTTACGATGTTACGTTCGGTTTGAAGGTAATCTCTCTTGTCAAATCGCTGACATGGAAAACTATACCAAAATTATTTTTTTATCCCAAAATGTGGGAAACCACATCTGGGAGGACATTGCGTTCCCGAGCGAAAAATACCAACGATTCATTTTTATAATAGAAATTTTATTACACGAAAATAGGACAAACATAATTATGTCTGTATTATTTCTCGTCATACTATCCCACTGAATGAAGTTCGATGCAAATTAACTCCCTGTACTACCAAAGAGCACGTGGATTAAAAAATGAGCTAATTTTGTTGTCGGTCATTATATATTACGAAAGAGTTATTGACAGGTTGAACAGAAAGCCTAATATTTCATTTTTTTATTTCATGATGGTGTACGTATAAAATTGCAAGTGTGAAACAATTATGATATTCTACAATTGCATGCATACTGTATGTGCTTTTCTATACAACGACACCCTGATCTTTTTATTTCTTTTATTTTTATATTGTTATATATCATAAGCACTTCGCAATGAATGCATTTCGTGCAGAACAAGTAATATATTCACTTTACATAAGTATAAGTATAGTTATCATTAAATCTTCAATAAATACTAATACAATCAATGAATCAAATATACAGCACAAATAGGATTGCAAAATTATGCACCGCATGCGGGTTCCTTTTGTACAGTTAGAAGTGGTTGCCATGGAAGCGACCTACGATACGACAGAGGATGAATTTGGTCGGAAGGTACGGTAAGTACCGTATCGTGATGCTGAGTGAAAATAGTTTGGTGGCATTCGGAATTACCGGTAACATATAGATTGATATCACAATACTTACTAATTTGAAAATGTAGAATCTACATACGCTATGTTAAAGTCTGTGATAGGAAGAGTACGACGTATAACTCGTATAACTATTGGACGAGCGACATAGGCATGTAATTACAGCTGTACGGTAACAGATCAATAACTTATTGATCGTTTAATATTCTTTACGATGTGCCCTGATCTTCTCTTTGAAATAGATTTTCTCCAGTTGTTTGAAAAATACCTCCTCTGTAGTCAGCACTCTGTTGGCATGCTTTGAGGATCACAGGGTTCTGGATATACCTCCCTCTTCACCAATTGTCTGATTAATTCTGCTGCAGCGTGTTCAGCACTCCCTGCTGGCGAATCATAACCACTTCCTCTGCTACAACTGCCTGACTGGCGTGCTGTTGGGTCTTGACATATTCCGTGGAATTTGAACCATTTGTATATTCTGGCGGTACAGACGGAGATATGGCCGCCATAGTTCACCTAAAATTGAAAACCGACATTATAGTCATTTGTCAAGACAGCTTGCTTTTTAAAATTATTTCTCTTCCTTGAAAAATTATTTTGATCATTTCACAGAAAGAATTGTCAGAAGTGGTACTACATTTCACATAAAGTAATAGAGAGAGAGTGAGAGATTAAACTAGTTTGGTATAAACAGGAGGGAGTGATACGACCAGACGGTCATCAAAGTCAACTCCCTCCCTTTACACTATTACGTTCAAGATTCACAATCCCAGATGCTAGATATGACTGAATACAACCGTCTGGCGTCTTTCATAAATAATGACAAAATTGAAATAATGACATCATCGAATATTTCATCATAATGACTTACTGATAGTTCTTCGTATGGTTTCATGAATTGCAGGGTATCAGCAACGTTCTTCCAAGATATAGAATATTCGCATTGATCTCCGACATAGCAGTGTGGACAGTTGCATGAAGGCTCAGGATTAGACCAACGTCCATTTTGTAGGCATGTCAAAGTATTGTTGCCCTTTTAAAAATATAAGAAAGTATCTATATTCATGGAAATTCGTTGATAAGCAACAGTATCTGAGAGTATTTTTATGTAATTGCGGGCCATCAAAAAAGCTATTTCAGAACTGTTTTCCTAGTTTCCTCATTTTTTTACCTGGATATGATGGTTGTCCAGACATTTCACAGTGCATGTCGAATTCACGAAAAATTGATTAGTGCAGTTCAATTGCCCATGAGATATCGGATTGAGTGGGTCACATGCTGTATTTGAAAAAATAAAACATATAGCCTACGTCAATTCATTGCAACTTATATTGCGTACATGTATGTTTTGATGATAATATGGATGCTCTACTCTGTAAAGGACATGTTGAGCTTATATAAACAAAGTTTGTTGATTTTTTAGGCAGCTGCACGAGACATGTACATGGAAAGCAGGCTATGACTATAGAAACCGCCCAATCAATCCAGCTGAGCAGTGCAAAGTTCATGCCGACATTATAGTGCAGAAACTCTCTTGTTTGGGTAATATCATATTCAGACAGGACAACGTGGATGTACGAACCTTTCTCACACACGGGTTTTCTATCGTTCCATTTTCCACCAATACAGACAATCGTTTGTTTTCCGAAGATTCCGTAACCTTCATCACACACAAAATTGCATTTTTTATTGTATTTGTCTGATTCATTTGAACACGTCACATTCCCGTGCAATGGAGCGCTCATGTTACCGCAGTGTGGCGCTGAAAATAAAAGTGGCGACATAAATGAAAGGGTTATGCCTCATGTTCTAAATCTCGTTTGAAGTTTTGAAGACTTTCCAAAATTTCGTTCGTCTGTGTTTGTCTTCTGTATTGTAATTTTCTGTACCATAAATTTTGTACCATTAACCATTTGTTAATCATGTACCCTTTGTACCAGCGTAGTCCAAGGTTGTGAGATTGGACTGAAGGCCGCAAACAATTTTAAGAAGGCCTTGCGGGCTGCAGTCGGAAAAATCCAAAAATGATCAAAATACTGTGAGTTCAGATGCTTTTATTATGAAAGAATGATAGTTTACTGTTTTTGTTATGTTGCATCGGTGGCCCTTTTACTTTAAGGGAGATATATAAAGCACACAGAAAATAACAAAACTATTGTTTCTTGATTATAGTTACTGCTTCAGTTCTACGTTTCTTCACTGCTGTCACATGGACCACGTTTGTAAATAGAGGTGTGTTTTACTAAATAAAGGCACAAAACGCATTCAGCCCGCGTGCCAACATTTTCAGAAAGGAAATAAAAATATTTTGCTTCACGTACCGTTCATTACTTTTATTCTCCAGATAATAATTCCAACAGATGCAATCGCACTGAATGACAGAAATAAGGCCAAAACAAGAAGAACTTTCTTTATGGACATAAACTTCTTTTCCACAACTGTAAAAAAATATTATTTTGTGAATAAGTAAAAGTTAAAAATACTTGATGAATATGAAAGATATTATATATACATTATCATAATTAGGTATGATTCGATTATTAACTCATGCTGATCTTATGGGCTTTCGGTGACTGTTCTGTTAACTCATTCCTTTTTTTAGTACTTTTGCTAATAGTCCGGCAGATAAGGGACCTTTTTGGGCCCAACCTTGTTTTCAGACATGAAGTTTTTTTTTATTTGTGATTGTTCATTTTAGGATCATTGCCCATCATTTCTACATGGATGGGGAGTTTGCAGCCGTGAGCAATGTTTTTTTAAGGCTTGATATTTGTGTTTGTGTTTTCGTCAACAAATCTGTGCACCATAATAGCGCACAACCTGAGCCCTAACCTGGTACACATACTATTTTCAGGTTGTGTGTGTATAAAAATCATAACCCAATATTTCAGTATAAGCAATGTCAAACATTAACGCCCGGAAGCGGACTTATGCCTCTTGCGGATGACACCACGTCTCACGGAGTAGGTTCAATCAATTACTTATTATCTCTGATCGCAAATGCCGATTTGGTGAAGACATGCGTATAGTTATATAAAACTTACCGTATCTTGGAACAGCGCTAGAAGATAGTAGCAATGGCGTTGATTCATTAACTGTTGATTGGTCAATAGAATTCCGACTTTCATTCGAATCGACAACTGTCATAGGTTTAGTTTCTGCACTGCAGTTGGGGGCACTTGTGGGTCTCTGTGGCAAATCACCTCCGTTTAATTGACGTCTATTTTCATTAAGGTAGCTGCTGTGAGGTTGACGTTCTTGAATGCTCAAATTTTGCGAGCTACTTTGTGTGTCGTATGAAGTTCTTTCAATTAGCTTAATCAAAAATAATACTTATCAGATGGAGACGGAAATGTTCATAGAATTATGGCAAAAACAAAAAACACAAATGGGAATAGCACTCGAAAACAGAAACAAAGATCAGGAAAAAAGGTAATGAGGACTTAATTAGGATAGGAAGCCGATAAGACGACTTAACCATATGGCGAACCACGGCCTCTCGTCCGGTTACCGTTCCATGTCGGGTATGGGATTAGTTATATTGTTTGTTTTCGGAAGCCTGAACTTGATGGAGTAGGAAGTCGTAACCGACCAGCGGTACGTGAACCACCCTACGGCGACGAGGAGCCCAGACATCTTCTCGCACGTAATTATCCCCGCATGGGATTCGAACATGCGAACCCACGCATAGTAATCGAAGATGCGGTGGCGAGCGTATTCCTAACGCTTACCACGATGAGCCACACCGTCGCGCCGCCGTGGTGAATAATGATGGTCACAAAGAAAGAGCCTGATAATAGTGTTATATATAAGAAAAAGTTGAAATAGAGAAGAAATGACAATAGAGATATGAACAACAATTTATCAAATATTTTTGAAAGAAAACTAGAATAGACTAGATGCGAGAGCATGAGACCAAACACGAAAAAGAAGATGTGATAGCCTATAGCGAGAGGCGAAGAGAAAGGGCTGGATAAACTGAGAGGAAAGGTAAATACGAGAACTTTACGCACCTTGTGTCGTGCCAATGTTTGAATTCGTGATTGGCGAACTTGTCCTTTGTAATCCGGAATATCCTTTATAATAGAAAATATCTCGTCTTCGAGCTCTAAAAATATAATAACGATCCCAGGTAGACTACCTCACTGCGATTGCTTACGACCTCCTAGTGCAAATTTACGTTACGTCAAATATCAAGCTCATGTCAAATTATTACTCATTGTTTCTTTTCCAAATGTCGAGTTGTTTATATTATACAATTGTTCAAATTTACCGTTCCAATCTCTAAAAGGGGATAAATTTAAATGTAACGTTGGTTTAGTATCAGACGACGAAGCCAGGTATGTAATAAATATTGCGAAGAATGATTTTAATCAACCTTTGAAGGTGGGTCTTTCGGACGGTTCTTGTGCCCACGACGATTCCATTATATTTGTCATTCCATCAGGAAATATTTGAGGAACAAGAGAAACCCCCGGACGAAGTTTGTTGATTATGACATGATTAGCAATCTGTTCGTTGTTCATTCCTGTCCATAATAAATAACATGATATAATGTTGATCCAATGTTCCCCTAACCGTGTTACCCCGAAAATAAGACAGGATCTTATTTCAATTTCTTTCGAAAAATAACCCTAGGGGGCATGTCTTTTATTTTCATTTATCAAAAACAAAATTACAAAGTAGATAACTACGAAATTTTCCAATATACAAAATATAAAAACCGATATTCATTAATTTATAAATGACGTTTGCCTCTCTCACACATTTTAGATTAATCATTTAAAACGTGTAGGAGAGATTCTTGCTATCGACTAGGTCAAAAACATTCGCGCTATCGACTAGGACTTAATGTAAGGGGAAGACTTATATTAGAATCATTTTTAAAATTTTCAGACTAGGTCCTATTTTCAGGGTAGGTTTTAATTTCGGGAATACACTGTATTATTGGTCACGAAGTGTACATATTGATCGCTTTTGGACCCGAAATTGACCCATGGATCGTTTGCTATTATGTTGTTCTTGCTGGTATTTTTCTTCTTGTGCTATTATGTTGTTCTTGTTGGTATTTTTCTTCTTGTGCTATTATGTTGTTCTTGTTGGTATTTTTCTTCTCGTGCTATTATGTTGTTCTTGCTGCTATTTTCCTTCTTGTGCTTTTATGTTGTTCTTGCTGCTATTTTTCTTCTTGTGCTATTATGTTGTTCTTGTTGGTATTTTTCTTCGTATTGTTTTGAAAAAATCGCTTTTTTCCTCAATTACTGGACTAATTTCGATTAAAGATTGTATTTTCGATTAAAAGGCTATTACTTTTATTTGTTTTCAAAAATTCATGTGGGTTTTATTTTTATGAAAATAATTTTTTTGTGTGCCAGATGTCATCGAAAATAGCGCACCTTATGGCGCGTTCACGTTGATCGTGAAGACTGCGGTACCGATAGTCTACTGTGACAGGTTACATACGTTCTATTTTGTTTTAGCCCTTGTGTCCATATATTTGAACAACGCTCTTTTGTTTGTAATTACTGACTACGTTTATTACGCCATCAAATTATCATTCCAGTATGTTTATAAACACAATGCCAATGATAGCAAGAACAAAAATACGCAGATGTAGTATTAGTCCTTATTCGTCGATTATTTTCTCTAAGTATATGACAATATGACTGTCAGTCCAAGTAATAAATATATCAAGACATCCATAGCATTTAAACTTTCGTGAATATTAGTGATTGTAATATATTATTCTAACTATACATTTAAAAATCTCCGTCTACAGCTTCACACTCCAGACTGATCAAAGTGTTGACTCGAAATCCAACTTTCGATTTCAATTTTAAAATATAATTTTGGCTGGTAATCCAGCTTCCAAACTCCAAGATCACGGATTAATGATAATAAACATATTTATTTTATGCAAGTTCATCTTAGTTTCTGTTGCAAATTTTAACTCCCAACTCCAGTGAGTTACAATTTTGACTCCGACTTCAAGGTCTTAAAATAGACATATTGGTTATGACTGCGGCACAAAACCAGCACTACAACACCCCAACTACGACTTTTACAGTCCAGGACAAAAATGCTACACCTCTCACTACTTATAGACAAAAAAATATGACTCGCGCTTACCTTCGTAAGAGAGTGTATCTGTTAGTATTTCCCATTCTAGAATTCCAAAGCTGCAAAAAAAACAATTCAAACTCATATATAGGTATTTTACACGAGAATATAGATATAGGTAAATTGACCAAAAAGGAGCAATGTCGAACTAAACAAATTGGTGACCGTACATTTGAACCCATGTACATTTGAACCCATGCGTATATCCACGGGTTCAATCTATATGCGGGTGCTAAAACCCATGGGTTAGGGTTAGTATGGGTTTAATTATCCGTGAAACAAAAAAAATTCCATAGGTGCAATAGCATACAGGTGCAATTGTCATGGGTTCAAATGTACGTGGGTTCAAATGTAATGGAACCAAACAAATTAGCTAGCAGTCAGTGCACATTAGAGATTATAGCAATACAATTGAATTGAAACCATAATTGTTTTTGTCCAATTTTTATTTTTACTTCAAGTTATTAAATTATTTAACTTGATAAAAAATAAATAATTTTCGCAATAAAAGTTTTGTCCTCACGCATATACATCAGACTTTGTTGTAGGTTTGAATTTTGGATCTGCAAGTCTCTGTGGATCAATGTAACCAGGTGTTCCAGCAATGGAACCTGAAATGAAAGGCTATAAACTCAACCACGAAAACAATTCATCAAACTCCTTTTGTTATTCTTTGGTTTCTCAAATATTCAAATCAGACATGACTATATATTGTATAATGGTTCAACAAAAATTCAAACAAACATTTTGTTAAACAGACATCGTCATTTTCATAACAACCGGAAACCACCTCGCTTAAGTATTTTGATTACACAGTGTCCTAATCAATTACACTACGAGAAGAGGCACTGCGAAAACATTGAGATTTGAATTTTCCAAAATATTAAATAAAAGATGCAAAACTTACGCACTAACACTGTTGATCTTGAGCGTAAAGTATTCAGTGTTCTCATTTGACTTAATCCGAAATCGCATAACTGAACAAAATATATAATAGTTTGATCAGATTGCTATGTTTTGCTTTAAATACTGTATCAATAAATGCATATAAGGTAGTTCATACCAAATAGTCACAACGAGATTTTATCAAAACATAGGGTACAATGAAGTATTGATTTTAAAAAATGAACTATAAATAGACGTTCTTGTTCCGTGGCAACTGCGATTCTTGTTCCTGCTGATCCCAGAAATATTTCAAGACCAAATCAATCTAACTGAATCATCTATAATTTGTTGATGTTTGTTAAAATTACGGAATTTCAATGTTGTTTCTACAAACGTCAAGACGGTGCCAATATGGGAATGACATCCTGTGAACGATACAAGGAGAATGAATTGTCTTGTGCAGAGTGCAGACAGAACCCAGCCGATGAGATGAGCACTATAAAGTGGCTATTATGCATAGGAAGGAAGGAATTAAGAGTTTCAAAATAGGCAAGGTAAAAAATTCAACGATAAGGGTTATAAACCTCTGTACTGTCACAGAGTCAGTCGGAACTTAATCAACTATAAAATACCTTAGCATGCAATTCACTGTCCAACAACACATTGTCACTTTTCAGATCCAGATGTAAAACTGGCGGACTTCTGTTGTGCAAATAATTCATTGCTGATATTATCTGAAGATAAAACCGTTTTGAACAAATAGAAAATAAATCTGAATGAAGATAACTTTTATACATATGTAGATAAATTTATAGCCAGCAATAAACCAAAGCTCTTTTTCGTGGTAATATCATTTTCACCATATTCTATTGTATAGGATTTATATGTCATCCAATAAAAGAAATGTAACATTTCAATGAATGTGGAAGTTGATGAAATATTTTAAATTGTTTCAATTGCTGCCAAAATTAATTTTTTATAAATCAAATACACTTCCAGCCTGCTTATATTATATTTTGTTGACATTTACGTGTTACGTGTGTGTGCAACACATGAACTTGAAATATTTAAAAAAATCGCGAAACAAACCTCAGATATTATTTTAATTTTCAATGGAACCAAAACTTTGTCGATTGTTGCCGTTTCTTCAATATTGTCTCTTAAATCATGAAAGAACTTCAAATATGATTTAAATTTGTGATACTCCATCACAAGTCCAAAATCATGATCAGTTTGCACAGCACCGTAGGTTCTCACAATGTTTTCGTGATCAAGTTTAGAAAGAATTGCCATCTCTTTTTTAAGATTAGAGCGGTATCTGTAAATACAAGTTTAAAATATTGTTGTTATTTTTTTGTCTCAGCCTTTTGAAATTTGTTAATCAAAAATTGATATCTTACTTGCTCGAATGTTATTACAAATTACACGTGGCTACTAAAATCGAGTTGGGAAAATCGAATACCAAATCGAGTTCAAGAATAAGTCTGATCATAATTGAGTTTAGGACCTATAATTTACCGGTAACTATGGGAACAGTTTTAGGCAAATATTGATTACATCTGTAATTAGGTTGTGATATTTTTTTCGTAAAATAAGTAGGACTGTCTGTCTATCATCTACGGTAGTGTGGGTAGAATAACAGAGATTCGATTTATAAATTATTTTTAGTCCTAATAACGGATGTCACTGCTCGATAACCTCAGTATTTGTTTTTTTGCTCCCGGAATGCCTTTTTTGATTCATTTTATATTCTGTTTATACAAAGTGTATTTTCAACACGATAAATAGAAATAAAAATGATGATAGGTATATAAAACTGCCAGGCAAAATAACATTCTTTGATTCAAAGCTTAGGAAATTACCAAACAATAAAAAAAACTTTAGACAGGAATAAAACTAGTTATTCTAACTAAACATTTTTCAAATTCAATGCCAAATAAGGTCAGGTCAGGTGATTTGGTGGCTACTCATGTTGTACCTACCTCAATGCCATCGACCCTCGGAATAGACTTTTCTTCGCCACTAAAAAGATAGATCCATTTTTATTCCATTCATAAAGCGATATATCCGCCATTCCACCACTGTCTATAAGCTCGACGAATTTCATGCTCTGAAAATCTATAAGTGGTATTTCTTCTTCATGCTTATTGCCAACACCGTTTGGTGACATTGCGTTTTATATACACTGGAATGTAATCTATGAAATTATATAAAATATAATGTCTCGCAAAGGCAAAGTGACAAACACTAGTAGTTCAAAGTACTTTCGAAATATCGACATGCAAATATTATCTTTTGCCTTTGATTATTCACAAGCAGAGTTTCTTTTTTCAAAAAGTAATATCTTGAAAAATTCCTTGTTTTCTGCTTCTCCTTAGCTCAGGCTTTCATTTTGGCATTTGACGTGTATTTTTACTAATCTTCACAGATTCTACCTTACATGAGACGTAACATGAGACATAATAAAAACAATTGCTTTTCTTGGCTCATTATTTCGAGTCATGCTACCCATTTTAAAAGCCTTTTTTGCGGGCGAATGGTCAATACACATATAATTTATCAGGCTGTTAAATGACGTGCCCTATTGAATAGCGAAACCGTTTTTACAAGGTCTCTAACGAAAAACAAATTTACTCTATTTTAATATTAGGGCCCGCAATATGTTGCCACAAAATGAATCAACTGTTAGTTCTATGTCATACTGTTACTTGAGAATACTTTGTCTCACTACATTGCTACCTCGGTTACTCATATTCCCAAATGGAAAACGTTACATTGCCTCAGTAAACAGAAGTTATATGGATCTTGGTCTTGTTATTCGTTGGTTGTGCAGTCTTTATTTACTCTGTTAATATTGACAAGTCGTTGACTGGAACGTGGGAGGTTGACTGCTCTGCCAATACCTGTGAGTTTTCGCTTTCAAAACAAGGGAATAGTAGCGAAAATAGAGACACTTCAACGTAAAACAATGTAGGCATTCACAATATCTTAAATCTGTTTCTGTAATGTTATTTACTCATTAGTTATTTTGACTGGGTTAATAAAAAATTACTTAATAAAAAAGCATGATGACACAATATATCATTTGCGAGTATTATTTTGTCTGGGATGTACGTTTTATCAAAGCTTCCAGATCAGATCAAACATTTTATATATATATATATGTCAAAGCGAATAAACAAATTATTAGTGTTATGTAGATTATATATATATATATTTACTATGCACTGGAGAGGTGTAAAATGATATTCGATCAATCAGAGTCGGTTATGAAGAATAAACCAATCCCCAGACTTACTGATGTCACTTATTGTTCAACTATATGAACTCGTCAATGAAGTTTCCATCGAGTAAAATTATTCAAAATATTTGATTCTTTAATTCGGGGTTTTGCTTCCACCGTGTGGAAATGAAATACCTTGTTGATGTTAAAGTTCTAGTTTAATATAATATGGAAATTCTTTCTTCCAGATGATAGATTAATTGTTGATATTTCCAATTTTTTAATAAACATCACATATATGAAACGTTCTCTCAAAAAATGCTCATCAATTGTCATATATTTCGTTTGATAATTCTATTTAACACATCGCGAATTCATGAATATTTGTCCAAATTCGTTTTGGAAGAATTCGATACAAATGAAAGTATATTCAAAATAAAAACAACAACAAAACACTTAAACATAATTAGGGTTAGATCCGGAGTCTACACAGTCGGAATGTTATTATTTCAATAGAAATGGCGTATAAACACAATTAAGGCACAGGATTGTTATTGAAATAAATTTATTTTCACAATCAAGCTTGCTCATTTATATGTATTTACTCAGGAACAGATTTCGACTCCAACTAGTGTAGAAAAAAGATGAGGAACTTAGATAGCTATCGAGCGTCGTCCCGAGGCTTGACGAGGTGCTGTTGAAGGAACCAGTAAAGTCTCATTTGCAACAGTCTTAAACAAGCCCAAATAAAGTATCCATTTTTTGTTATGTTATAAAATAATCTAATTTTAACTGTAAAAGTATTTTTTGTGGTCGAATTTATAATTCATGTATCTCAATTATGCAATCTGCTTACAATTGCTTTGTCCGGATATAGCTAATTTATCTTAAAGTAGCTAATATGTATACAAAGTTTTCGATGTTCAAAGTTTTCAAAAAATGTTGAGTACAATCTAAAAATGTGTGGATCAAGATAGATTGTCGTTCTCGAATTTGAACTCAATTCTACTAAATCGGTGGGCCGTGTCCACAAGTCCCTTTGTACTTTTTGAAGCCATTGAGACTTACTTAAGAGAATTTCAAGCTGTATGAATATGTAGGCGATAGGCGTTTAAAATTCACTACATAGTACACAGTATTATTGTTATGATATTCTTAATACAACGTATTATGTTACAAATGTGAATAAAGAGTATAGGAAAGCATTGGAAGGCATCGATCCATGACTTCGCACACCTGATAAACCCATGACAGATTTAGCCACCGGAACGGTACGAGCTAAGCTTCGCATAATGTGCGTTTGAGAAAGTATTTACTATTAACGGTAGATTTCGTCATTGACGTTCACAACAAATTAGTTGACCATAATTTATGTGTGGTGAAAGGTTGGGGTATAAAAGGCTGTTTTTGATTTCCTTACCGCGAGAATGAACAGACTGCATTTAAGCCGATGAATCTTAATTGAATTGTGTAGGTGAACAATGTCGAACGAAATTTTTGGAGATGACCATGAGGAAGAAATACAGTTGATAGATATTGAAACCCTGGAGTTTGTGGAACATATAGACAGTGGTGGAATGGCAAATATATCGCTTTATAAATGGAATACAAACGGATCTACAACTTTGGTGGCAAAGAAAAGTTTATTTCGTGGATCAATGACTCGCAGGTACCTTCTACTCTTCTGATATGTTAAGCATTAGAGATTTTCTACCGAAGTTTCCACAGTGTCGTACGACTTTATTCATTCTTCAATTTTAATTGTTTGACGATCAACGTGTTTCTCTTCAGCTGAACTTGATGACGCCTCAGCCAGCCATGCAAAAGCTTCCGCATTATGTCCCCTGGTAATTACAACCCGTTTTTATATAGCTTAAAAATAGTTATTCAGTTATTTGTTTCAGACGCAAGGACTTGATGGTTGAGGAAGTCGTATTTTAACTCAGACTTTTAGATTTCTAAAAAAAATAATAAGATCAAACCAGTCCCTCATTAAACTTTATTACAATGCGATTTGGTTTTAAAATTCATTGTTGTCAATTTTGATAATCCTCTATTTTACTAGAAAAGTTGAACTATCCGTATATTGCCCAATTTAAAAGTCTTTAGTAATGCGGCGATTTTTCCAGACTCTGATTAACTCAAGTCATTCTCGGTGAATTCTACGTCTGACAATGAAAAGTTGCATTTGACTTGATTCTTCTTATTCTAATTGTAATGTGTATGCTCAGAAGTGTCGTATTTTTGTATCATCAATGGGTGTATGACGTCTAAGGTTTGAATTAACACGCACCGAATATCGCTATATCAATTCTCATCCAGTAGGCCTACTCGCGCGCAAAGCCATCACTGTTTGTCAAGATCTTTTGTTTAATAGCAGGTATTGTATTATATATTATTTTTGTATTGACAGAAATATATTTCTGATATTATATGTTTCGATTCCATGCATTACAAGAGTAGTTTACAGCATGATCGACTGATTGACAATATATTTTTGACTATTTTTTATCAACAGTTAATCGTACGTATTAGCCGTTTTAAGGTAATTTCATGATTTGCAGATACCGCTCAAACTTGAAAAAAGAGATGGCAATTCTGGCTCGACTCGATCACGAAAACATTGTAAGAACATATGGAGCAGTCGAAACTGTCGACGATTTTGGGCTTGTCATGGAATACCACCAATTCACTTCATATTTGAAATTTTTCCGTTGTTTATGGGATAACATACAAAAAACATCAACAATTGACAAAGTGTTGGTGCCTCTGAAGATCAAAATAATATCAGAGGTTTGTCAGAAAGAGCAAATTATCTAAACTCATCTTTTACAGACTTTATATTGGCAGCTAATTATTCGTCAAAAAATAAGAAATGAATGCAAATTATAGTAATAAACGCTTATTAATTTACATCCGGTTTATTTTATAAAGTTACCATTGAATTCGATGAAATTACTTTACTTTAACTTGCAACGCTACTTTTCATGTTATCTGGTGTTTAAACATGAAATCGACTGAATATTTAGGTCATATCAGCAATGAATTATCTACACAACAGGAATCCACCAATTCTACATTTGGATCTAAAAAGTGGCAATGTGTTGCTGAATAGTGAATTACACGCTAAGGTTTGTTTGAACGTGTATGATCTTTAAAATGGTGGCTGTATGACGCCATTTCAGTATTGGCATCAGAAGAGAAAGCCTCCTCCTTGTCTCTTTTCTAGAGTAAACCAAATCCTTGTAGGGTTAGAGATATGCATAAAAACGAAGTTGTAGAGCACTCACTGCAATTGAGTTGGAATCGAACCATTACTTTTGAAGACTCCAAGCGACTCATTCCGTTTCGATAGAATTACTCGACAACCAAAAGTGAGACTTGACTAATGGCTGTAATTGAACCAAGTTATCACGCTGATGCAGAAATAAAAGGGTCAATCCCATCCTGTTTTTAGAAATAACGCTAATTTGTTGCAGTATATACGAAAGTCTCAATCATCGACTGTGAACAAAAGCTTGACTTGTGACTCGAGGACGAGATTTGTAACTTGATGAGATTCGTGCTCGACTCGAGAATTAAATGATTGTGACTCGATTTGACGAGTGACTCGAAGTTCAAGTACTGTTATCCAAAACTGATATGTAGTGTTAGATACATTGAAATAAGTTTTATTTACTCCAGATATGCGATTTTGGATTGAGCCAAATGCGAATGTTGAATACATTACGCTCAAGATCGACTGTGACAGCGAGTGAGTTTATTATTTTGTCTCATTTAAATTTCAGAACACTTTTAAATTTCGGAATGCTGGAATTGTCTATTATTATAATTCTTCTTTGTGCCTGGCCGAAATACTGTAATATTTTAACATTTATTCTTCGTTTTAAATCCGGCGTTTGTATTTTGGTATACCAATTTAAAAATATACACCGAAACAATTCTTGTTATTGCTTATCCCTTTCGCTTTACGACATAAATAAGGTTAAAATCCGTTTACTGATACATATTATAGGTTCTATTATTGGAACATATGGCTACATCGACCCTCAGAGACTTCAGGATATACATGTTAAGCCCACGATAAAGTCTGATGTTTATGCGTAAGTGCAAATATTTTATAAAATCATTATATAGATAGAACTTAGTTTCATTGCATACATCTAGAAACTTCTAAATCTAACTCGGGAAATTTATTTAAATAGGTGTACTAATTTTTGTATCGGAAGTAATATAATTTTGGAACGAATGTCCAGATTTTTTTTAAATTTTTGTCGATCTTCTGAGGTCACGACATAATCTAAACTCTGATAAACATCTTTCATTCGAATATTTCAACTGTTTAAAATTAGAATAGGCATTCAAAGCTTAGCCTTACAAATTTGACCAAGTTTATATGAAATGTCAGCGATAAGTCTGCTTAACTATTTTTAAATTCAATTTTCAGCTTTGGAATTTTGCAATGGGAAATATTGACAGACAAAATATCTTATGAAGGTGATATAATATTTTAATTTGTACTTTACCATTTAATATATAAATAATGACACGCTTTTTGGATGTCGAGATGAGAACGACAGTGGCGATAGAATGGTATGTTCAAACGGCGTCAAAACTACTTGCGAGCCAAAGGTTAATCTCTTAAACCTACCCGAATTCACTATTTATTCATAACCAATTTGCTGTTTTCCGCCGAAGAAAAATTTGATCGCTGATTTTGAGTAGAGAATTATTGACCTTGAGTGAAATAGTAAGAATCTATTTATGATTAGGATGCAAGTAATTTGATAATTTCGCATACAAAGCTTAGATTGATTTAGTATGCACAATACACTTACACCATAGATTATAGAACAACAAACGTTTATTCATATAAGAATACTTTTATCCAACGGTGTTTACATTTGCGCAAAGTTCTCTTTCTCTCAAATTTTGCACTTTGTTTGTACAAGGTCCAATAACAACTTGGTCGTTTACGTTAGTATTCTGTTAGCACTGAATACTTCAAAATTTTAATATCGCTTTCTCCGAAAAATGTTTCATCACAAAAATTCCTATTTTAGAACTGGACAATGCACTAATTGCTTTCCATGTTGCAAATAGAGAGCTCCGTCCAGATATCTCCCAGGTTCCACATGTACTGCCTGAGGAACTAATAAATATGATGGAAGCATCGTGGGCACAAGAACCATCAGACAGACCAACATTTGAAGGTTTACAAATATTTCATTTTAGAATGGTTTCTTTTTATTTAATTCAACTAAAATATATAAAAGGGTTTGGCATGTTGAGACAAAGAAGAGTTGGTTGATTTTTATAATTTTGCTTTTTCGTGGGAAAAGTTCAATAGAAATATAACTACCATGATGTAATATTCATATTTTAGATGTTGGTTCTATTTTTCAGAGCTCGACGACCATATTCAAACGATTATAAATCGTATTCCTGCTTATAAAGAACAAGTTCGACAATCGAGAATACAAATATTAACGCTGTACAGATCAGTAAGTTTATTATATTTTCTTTTCTGACTTCTCTCTATTTCACTCTTTTCATATATTTTCATTTTTTTGTCCACTTTGCTACCGCATCAAAACTATCCGTGTACAGTTCCCTTTCAAACGCTATTATACAACTTAAGCTGATGGAAAGGTGTTCCTTTGCTTCACAAAGCAGCTCACAATGTTTGAGCCATCGGGGGCACCAACCTTACAGCAGTGGCCTTAACGACAGAAGATATCCATTAAATGAAGGTGACCGTCCTCGCAGACCCATAAGTGCACCTAACCGTGGAAGTGTAACAAAACCCATGACAGATGATCCCGAAGGAAATGGGCATTCACTTCGAGATTTAACAAATGATGAACTAGCACCACTGTTGCAGCCTTCCGTGTCTGTTCCAAGATATGGTAATATATTTTCAATTTGCCTAGATTGTTCGCATGTTTCACACAATATCTTTGATTGGTTTTGGGAAGAAAAATTCGATGTCAGTAATCCCTATGCTTGGAAACTCAGTTTAATTTCTTGGTTTGGAGAGCTTTTACTGGACGATTATATTTGATTATCGATGCTTTTCTTTGGAATGGGTATTTGGAAATGAAAGTATAAAAAAAAAAAGGTAATAATATTTTCGGTTATAAAAGAGAATTTAGAATGTGGCTCTCCAACGTGAAAATCAAATATATGTTCTTCTGTAATATTCTCCATACATTAAAAAAATATTATTATCATATTTTCACAGTTTTGGAGAAAAAGCTTGTGTCTACAAAGAAGGTTCTTCTCGTCTTAGCTCTGTTTTTATCTGTTTGTGCAATTACTTCAGTTGGAGTTGTTGTATGGAAAACGAAAGAAAATAAAAGTAAGTTTTGGTGGCTTTCAAACTTTATTACATCGATATCTCAAATGCATGCTTTAATATGAACTTAAATATAAATATAGCCTAAGTACAGAACGCCATATAACCTGATAAGCTGTGAAGGCGACAAATACATTTCGACCGAGAAGGCCGGCTTGTAGACTATGTAGCTGACTGTATTTCTGAGTTCCTTCATTTGTCAAATCCAGAAATCCAAACCATACTTTGGCCTAAATCCTAAAGTAAGCGCTGCCAAATGCAAAGGGCAACCCGAAAGAAAGAACTGGCCTTGAGCCCGATCGATCGAGAACGGGGAAACACGGGCTCGTAACACGCGACATCTGTGTGATGTCATAATTAGCAAGTAATAAATGACACGTGACATTACCAGGGTCAAATACAGACTAGGTCGATTATTACAATTTACGTATATGTGAAATTAGGAATCATATGGCAAAATCACCGTGATTCATTCGTTGTCATTTTCAGACTCACCATGCAGGAAACTGGACGCCCCAGAACATGGGAATGTGACTTGCTCAACTGGGTCTGATCAATACAATATTAAATGTAATTTTGTGTGCGACGAAGGTTACGGAATTATTGGAAAGATACGATTCTATGCAGTGGGGGAAAATGGAACGACAAAAAGCCTGTTTGCGAGAGAGGTTTGTTGAATGTTCAAAACATAGTTTCGTTGCTCTATAAAAAAGTAGTAGGCAAATTTAGGTTGGGAACTCATATTTTAATTTGTTGTGAGTTGTGACTATCAATAAATACTGGTTAACCCAGTGGTTCTCAACATTTTTTAGTTTGCGGAACGGTAAAATTCCGAAACGAATTTTGCGGACCGATGAACCTTCAAAATCAACCCAAATTGTCAAAAACACAATACATATTTGAACGAATGTAATTACGACAAAGCATGCAATTCAAAAGCAGACAATTCATTTGTTGATAAATTTGTCTTTCGATATCATACGTGTTAACCTCGCTTCTAATGAAGTTTCTGCAAGGCGGAACAAGGCGTTGACTTCCACACGATTCTCCTGTTAGGTCTTGGTGAGAGATAACTAGAGTTGACATTTTTGGAAAATATTTTCTAAAACTAAATTGAACGGTAAAAGTTACGTAACGTACGAGCTACTCAGCCAGTTTAAAATAAATCCAATAAGGCAAGTACTATGTGCTTCTGAACTCCTCCGTTATGATGACTAAAATCCAGCCGTTCAGGAGTTGAAATAAGCGTAGGACATCTGACCAATTTTGGTTCACACATCAGTAGGAGTTAAACTCACAAAATGGGCAGGCCAATAATGTCTTGACTTTGAAAATTGAGAGATTATATTGGAATATACTTGGCGGATCGACATCAAGGTTGACGAGAACCAGCACCGGTAATTTTATCTATATTAATTGGGCTTCATGAAAAGTACATATTTTACTCAAACCCCCGTAATACATATGTATTTGAAAAAATGACTAAATCTGCAATAATTGTTTGTAATTTATATTTTAGTTTGCGATCAGCCAGAACCAGTATCCAATGGGGAATTGAACTGCACTCACCAATATTTTGTGAATTCAACATGCACTGTGAAATGTCTAAACAATCACCAAATTCAGGTAAATAATACTGAATAAATAATTGAAAACGTTGAAATTTATTCCAGGTTTGAAAAAAGTTTGTTCTTTTTTCGCATCGATTTTCAGTGTTGTTATTGAAAAAAATTGGTACTTCCAAAGTATGGGAACCAAGATGGCGGACACCGGAACGTAGTATGTGTACCAGATTAGGGTTAGGTCATAATTTCAAGTACAAATACTACGGGAGTCACTTGGCTAGTGCCCGAACTCGTAATAGAACTAAAATAAGAAAAATTGGAATACAATTTTGTCTCAACTCGAACCTGGTACACTTACTACGTCCCGGTGTCCGCCATCTTGGTTCCCATACTCCGGGAGTATTAAACATTTTATGTGGAAATAACTAGTGAACTTACAGTATATCGCCAAGCTTGGGATGAACCGGAGAAACTTTAGTTTAAATAAATATCACGTATGAAAATAACTTCACTGATATTTATTCAGGGAAACAAAACCATTTCATGCGAAACAAACGGAAATTGGTCAAATCCCGAACCTTCCTGTACCTGTCCACACTGTTACGTAGGAGATAAATGTGAATATTCTATATTATGGACCAATGTTGATGCAACTCTAGATGACTTACAAATGTACCAAGTAATACCGGTGAGTAGCTTATGGCAATTCCTTATATTTACCTCCTGGTTCAATACTTTTTATCCATTTCCTTTTTTTCTTTCTCTGATGTTCTTCCATCTCTCACGAGGCCAGCCTCTTACCGTCAATCAGATAGGCTACATATAGTTCCATTTCGGAATACTTTTATGATTCTACTCTATTTCTACTTATTGTTTATTTATCTACTGAAATATGAGAATTTAGAACAAAATCGGTAAACAAAAAGTATTTTGAAACGAATGTTCGAACGTGAGACGAACGTTGCAATAGATTCTTCATTCTGAATTGTTAAAATAAAATTCTAACTCAGAAATATACAACATTCTTTACTTATTATCACAGTTTTGTGTATATTATACCACTATTACGACTCTAGGTAAATTATGGCCGTCACACTTTTACCTGTACCGCTGGAATATATAAGTGGTTTAAGTTTCACGGAAAATGCGAAGACTCAACAGCTCATCAATCACAAGATTGTAATGCAGGCGATGGATATGATTCAGCTTCAGGAGGAGCAAAGCATGCGGCGGCCGAGTTGATTCGTAAACTTGTTCGACAAACATTATATCCTGAACCCTGTGATCCTCAAAACATGCCTACGAATTGCTGACTATCGCAGTCTTTTATCTAAAATAGATAACCGTTGGCTTCAAAGATAAATCCAGATGTGAAATGCCAGACATCGATACAATGGAATTACGACTTAACCATCGCTACTATCACAAATACAATCTATTTTCTTCTGCAAATATTCTCAAGTAATATTAAACTTATACCATTAAATGATTAAAGCTGTTTACTGTGATGCACAGATGAGCAAAGGTATCAACCATGCTCATGTACCAAGCAAAACTCTAACAGTGAATTACAGAGAAAAAGACGGATATTAAACTATAGTCATGTTGTGATTAGCTAAATGGTGGTTTTGACTTCTTGCTATATTAGTCTCCGACTTCGTTCTGTAAGATGTTATTAAATTCCGAATTCACAACCTTGCTACTGAAGCTCAATTTATCTGATTCAACACCGTGATTGCGCGGTAATTTTTTTTATTTCAAAATAATTTTTCGAGTGTAACTATAATATGGTTTATTCAGAACCACATTTTCAGTTTGTGAAATCATTGTTCTCAAATTATTATTTAGTCACCAATTGCAGTTTTCTGTTAAGAAAGAATACGATTTTGTAATATTTCCATGCGAATTCTATTGCGTTATTATAACATCACATAAACATGAATATATTAAAATATGACTATAGCTTAAAAACGTGATTGTATTTTAGTCAAGGTTACACCTTAAGGATTTTGGACACTTCTATAGAATTATTTAAACTCAAGATATAAATTCAAACCAATGTTCTGTATATTTGTTATTGATAAATAAGTACCAGTGTGGGTATGCCGTTATTATTTTGACAGTTGTACAGTAAGACAAAAATGCAATATTTTATTCATTACATGAAAACTAAGATAGAAAATTTGCTACTATAAGTAGTATTTATTACTTTATTTCTTCTCATACTTCTGTCTGAATGACATTAAAAAAAAAATATTTTGAAAGATTTTGGATGTTTTGCTTGCTGTAGAAATGCAATATTAGAATTTCTTGGAACTTCCGATGCTATATTGTGTATATACTGAACACTCAAAACATACAATTGCATTAGCATGGTACAACATGCGGTATTCATCTTCAGGCTATTCTGCAAGCCTTACTGCCGGTTTTTATGTCAATCAGAACCAGTTTGGGTAATGTTTATGTTTGTGGAGTTTTTGATTTGTAGTCGTAGTTTTGACGTAATTTCTTACGTGTACGAAATGTGTCAAAACTTTTCAGTCAGTTGTTTTTTTGGCGAACAAACCTCAACAACCTTGTTTGCTTGCTGAAATAGTGCTGTTCTTCATATTAGCCACTTTGGTCCTAGAAAAACATTTATAGAAATTTAACAGTTTTGAAAAAGTGAGCTATTTAAATTATAAAACAGAAAGAAGAGTTATTAAATTTAAATATTTTGAATATTTTTATTTTAAAAGTATCGAGTATTTATAAAAAAGAAAGAAGCACCAATATCACAATTTTATCATAAATAGTGTGCTATTGGCCCACGTAAAGATTCGATCAACGACTCAAAAATACCTGTTTTAAATATACTAAAATTTACACAGTGGCACTAAGCTACATCATTAGAAAGTTATATTGAAATATTTGTTTAATACGCATAAATGACCCATTTATTTGAACCCAAATTTCTTTGCTTTTGCGAGGATTTTTTGAACTATTGTACATTCTATCTAATTTACTCTAAAAAAATAAAAAAAAACTTGAGTAAAAAAAACACCAAAGCCAAATATAATACTCACGATAAGAATGACAGCATAGTCTAGTATTAGGTCCAGCACATTTGCCATCAAGATATTCTGTCGGGCAGTAATTGGTTTTATCCATACAAGTTCCCTTGAGACTGTCACATCCTGGATCTTTGTAGGCGTCTTCAGCAGCTTTACCTATTTCAAAACAATATCATGACAAATAGAAACAAAGCATAATATTATCAAGAAAATAAACTATGTTGAATTTAGAGTCTTTGTAAGACCGATATTTAGAATTTGGATCGTAGTAAACAAACAAAGCAAATAGTGAAATATGTCCAACTGAGACCGGGAAGAAGCAAACCATTTACGTTTTGTGAACAAATAAATTACAAATAATTGACGTAGCGATCACTTGCTAATAATTTAGAGTCACAGTTCGATAATTGAAATTATGATAAGCAGCAGTAGAACTAAAATGAAAAATGATAAAAACAACTTTGAAAACTTATTTCCCTATTATGTGTGTACCCACATTGTGCATCACATGCAAGACAACACCTAATGACGGAATCGCCAGTACATAGTCCACTTCTATATCCTGCAATACATTTATAGTCAGTCCAATTTATACATTTTCCTTCTCGCTCTGTGCATTTCTTGTCGGCAGCTGTAAACATATATATATATATGAAACATCCTTGAAGCGGAATTAGAATAAAAGAACACTATATATATATATTTTGCGTATATTTAATACGATATTAATACAATGCAACAATGCTTAAATATATGAACATGAATGTCGAAATGAAGTAGTACGGGTATGGGGTATGTAATCTTTCACAGTAGCCTTCCGGCACCGCGGTCTTTACGTCTTCGCCTGACCACCAGATAACAATTAACGCGAACACGGAACCGCCACAATTTTTAATTTCGATGACGTCATCGCACACAAAAAACGAATTCCATAGAGACCATAGAAATTTCTGATACAAATAAAAGTAATACCGTTCTAGCAAAACAATCTTTTAACCATTAAAATTTAAAAGCATTTTGTCCAGTAATGAAAGAGAAAGACGATTTTTCACAAAATACCAACAAGTACAACAACATAATAACAAAACGATCCATAGGTACATTTCGTGTCCAAAAAACAATCTGTATACTTACGATTCGGTGGGCAGCATTGTCGATCTCCTGGGCCGGGACATTTCCCTTTAATATATTGTTGAGAGCAATAATTGGATTTGTCTTTACATATCCCATGAATGCTATCACAAGCAGTATCATTATATCCAGCTTCTGTCTTTTGACCTGTAGTAAATTCATAAATTAATTTCTATTTTTTTTTCAATTATTTTTTCCTGGATGTTTCAAAGCTATCCTTTGAAGTAAATTGACTAATTTTGATATAGTTCTGGCAAGACAGGCTGGGGAAACTTCACTATAATTGATCCTGATGGCATATATATCTGTTTGTATTAAAATCACGCCGAACTGGTAGGCTACCCACTTACAATCAGTATCGCAGGGTAAACAGCATTGAATACTCGAGTCTCCGCTGCATAATCCACTTCTATATCCAGCAACGCACGTGTGTTCGTACCAATTCAGGCAAGTTCCCGATTTTGATGTACACTTGTAGTTTGGAGCTGTCATAAATATATATTTGAGAAAATTCGATCATCGGTCTTGATGATTACATAAAAGACGAGAGAGAAAAATATTGCTATGCTTTGACAGAGTAATGGGTTCAGACAGGAATCTTGTTTTTAATTTCAACGTTTTATCTGAGTATGCCCATTTTAGTCTCTTTTTTTTCAAAATTAACGGGCATGTAACACTGATTATATATTTTGATGTAGCCTAATATATGTCTTTCACTTCCAGTAATCACCAAGGCCCTTTAATAAGTTTTTAAAAATTTACCTGAGCAAAATTATTCGCAAAATATTTAATGCAATTCAACACTAAAGCATAATACCTGGTGGCTTAGTCGATGTCCATATTCCAACCGAAAGTCCGATAATTACACATGTGAGAAGTACGATGACGAACAATAATTTTAGTGGCGACAATCCTGCAAATCCTGCGTCTGTAATTATACAGAAACGTCGCTGATTGAAATACATAACGTGAGGAGTGATATTTACTGCGCAAATTGATCGGCAAAAGAATCTCAGTATTCATATAAACCAGTGGTGGGATTCAAAATGTTAAGAATGGGTTCTCATTTGTATCCAACTCGCTAACAACGGGTTCCCTCATTTCAGAAAATAATGACGAACCAAAACATAAACATCACGCGAACCTGTTCGAACCCTTTGAATTTGACCACTGTATATATATCCATAGTGAGTGAAAGTACAAGCACAGTTGCATTACCAAATTTGAATAAAAAATGTTAAAAAACCAATATCGTAACTAATCATGGAGCATTGCAATTTTGTTAAATAACTACACTGTGGTTAAAATGGGATGCATAGATTATGGGATGAACATTTCGCATGCAGTATTACATTTAGTGGGGTTTCATGCGCTACATCATACCATTATTCATGGAACGAATTGTACGAGGCTCAAAACTGCTATCACTATTATGCCTTGAAGTATTGGTGCTGAAAGAAAGTAAAGGACTGTTTTCTTCATCTCCCCATGCACCAACAAACCGTTGTGGCGTCGTACCATTGAAAATTCTTTTTGATAAATTTGTTGGATCAGAGTTACCCATATGCTGTGGCTTAGCTGTTGATTTTGTACCCTGACTGCCTTCGGCGTAACCCGTGGTACAGATTGACTGTCCGTGGTGTTGCATATTGCTGGCTTGTGAAGACACGCTTTGCTGCTGTGTATTGCCATTATATCCCACACGTGTCTATGTGAAAAGATAACATAATTTCCTATCAAAATACGCTTCTTGAGGCGATTTTTTCGAAAAATGAGGATGCGGAAACTCTTACCGACGTGTATAGTTGTAACGTTTGAATTCGAGATTCCTTAACTTGCCTTTTATAACACGGAATGCGAGCTTTAATTGACAGCATCTCTTCATCAAGTTCTAAAGATATTGCAAACAAAAATTTATAAATAATTTAATAAAAAATAATTAGACACTTGTAAATCTATAGATCATTCTGCTGAATTGTTGTTCTTCACGTTGTTGTTATCGTTATATTAAAAACCATTCTCTTCAACTATCGCACCAATCGCTTTCATAATTTCAGTAGTTGAAGAGGAAGGTGTGTTTACCAGTAGGCTATTTTTGTATTATTTTAATTTTCTTGGTTCGCGGCGTTTACTCTAAAATGCTGGTTTTAATGTATGACCACATGGATTTTCGCCCGATTGATTTTAGCGAACACGTGAGGAACACCGTGATGTGTTTACATGACTTTAGTCTGTCTTCCAGACTTTCATGTCCATATGTTTGGACCGTGGCTCTCTTATTCAATCAAATATGTATAGTGCTCAACTTAACTTACTAGTAAAACAGGCATTTATTTTTTGGGGAAGTTTGTGCAATAAATTTGGCAATTCATAAAAATGTTATCATACCGGGTACGTCAGGGTCTAATCAAGGTGATACCACATTTGAAACGTAATCGGCGGTGATCATTATTCACATATCTTATTCTAAACTTACCTTTGAAACTTGGTCTTGCTTTCGGATCACTCGCCCAAGCTGACTGTATCATACTTGTCATTTCTGATGGAAATACATTGGGAAGTAAAGAAAGATCTGGTCGTTGTTCGTCTGAGTCGTCAGAATGATAGTCACTAGTGACGGGCTCTGTGTAAAAAATAAAATCGATCCAATTAATCAGAGATCACCAGAATGAAAAATAGAAGCTGCTCGTTTTTGAACGGTATAGTGGCAAACCACTTTTCTGAGTAGAGTGCCGGGCACAGAATTGCGAAGGAGCAATGTGAAGCATAACGACGCAAGTAAAAAGTGGAATGAGGTTCTTTGTCAGCGATAGAATGGTCGACGATAAGTGCAAAGGTTTGATTACAAATGGCGTTGTACAGGGCAACTCGTTTTAGAATTAGATGAAACGAATCAGTTACGTTATTGCAAACAAAAGGAAATATAAATACTTGATAATAACTATTATGATCAAAGTATGTATACAGTGAAAACGAATACTCCACAAGAGAAGCCCAATTTTAGCGAATAGTTATTAAATTGACTTTTTATTTCATGATCACAAGAATATTTAACGCAGAACTGAGCATGCCATTTGTTATTTATAGCAGAACTCTGGGATCTTTTCTACGAAGCCCCCACCAAAAAAATACATTTCCAACGCTCGAAATAAAAAAAAATAGTAATTATTCTGTTAGGGAGAGGGATAGGAATACAAATTGCGCTGGTAATTTAAATTTTCAAATCATTCCTAACTTGAACCCTAACTGGATGATAACTATTTTATTATTTTAAAACGTGGTGGGGATCAGGGCGTTGCCCGGGTAACATTTATCTGTATCTTACATAGCTTTTTAGTTCCCCAAGACACCCTTTTTCTGGACCTGTTAGCTGCTACAGTCTAACCCGGAAATTATAAATTTAAGTCCCCCCCCTCCTCTACCCTTTAAAAATTCCTGGCTACGCCCCTGGCGGGACTGTTTTGCTCAAATCTCACATTGTTGCATTAGTGGCAGGGTCTATGTACAAAAGATCCGAACTATGCTTACTGCAACGGTCAACGTGTATAAATTTCTTCCGTGTAAACATATTTTCTTGGCCATAAATGAGTTGATAAAATGTACAAGAGCCAGTGCTCGGGCCTTTGCGAACCCGTTCATAACCTGTGTGATACTTACATTTTTTGAAATGAGTTAGTGAGTTCGATACAAAACAGAACCCGTTTATAAAATTTCGAATCCCACTGCTGAACATAACAATTGTTATATATATAATAATCGTAGCTGATGTACAATAGACTAAGATACAAAGTACACAACTTGAAACATATTTAACAAAGTTATTCGTCATTTCTTACCTGAGTACGGCAGCTTATCTGTCATAATCTCCCACATGACTACACCGAATCTGAATGGAATATAAAAATGTATATTTTCATGTATCTGAAACAATATCACACTATATTCTATTGCTCAGTTTGTTTGATTTGAAATCTGTTTTACAAAGCAATTTGGAAAGAAGATTGTTGTTTGTACAATAACAAGAGTTACGAAGTATCATTCCAGTTTTTCCAACAAAATTGTCTAGCGCCGCAAAGTTGCCTGGGCATTTATCAAATACATTGCGCGTTTGCATTTTAGTCGTCATTCTCGATGATTCCTAAATATTATTGTACCATAAGTTATCTTACATCTGTTATATAAAAATACGCTGTCAATTGTTGATTCGTACTAGAGTTTATAAAATGCTAAGGTTTTTATATTATTATTTACATTCTGATACTGATTTTTATTTGTCGATGACTTTTTGGTAGTGGATTACTTGTGCATATCATCGATACACACACATATTTAAATAATTATATAGTTTACTTAGCTGCGATAGACATAAATTCCATATAAATGACTAAAGAAAGTTACAACCTTGGTGATGTTTAGATATGTATCAAAAAAGCGAACACGAGACGTGGAAATTATGAATTTTACAGACAAAGCGCTAACGGAGACGTTTTCGTATTTGCTGTTACTGAAAAAGAGTAATATATATAACTAAAAAAATAATAGAAGTCTTTTATCGACAAATAAGCATCAAAATGTGTAGAATACAAAATTGTCGTTTTGTTCGAGAGACAGCGATGCAATCAATACGGCAGAGATAACGAATCTTTTTTGTAGAACGGGTCAAATGAGGGTTTCGAAAATTACCATCTCGCGACTCGGAAATCCCCATGCAACGGCTTTTAAAACAATCACCGCTAAATGGAATTGATTGAGCATCATATTTTATTTCATCGTGATCTGGAATCAATTAGTAGCAATGGTCATCACAGGCTTGGGCCGTTTGAGACTGACAATAGATGAACGGGAATACTGTTTTCGACGTTTTTACCCTTCAGTGCATATAAATATGGTATCGATTCAGTTGCTGATAACTAAGCTACATGCTGCCGCAGGCAGGTAAACTTCATGCGATTTGTCTAAAATGCGTTGAGACATTTTTATCTGTCATGAAACTCCCAAAACAAAATTTAGGATGTCTTTTACTTTATTTTTAGTGTGTGATGGTACCGTTTCAATTTGTGAATAATCGTCACGAAAATCCAAATCCAGGAGTCAATAACCACAATATTGTTCATTTTATTATTTCGGGACTTGGCGGACCACCTAAAAAACCAACGTGGGTCACTTTGTGACTTGAGAGTCAGTGGTTCGCCATCCCTGCTATAGGACATATGTAATTCAACCCTACGTCCGCCCATCTTCACAAGAAACTTTGCACAAACACAGAAAAACTGGTCTATTCTGTTGAACTCATTTGGAAAACATTCCGACTTTTCCATATATTTCATTGCAGACATGTCACAGCTACAGAGCAGAAAAACAATGTTTGCGCAGAGCAGCAGTTTCAATGTTGTATTGTTTTTTGCTGTTTCCAAATTGTTGCGTCTATGATATCATATACCTTAGTCAATCTTTTCGATAATTTCGTAAAAATGCAATGAATAGCTAGCGTACACAATGTCATTGTCTCTGTGTTACTCATCCTATGCAAAGTAGTAATTATTTTAATTTTTCTAGTACAAAGTATTTTTTTATTTTGTTCTGACCAATTATTCAAGTGTGACTCAAGTTCATAACAATGCTATCCTAATATTCATAAAAAATGACAAGCCAATGGTTTATATTCCAATCCTCGCGGGACCCGTTAAATACTAAAGTCATGTTTCCACAGGAATGATTATGTATGGAAATAATCCCATCGACATATGAATTGCAATACCGACAGAACAAACCAGCATTAGTAAAAATTTCAGAAAAGATTTTAAACGTACGAGTATACATCCGCTTTTGTAGTTGGCTTTGCTCGGGCGTTCTTCAGTCTTTCTGGCGAGATATATCCTGGAGTTCCACCCGTTGCAACAGGACCTGCACATATATAGAGTATACAGTAAATCAAGGGCCGGAAACCTACGGCCCGCGGGCCAGATCCGACCCGCGGAGTATAATGATCCGGCTCGGGTCGCTTTATTTAATTATAACGACAAAATGGCGGTTTTGACGACGATGAATTAATTTTATAATCCACGCTCGAGGAGTTGATTATATTTTTACATAACAGAATTTATTGTTAGACATATGCAAATTCAATTGTATTATAACCTAACAATTTAGTGAACAGCTACTCGTTTAACGAGCCTATAATTTAATTATACTTAGACAAATGGCAACACGCAAAAACGTTGATGCTGAGTGCAGAGGATTCAATGGCACAGAAGGAATTCAAACAGAGCTATTTGAGATGCAATGCAACCGAAAAATAAAATTCGTATTCTATTCGAGAGATGTATCACTGCTTGATTTTTATATAAAATATCTTCTTGAAAGAAATCTATGTCCAAATTCAATAAACCATGCGCAAAAATTCACAACGATGTTTGGAAGTACATATGCGTGCGAACAATTATTTTCGAAAATGAACATTACAAAGAACAATCTGAAAACTAGGATTAGTGATGCCCATTTAAAAATGTTCTAATCTTGGCTTCATCCAGTGTGCCGCCCGATGTCGAAAAGCTATCAAGCGTGATGCAACAACAAGTGTCGCATTAAATTTCATTTGTAAATTTTGTTCTTTCAGTAAAACGACTGAGTTGAGTTGCAGTCTTCGCGCGATGTTTAAAATATAAAATTTCAACTTCTGATCTGAGTGAAAAAATTGCGATTCATCGGACATACGTTCGGTTTTTATCTTCCTAAAATTATGTGCGGCCCGCCAAGACTTACAACCCTTAATTTTGGCCCGCGTGCGACAAAAGGTTGCCGACCCCTGCAGTAAATATTTATGTTCAATTTGGTCGTTATCTTACGTGCGTAGTCGCATACACTTCGAAAGTCATGTTTAGTTCGATGTCAACGCGGTAATACCACGACACTATGCAAATGATCAAAATAATCAAAAGTTGATTCTCAAGACATATAATACCAGCAAGTTATGTGAGGACAACTGTACTAAATAAACAAGAGGCTGCGAAATTGGACTCTTTAAATATATAAATAGAGATTGGAGAGATGATTTAAACAACGTAACACGGTTAAAATCGTTTTCATCTCGTGGCATATACAATGACCGAATGATTTATTCACTTGTCGCCACAACGATGTTTGCAATAAAGTGTTATGAAATTTCCATGTTGCATTAGACGTAACTTGAACTATATTTGGTTAAGATGGAGATATGAGCATTTAAAAAGAAGTCTCGGTCGTTCTCAATGATCTGTAACCCACCAGATAGATAATAATAAACACAATGTATTCCTATATAATAATTACCTTCAATTATAATGGATCTGCATCGAAGATCAGTTAACGTGCTCATTGTGCTCAATCCGAAATCACAAATCTTGAGTAAAAAAGAAATTTGTATAATCTGGATGTAGTCAAAGTCAAATAATGTTTGTCATAACACATCGTTTAGAAGCAATAACATAATGCAACATTACTTTTGCATGAAGACTATCATCTAGCAGTACATTGTCGCTTTTCAAATCCAAATGTAAAACTTTTCTTGGTCTGATTCCGTGTAAATACTTCATTGCTGATATTATCTGTAAAACACACAATGGAGAATTACGATTTGCAATTGACGCATATTACAATAGCACATGGCCTCTTAAAATTATATTCATTCATTTGCCACCAAATTGTTGAATGATGTCCTTCTCGATGTTGTCAGGGCAAAGAATTATTTAATTCAAGACGGTCTCTACCATATATCGGTATGTGGAACAAGCCTTGTTTGAATCTACGTAATATTGATGAACTTATCCGTTTCGATCAGTATTTCTGTACCACACAAAAAGATTGTCCAATCTCTGACAGATTTAATTGAGTAAAAAGGTAATTATACATCATTTCCCCGCTCGACTGATGTAACTGTAAAGGATTTTGAACAACTTTTGAAGTAGGACATCATTCCGCCTTCACTCCTTTTTCTCTCCATCCTTTTCTTACCAACCCTCTCTCACTCACTTCTACTCTCCCTCACTCCTGTACTCTGACCTCCTCCCTTCACTCTCTCACCCCAACACTCTCCCCTCCCAATGAACCCCAATCTTCTATTTTTTTCACACCGACTTGAAGCTCAATGCAGATGAGAAGATGGGGTAAGAGGTCGGGGGGGGGGGGGGGGGGTAGAAGGGGGAAGAGAACCACTGGTTTAAACATATTAACTATACTAACCTCACACAATATTTGAATTTTGATTGGCACGGTTAACTTTTCTACAATGTCATTTTTTCATGTCCGTCCCATAGACTACCGAAGAAACAAAGACAGGAACCGACGTGGAAGTACTCCATAACAAGTCCAAATGTATCGTTAGTCTGTACGACACCAAATATTTGCACTATGTTCTCGTGTTCCAATGTTGCAAGAATTGCCATCTCCCGGCGTAGATGTGGCTTAAATCTGAATGTAATTTTTTATTTATTTATTGTATGACCTTGATTAAAGTTAGTGAAAAAAAAATTACGTTAAAACCTGCATACCTATAAGTTGTTTTTATCAAGTTTAATTTCGAGAAATTACATGCCTACGTATTTTACACATGTGTTTGAAATATATTATGTGAAAAATATAAGTGATCAGAAAATGATGTTATCCGAATATTCGAAATACAGGGTGGCCCAAAAGTAGGTATACAGTTATTAAACTGTTTTATATGCTTTGAAGCTACTTGCAGTTCACTTTATGTTACTTGTTAAGTACCACAAAAATTGCTTATTTTTTAGATAATAAATCGAGTGTGAATTTTACATTAGTTTTCTAGCTGCTTGGAAAGCAATACATTTCGTAAATCTTTATTTTATTTGAGGATTAATGGCGAATAATTATGCGTTAAGAGTAAGAGATTATCTTAACGAAGTCTTTCCGCAGCGTTGGTTCGGAAGAAGAGGTAGCGTTGAATGGCCATCACGCTCACCTGATCTGACACCAATGGCTTTCTTTTTTTGGGGTGTTGTAAAGAATAAGGTGTATGAGAAGAATCCCAAAACAATAAATGAATTAAAAGATTACATTCATGACGCATTCAGAGAAATTGATGAAGATCGAAATTTGTGCCGTACTGTGTGTCAGAGTGTTTTGGACAGGTGAGAAGAATGATGCAATGTTGGAGAAGGACATTTTGAGCACTTAAGAGATTAAACAATTTCTGTCTACAATATAGTTAGCATTCTTAAACTTTAAAAGTGCCTAAATGAGAACTACAAACCTACTTTTGGACCTAAACCCTACTTTTAATAGCTATACCTACTTTTGGACCACCCTGTATATATATAAACTGCGAAAAACGCACAATTCTTTTAACGAGTGTATGAGATTGTAAACTTATCTATGGTGATTCGTTTTTTTTTATAGCATTATTACTCTCGTTATTTTTTCAAACCATTAAAGTGCTTTTTTGCAATGTTTTACTGTGAACGAGGAAACAACTCCCATAAACTTTTAAATCTTCCATATTACATGCGTTAACATCCTAAACGCCATATCATACAAAAACAAAATTGTCATACGTTTTATATTAGAAATAGCAGGAATGAGTTATAATTTTAAACAGCAGTGAGAAAAGTTCTGTCATCGAACAGTTTTGCATCGAGCATATCAGATCATAGAATCATTGTAAATACACCTCTTAACCCTCACCTGTTTTCTATAGGACCACGAAGAAGACTTTTCATTGCCACGAAAATTTCAGTTGAAGTTTTTCTTTTCCATTCGTACAAAGAAACTTCAGCCATTCCACCGCTCGCCAAGTATTGAACGAACGTCATCTCATTGGAGTTGATAATTTGTATCCCAGTTTCATGATTTCTATTTACCGAATGCATTCTTGCTGATTTAACGCGTGGATGTAACTATCGAAACGGAAATGATTTACCTTCAATCAAATCCATGCCATTTGAAATGTATAATCATTACATTGTGCTGTATATAACAAATATTATAATATTGGTAATATTTCATATTTTATATGCTCGAGATATACATTATATGAATTTATAATTATGGCCTCGCGGAAGACACTTTAGGCAAAGGGTGGAAACTTTAATACATAAACTGTCATTTCTATCAATTCCAAACAAATTTTGAAAACACTTATGCCTTGATGATATATTTCAAAGTTGATGGAATTCGATAAAAATAAATATTAATATAATGGTTATAAAAAAGTTGAATTTGTATGAACCTCCTCATTCAAACTTTTTTGAAATCAAGCTGTAATCTGAGAATTTCTTCAAGTTTTCGATCAGTCTACCTTATTACGTATTATTCTGAAGTATTGTTCCAAACAATTCAATTAACCACTCTACTTCAGTGTACAAATGTGCTTAGCAATGTCTACGCACAGCATCACTACAGTTAGTGAATTACTTCTTATGCCAGAAATAAGTAACTATTATTATGCTGCATACTGACAATCGCGAGACCTCGCATTGAAGCTTACGTCAAGTTCTTATTTCTACAAATACTCATTTACATCATCAAATTTGGCTACTATGGGGAAACACAAGTAACCACACATTTCCACGTGAATGCTTGCACTTCACGGGCGTAAGAGTAATAGATATCCGGCCTTTGTATTTCTGAAACTGTTTATATAATCGCATACCACCAAGTACGATCAAGTTTCTAAAGACATTGACCAAGTTTGACAACGATAAAATGTTCTAAATTGTTTTTTTAATATTACCGGGAAGTTTTTAGCGCGGGAGTGTACACGATTCAAACGTGGTATTATCGTCTTCGTACTTCTTCATTTAAATCCTTCAAAACAACTACAAACTGTCTCCGAAAATTTTAACAAAACTCCAATTTGTTACTCGAACCATTATTGTAAATCGGCGTACGTTATAGAATATACTATAGTCTAGTACTCTAGTTAGTAGATAGCGCCAGGTAATTCTGAACGGTAATAATGTATAATTGAGCTAGCTCTATCTTTGACGCTCTTGTTGCAGTGGTCATCCACTCCTTTAAATCACTACGAACTGTCTACGAATTCTCCCATAAAGTCTATTTTTTCACTCGATTCATTATCGTAAACGGGCGGGAGTTATCGTCTCTATGTAACGCCATGTATTTCTGAATAAATAAAATGTATATTGCAGTTTTCAGCTGTACCGATAACGATATATCAAACACTGGAATATTGAGCTTTGTGCTATCTTTATTATGACATATCATAGTAGCATAGTCGATTGCGATTGTTTTCCTAAGTGTGATCAACGTGCTCTAATAATATTGTTAACATAACAATATTAATTATTATTATAATAATTAAATGAAAAATCCCACCGGAAATATTTCCCTGACAAGCACGGTCCAAAGATGAAACCCGCCGATAAATATCTTACATTGCATTAATTATAATACTCCTGGTAACAACATTTTACATATTGTATCACACGATTACATACATTTCATACATTCCATATTGTTCAAAAATATTTAATTACTTCGTAACTTTATTAATAACACATCGCCAAATCCAAATATCAGTATTATTTATTTAAAGCAAAGATATACAAAACTAAAATAATTTTAAATATATATTGTTTCAATTAACTTTTCTAGATGGACTATAATTTAATACCTTATAGCAAATTGTTGCAATTTTGACAAAACAATTTGAAAATTTAGTCATTATTGATAGTGAGGAAATTGGTTGATACTGTTATATTTTTTAAAACTGACTAAAATTTTGACTTTACATAATATCCATCTTGTTATTCTGAAATCGTAAATCTCAAACAATTATAAATACTGCATTAAAATAAAATATAATACGATACATATATACATTTGGTGCTTCACACAAGGCGCACATTCCATATCTAAATTACAGGATTTGAAATTCTCGGATCATGTAAATGACAGTGGCGGCGCGTGGTCATTTTAACAACCGGGGCAAGCTACTGCGGGACCAAGTCACCCCCATCTACGGGGACAGGATGAGCGCTGTAAGTTCTCTCATCATTTTATGAGTATAAAAACCATTCCATCGGTAACAACCAATCGGCAAAAGCGACAATTTTTAACGATAAGAAAGTGTCTTTAAAACCGGTCCAAGTCAAGGGATTAATAAATATAGACATAGTTTATTTTGAAACCTCTTTCAAAAGGAAAGGCAATATTTACTCAGATAAATACAATGACATATTAACAGAAACTTCGGGGAAAGCAGACAAAACCCAAAATAAGGTTTAAAACGTTACTATGAAGAAAGGAAAGGTAATGCAAAGATAAGGACATGCGTCGCTCACTCATACATATATATGCTGCTAGACTTCTACTGCTTGAACATATATGCAACACGCCGCGGTTTCTTGGAAGCAAAATGCTCAATAACGCGCTGATTAAAGTCATGCATCCCAGAAATAACGTCTCTGTGAATGAATAAAACAGCCAAGGAATTTAATCTATCTTGCTTCATTGTGTTTCTGAGATACGTTTTAATACGCTTCAGCGTGCTGAATGTTCGCTCTGCGTCGGCGGAAGAAATAGGCGTCGTCAAAATGATGTCCAGAAATTTTGCAGACGCCGCAAAGGTAGTTACTAGAGTGTTATCTATGAGGAACCCATAGAGCGCGCAAGTTGATGTGATGTTCAAAAAAGTTTGATTGGTGTATATACATCGCAATTCATTTTCCAATTTACCCACGTTTATCATGGGGTAAAATTTGGAGACAGTAGCCAACAAATGGATGGGAAATTGACGTGCAAATCTTGAAAAAATTTTGTGGTTCATCTAAGAGAACGCGGCAAGGTGTTCAGTGCGCAGACGATCGCCTATTTGATTCACCAGAATGTCACAGAATTCTTTTGCAGACAAAATCAAACGCTGCGTTGTTTGCCCGCGGCGTAAAGAAGCACTACATGTGTCGTCGTATTTTATTGTTTCCCGGATACGAGATACAGCATCGCAGAAGTCTGAAATACACGACTGCACAGACGCTCCATCCATTAGCCTTGACTGCAATGCGCCGTATAATACATCCACGTGATAGAATATTGTGGAGAAAAAAGCGAGAAAAAATGAAAACTCACCATCTTCTAGCAGACGCTTTAGACCTGCCGCCTCCCTCACAGAGCGTTCGTCCCAAACCGGAGATCTCTGAATGCCATTGAAACACTCAATGACCTCAGACCTAATTTCGGACACGCCCTGTACCACGCGTTATTGGAAGTTCCAATGTGTTGGTGCACAAGCTGGGAGACGGCGGCCACATATCTGG